ATCAGCTCGGCTGCAGGAGGAAGTTACCTTAGTATCTTGGTTAACTGTTGAATGTCACTAATGTGTTGACAGACTGCTGCATTGGTACGCAGACTAGAGGCTAGTGTGTCCAGTGGCTTCAGGTTAGAGGCTGCTCTATATGAGGCCAGGAAACAATCAGCTCAGCTGCAGGAGGAAGTAACCTTAGTATCTTGGTTAACTGTTGAATGTCACTGTTGTGTTGACAGACTGCTGCATTGGTATGCAGACTAGAGGCCAGTGTGTCCAGTGGCCTCAGGTTAGAGGCTGCTCTATATGAGGCCAGGGAACAATCAGCTCGGCCGCAGGAGGAAGTTACATTAGTATCTTGGTTAACTGTTGAATGTCACTGTTGTGTTGACAGACTGCTGTATTGGTACGCAGACTAGAGGCCAGTGTGTCCAGTGGCTTCAGGTAGAGGTGCTCTATATGAGGTCAGGAAACAATCAGCTCGGCTGCAGGAGGAAGTTACCTTAGTATCTTGGTTAACTGTTGAATGTCACTGTTGTGTTGACAGACTGCTGCATTGGTACGCAGACTAGAGGCCAGTGTGTCCAGTGGCCTCAGGTTAGAGGCTGCTCTATATGAGGCCAGGGAACAATCAGCTCGGCTGCAGGAGGAAGTTACATTAGTATCTTGGTTAACTGTTGAATGTCACTGTTGTGTTGACAGACTGCTGCATTGGTACGCAGACTAGAGGCCAGTGTGTCCAGTGGCTTCAGGTAGAGGTGCTCTATATGAGGTCAGGAAACAATCAGCTCGGCTGCAGGAGGAAGTTACCTTAGTATCTTGGTTAACTGTTGAATGTCACTGTTGTGTTGACAGACTGCTGCATTGGTACGCAGACTAGAGGCCAGTGTGTCCAGTGGCTTCAGGTAGAGGTGCTCTATATGAGGTCAGGAAACAATCAGCTCGGCTGCAGGAGGAAGTTACCTTAGTATCTTGGTTAACTGTTGAATGTCACTGTTGTGTTGACAGACTGCTGCATTGGTACGCAGACTAGAGGCCAGTGTGTCCAGTGGCCTCAGGTTAGAGCCTGCTCTATATGAGGCCAGGGAACAATCAGCTCGGCTGCAGGAGGAAGTTACATTAGTATCTTGGTTAACTGTTGAATGTCACTGTTGTGTTGACAGACTGCTGCATTGGTACGCAGACTAGAGGCCAATGTGTCCAGTGGCTTCAGGTAGAGGTGCTCTATATGAGGTCAGGAAACAATCAGCTCGGCTGCAGGAGGAAGTTACATTAGTATATTGGTTAACTGTTGAATGTCACTGTTGTGTTGACAGACTGCTGCATTGGTACGCAGACTAGAGGCCAGTGTGTCCAGTGGCTTCAGGTTAGAGGCTGCTCTATATGAGGCCAGGGAACAATCAGCTCGGCTGCAGGAGGAAGTTACCTTAGTATCTTGGTTAACTGTTGAATGTCACTGTTGTGTTGACAGACTGCTGCATTGGTACGCAGACTAGAGGCCAGTGTGTCCAGTGGCCTCAGGTTAGAGGCTGCTCTATATGAGGCCAGGGAACAATCAGCTCGGCTGCAGGAGGAAGTTACCTTAGTATCTTTGTTAACTGTTGAATGTCACTGTTGTGTTGACAGACTGCTGCATTGGTACGCAGACTAGAGGCCAGTGTGTCCAGTGGCCTCAGGTTAGAGGCTGGTCCATATGAGGCCACGGAACAATCAGCTCGGCTGCAGGAGGAAGTTACATTAGTATCTTGGTTAACTGTTGAATGTCACTGTTGTGTTGACAGACTGCTGCATTGGTACGCAGACTAGAGGCCAGTGTGTCCAGTGGCTTCAGGTAGAGGTGTTCTATATGAGGTCAGGAAACAATCAGCTCGGCTGCAGGAGGAAGTTACCTTAGTATTTTGGTTAACTGTTGAATGTCACTGTTGTGTTGACAGACTACTGCATTGGTACGCAGACTAGAGGCCAGTGTGTCCAGTGGCCTCAGGTTAGAGGCTGCTCTATATGAGGCCAGGGAACAATCAGCTCAGCTGCAGGAGGAAGTTACCTTAGTATCTTGGCTAACTGTTGACAGGGTGTCTAGTAGTCGGGAAAATCGGGAAAGTCGGGAATTAGTATTGAATTTTAAAATGGTCTTGAAAAGTCGGGATTTAGTCTTAAATTTGATTTCAAAGTCGGGAATTTTCATGATTTTGCCGCAATCGTCGTCTTGCGTTTACGTAACCGCAAAAGCCAATGATGATGTCTACAGGGCTTCGGGAAACGTTCACGATTTTGCCGCGATAGTGGACGACGACGATGACGTTTCCGAAACCACGAGAGACGACGATGACGTTTCTGTGACAGGGGGAGATTACGATAACCTTTCCGTGACCGCGGGAGACGACGATGATGCCTACACGGCCGCGGGAAAGGTTCACGATTTTGCCGTGATTGCGGACGACGACGATAACGTTTCCGTGACCGCGGGAGATGACGGTGATGTCTAAACAGCCGAGGGAAATGTTCATGATTTTGCCGCGATCGCGGACGACGACGATGACGTTTCCGTGACCGCGGGAGATGACGATGGCGTTTCTGTGACCGCGGGAGACGACGATGGTGTCTACACGGCCGCGGGAAATGTCCATGATTTTGCCGCGATCGCGGACGACGACGATAACGTTTCCGTGACCGCGGGAGATGACGGTGTTGTCTAAACAGCCGCGGGAAATGTTCATGATTTTGCCGCGATCGCGGACGACGACGATGACGTTTCCGTGACCGCGGGAGACGACGATGAAATCTGCTCGGCCGCGGGAAATGTTTATGATTTTGTAACGATCGCGGACGACGACGATGACGTTTCCGTGACCGCGGGAGATGACGATCACGTTTCTGTGACCGCGGGAGACGACGATGATGTCTACACGGCCGCGGGAAATGTCCATGATTTTGCCGCGATCGCGGACGACGACGATAACGTTTCCGTGACCGCGGGAAATGACGGTGATGTCTAAACAGCCGCGGGAAATGTTCATGATTTTGCCGCGATCGCGGACGACGACGATGACGTTTCCGTGACCGCGGGAGACGACGATGATATCTGCTCGGCCGCGGGAAATGTTCATGATTTTGCCGAGATCGAGGGAGATGACGATGACGTTGACGTGACCGCAGGAGACGACGATGATGTCTGCTCGGCCGCAGGAAATGTTCCTGATTTTGCCGCGATCGCGGACGACGACGATGACGTTTCCGTGACCGCGGGAGATGACGATGACGTTTCCGTGACCGCGGGAGACGACGATGACGTTTCCGTGACCGCGGGAGACGACGATGACGTTTCCGTGACCGCGGGAGACGACGATGACGTTTCCGTGACCGCGGGAGACGACGATGATGTCTACAAGGCCGCGGGAAATGTTCATGATTTTGTCGCGATCGCGGACGATGGCGATGACGTTTCTGAGACATCGGGAGACGACGATGATGTCTACAAGGCCGCGGGAAATGTTCATGATTTTGCTGTGATCGCGGACGACGACGATAGCGTTTCTGTAACCGCTGCAGTCAATGATGATGTCTAAACGTACGGTACGTGGAAGATTTCATGATAAAAAAAAAACCAAATCTGCTAGTTAGAACTTTTTATTGCTGCATTATTTCTTTACTTTAAAACACCACATTGTTATAATACTACTTTATGACAAAGACAGGGGTTGGTGTAGTATTATTCAGAAAATTGGGTATAAATAATTTGCTATAAAAATTGGTATCGGTATCAAGAATTGAGAATTGATACAGTTTGGTATCAACACCCACTAATTGTTGAAAAAACTAGTCTTGAAAAATCTGGAATTAGTCTTGAAAAGTCTGGAATTAGTCTTGAATTTTATAATGGAAATAAACTAGACACCCTGTGTTGAATGTCACTGTTGTGTTGACAGACTGCTGCATTGGTACGCAGACTAGAGGCCAGTGTGTCCAGTGGCTTCAGGTAGAGGTGCTCTATATGAGGTCAGGAAACAATTAGCTCGGCTGCAGGAGGAAGTTACCTTAGTATCTTGGTTAACTGTTGAATGTCACTGTTGTGTTGACAGACTGCTGCATTGGTACGCAGACTAGAGGCCAGTGTGTCCAGTGGCTTCAGGTTAGAGGCTGCTCTATATGAGGCCAGGAAACAATCAGCTCGGCTGCAGGAGGAAGATACCTTAGTATCTTGGTTAACTGTTGAATGTCACTGTTGTGTTGACAGACTGCTGCATTGGTACGCAGACTAGAGGCCAGTGTGTCCAGTGGCCTCAGGTTAGAGGCTGCTCTATATGAGGCCAGGGAACAATCAGCTCGGCTGCAGGAGGAAGTTACATTAGTATCTTGGTTAACTGTTGAATGTCACTGTTGTGTTGACAGACTGCTGCATTGGTACGCAGACTAGAGGCCAGTGTGTCCAGTGGCCTCAGGTTAGAGGTGCTCTATATGAGGTCAGGAAACAATCAGCTCGGCTGCAGGAGGAAGTTACCTTAGTATCTTGGTTAACTGTTGAATGTCACTGTTGTGTTGACAGACTGCTGCATTGGTACGCAGACTAGAGGCCAGTGTGTCCAGTGGCTTCAGGTAGAGGTGCTCTATATGAGGTCAGGAAACAATCAGCTCGGCTGCAGGAGGAAGATACCTTAGTATCTTGGTTAACTGTTGAATGTCACTGTTGTGGATTGGCATTGGACGCTGCATTGGTACGCAGACTAGAGGCCAGTGTGTCCAGTGGCCTCAGGTTAGAGGCTGCTCTATATGAGGCCAGGAAACAATCAGCTCGGCTGCAGGAGGAAGTTACATTAGTATCTTGGTTAACTGTTGAATGGCACTGTTGTGTTGACAGACTGTTGCATTGGTACGCAGACTAGAGGCCAGTGTGTCCAGTGGCTTCAGGTAGAGGTGCTCTATATGAGGCCAGGAAACAATCAGCTCGGCTGCAGGAGGAAGTTACCTTAGTATCTTGGTTAACTGTTGAATGTCACTGTTGTGTTGACAGACTGCTGCATTGGTACGCAGACTAGAGGCCAGTGTGTCCAGTGGCCTCAGGTTAGAGGCTGCTCTATATGAGGCCAGGGAACAATCAGCTCAGCTGCAGGAGGAAGTTACTACTACTGCTAGTAACTATGAGGCCCAGCTCAGCACAATGTCTGAACATTTAGCCAACATGAATGAAAAATTGGCACAGCAAAAAGAAGTCATTGATCAGCTGGAATATCAGATCTCCAACAAGGTGATTTTGAAAATGCAATTTCTTGCTACATAAAACTAGAGAAACTTAGGAAGCCTATTTAATAACAAGCGTACTCAATCTGTTTACAGATAATCAATTTGGCTTTGGATTAGAAAAAACACAATATCAGCTGTCTCTGATTTCATAAAACAAGTGTTGGCTTGGATGGATCTCAGAGTACTGCAGCAGTGTTCTGTGATCTGTCCAAGGCATTCGATTGTGTGAATCATGATGTATTAAGTAATAATCTTAAATATTATAACTTCTCTGATCTGGCACTGTCTTGGATACAATCTTATAAAAAAAAAAAACAGGCAACAGAGAACTGTCATTATGACAAATGGTAAACATTTCATTTCAAAATGGCAAACCACCAATTGTGGTGTACCCCAAGGATAAATTTTAGGTCCCTTGTTATTTTTAATATTCATTAATGATGTTCCTAACAATGTATCATCAAAACGATGACACCACAGCCATAGTAAAAGCAAATGATGTACTTTTAGATTAGAGCTTGATCGTTCAATTGTGGACTTAACTAACTGGTTTGCGGCAAATGGTTTAAAACTTAATAATTCTAAAACACACATTATGCAATTCCAAACACTACAAAATAAGCAAAACTTAAACATAATTTTTGAATTACCGTATGAAAATGATATTTTAGCTTTTGTCGAACAAACAACATTTTTAGGCTTAAATATTGATAAAAATTTGACATGGAAACGTCACATTGAAATATTAGCTAAAAAATTACGTACAGCTTGTTTCCAGATGTATGTTTTAAGAAACATAATTGATTCTAAAACAAAGGTCATAGTTTATTATGCCATATTTTTTTCCATTATGCAATATGGTATTGAGTTATGGGGCTCAACATCATATGCCTCAACTATTTTTAAGATACGAAAGAAGTTTTTAAGAATCTTATCATTTACACACAAAAAAGTCACGCCTTTTGAAACATATGGAATTTTAAGAATGCCTTAACTTTACATTTTTATGAAATTTTGGTATACTTCAAGAGTAATGCACAATTATTTTTAAACAATCTGTTATTTCATCAATACCCAACACGTTCAAAAAATAATTTGCAGTATCCAAGACATTAGGTATGCCTTTAGGAAAGATCGCCGTACTATACTGTTAATACTGTTATACTGTTAATACTGTTGAATGAAATGGCGACCATACAAAGTAGGTATTTTAAGCCAAGTATAAATGGAGATGAGTGGCGCGATCTTGTAGTCTTGTTAGTGACTAAGGCCAACATTCCTCAGACACAGCTGTTAATTAATAGCCCATACAGCTGATGGCAACTAAGGGACCTACAGTTTATAGTGGAATCCGAACCATATTTTTGCCTTGGTATATACGAATTGGTCTAATTATCAGGAGTATTATAGTACCTAATTATTATTATAGCACCACGGATAGTTGTATTACTCACTAGTGCGGACGTTAATCCACACCAGGGAGTATCACATCCTCAGTACATGCTTATAAATATCCACAATTCGTGACCTCCTAGTAGCTGGATAACAGGACGACGCCACCCGTTTATATGAGTCTGAGGCTTTACAACGGTCTACCTGCTCATTTTAAAAATATCAATAATATTGTAAGGTTTAAGAAAGACTTAAAAACATTCCTTATAAAAAATTAATCCTACTATACAATAGAAGAGTATTTAAATGATTTTTAAAAAGTGACTAGTTTAATTTTAATTCTTAGTTATAATTTTTATTTTTGTTACACAAGAAATGACAATGTCATCTGTTTCATCAGCTTTGCTGGAACTTGCCAATTACAACACTTAATAAAACTAGTAGTACGCTTATTCTGCGCGTAACGGGATGAGTGAACGTGAGCGCAACAATGGAAGAGTCCACCCACACCTAGCCTACTTACCGGTGTCACTGGTGAACACAATCAACCAAATCTCAGTCAACAACAATCCTAACTTCTCGTCCAAAGTCTTAACCAAAGTCATTGGTAATATACGTAATGGATTTCCGACAGTTATCGATAGGAGGTAAATCCGTCGTTCCTGTACAAAACGTCTTTTGATTAAATGAGGCCTATTTCCTTATTTGTTATGAGGCCTATCATAAACAAAACTAAGCCAAACTGACCTAATCTAACTTAACCTAATTGCCACAGCTCGGTGTAAAGGAGTCTTCTTCAAAATATCGTATGGCTTATAATGATGTTATATAACACATACGAACGATAGCACTATTATTACCTAAACATGATTAAAAATCCAATATATTTTTATCTCTAACCAATGAATCTAAATGCCTTAAACTGTTCCCACACTCCGCACTGCTTGCCTTTACAACTTCTATCGCTACTACCTACGTCGTGGACGTGTTTACCTCTCATTCCTCGGCATTTTAGTATTGCGTGTACATTACTCTAACTGCCACAAACAGTTCCCACACTCAAAACTTCTCGCCTTTAACACTTCCTTCCCCACTTCCTACGGGGTAGCGGATTTCTACCCCCGGATATTTACCCCCATGAAAAAACACCTACGTCATTTTGACGTCACGAGGGGCGGGGCCTATACACGGTCGAGAAACAGCCCGCGACTGGAAATTTACCCCCAATATATTATTAAATAATCAACATGTAATTGTTTGATTATAAAGTGATTTGCCATAGCACGGAAATCTACCCCCGGACATCTACCCCCGGATATCTATCCCCGGAAATCTACCCCCGGACATCTACCCCCAGATATCTACCCCCAGACATCTACCCCCGGACATCTACCCCCGGACATCTACCCCCGGAAATCAACGGCTCTTCGGTTAAGCATTGTCTTGTAATATCCAGTATTAAGCATGTGATATGTCATTGTCTTGTTTAACATTATCTATCTTCCTAATTCAATAAGCTGTAACAGTCCTTTTTTCACCCGACCTACTTCGCCGATTGTTACGATTGAGGTGTCATTTTAAAGCTTAAGATCTTGCGCAGAGCAAAATGGTAATTAAAAAGGATATTTAGATTAGGGCTTCAAAAGGTTGACCAACTTTCACACTATACAGTAACAGTTATAAAGGTGAAATGTGAGCACATTACTAATTAGTTCCATTTTTAAGTCAGGTTGAAAACCAGAATAGATCGTCTGCAACTGTAAACAAGAGATGAAACACTACCCCAAAACGACTTTTCGTTCTCAATTGGCCCTCTATCAATAACCTGTGTTGCCTGTACAGCGAGGCATTTTGAGAAGGAGAAAACCGGCCAGATGAATGCTTTAGGTTTATCAATAACGAAGATAAACATGGTTTTAGTTACACACCGAGAATCTTTGAGTTGACTCATTTAAACTCATTGTAAATATTCATTGTTATTCATTTTGAAATAACTCCCTTAATACTTTGCAATTGCTCGAATTCGAGCAACATGTACACTAGTTACATATTATTGCACTTACGATTTATTTGATCCGTTTATTTACGTGAGTCACAACGTTTTTAATCTTACTTGGTTTTGGATTTTATTACAAACTAGCTGGCCCGACAGACGTCGTCCTGTCCTATTGTGGTTTTATGTCACATGCTCGTTCATTTTCAAGATGAGCTCGTTCGCATGGCTCAATCACGTCCTGGTTGAAGTTCGTTCGCTACGCTCACTCACCTTTATTTTGGAGCTCGTTCGCTACGCTCACTTGCCTTCAGGTTAGCTCGTTCGCTACGCTAACTCGCCTCCAGGTTGAAGTTCGTTCGCTACGCTCACTCACCTTTTGGTTGCAAATTAGCTGTTCTCATAAATTAAAAAAAAATATAGTGCTGCACCCTGTTGGTAAACCTATTAACTTTTTAATGCTATTGAACATCACAGTATCAAATTGTTTAGCTGCACCAGCTGTTAAGATTCTTTAATTCCATTTAAATATGAGTACTCATAAGGTTAACATGGGAAACTCCAGAGCCACTGGGGCGGAGCCCTATTGACGGATCTGCACCAAACTTCACACAAACCATCCTTGAATAATGCTTAATAATACCTAAAAGTTTCATTACAATCTGTCTAGCGGTTTCGGAGTCCATAAAGGACAAACATACAAATATACAAACATACAAATATACAAACGTACATTGGATTTTATATATATAGATCATGATCGGAAATGGTTGCAGTATTTGTAAACTAAATGTAATAACAAATTTCCAGTGACAGCTAGAAAAAATCATCTTTATCCAGCTTTTCATCGTTCACAGCTGTTCGTTATTTCATTGATGTCGTATCCTCCAAACAAATTGTTAGTATTTCATTAGGAGTAGCCTAAACTTGACAAAAATGCAAAAAATTGGGGGTTTGAACCAAATTTATTTTAATTCAAAAGTAGTGAGGTCATATTTTAATGGCTTAAGTTACTCATGTCAATCCACCGAATCCAAAAAGACTATTTAAATCGAATCACAATGGATGCTCTAGTTTTTGAGAAGAAGGCCACGTAAAATGCCTTCTGGGCCTTGACAGACAAGACAGAAATTGAGATAAAGACTTGTTTTGGCTTCTTTAATGTATGAAACGTAAAAATTACCAAAAAATATATAATTTTAAGCAATGTTCATACTAAACTCTAATTTCATTAAAATAAATTCGTAAAACCAAAAGAACCATGAGGTAAAAATACCTTCCCTATCCCGAAATATCCAATTTTATTCTTTTACATTATTCTCCGTTATTTCACAACCAGCATTGACAACCAGAAACAATCAAAAAATATGTTTATGTTTTATTTTTTACGATTAATTATTTGTGTAAACAACTAGACTTTTTAGCCAATTTAAAACTCCGGATAGTGTCTAAGACATAGGGATTATGCTATTTCGTATTACTAGAAGGTAATTGATAGTGAAAAATTATTAATTCATTAATCAACCAGTGGCAGGCTTTTTATCAGCATTTAATTGCATTTTTACCACTAGTAATCAGAAAATAACCTCCTTCAGTGATATGTTTTAAATTTCACGATCTGCGCTCGTGCATGTGCCGTTAGCTATGAGTGTATGTGAAAATTGGTTAACAATTTAAATCACTGTCTGAAAATAAATCAAATGCTTATGGGTTAAACTTTTGGAGCCCTTTATCAAAATATCCTTTTTAATTACCATTTGCGTTGCACTGAATCTTAAGCTTAAAAATGACACCTAAATCAGTAACAGCTTAATGAATTGGGAAGATAGATGATATTAAACAAGACAACGACATATCACATGCTTAATACTAGATATTAGTGAGTAATTATCAAACGAAGGGCCATTGCTTATTTTAATAAACCAATTACTATAATCAACTACAACAATGGATATTGACCGATACGTAGTGTAGCACGGGGGGTAGATTTCCGGGGGTCGGAAATAAATAATTCCGGGGTCGTACATTTATGATTTGACCACTGGGGGTACATTTCTGGGGGTAGATTTCCGGGGGTAGATATCCGGGGGTAAATGTCTGGGGGTAAATGCCCGGGGGTAGATGTCCGGGGGTAGATGTCTGGGGGTAGATTTCCGGGGGTAGATGTCTGGGGGTAAATGTCCGGGGGTAGATGTCCGGGGGTGGATGTCTGGGGGTAGATTTCCGGGGGTAAAGTTCCGGTATCAGGTTTATTAGCATTTTGATTAATTACAACTGTTAAGTAAACCGTGAAATGCGAGTTAATTGAATATACAATAATTTATCCATCCTAAAAGTTCGCGGCCGGAAATCTACCCCCATACATGTGGACGTAGACGTTTTTTCATGGGGGTAAATATCCGGGGGTAGAAATCCGGCGACCCCTTCCTACGACGTGCACCTGTTTTCCTCCCTTACCATAGCCTTTTAGTATTGCTGATTATTGCATTAATCTAACTGCCACCAATGGTTCCCACACTCCGCACTGCTCGCCTTGACTACTTCCTTCACCACTTCATACGTCGTGAACAGGGCTAGAGATATACAATACAATATGTATATCTCTAGCCCTGCGTCGTGAACCTGTTTTCATCCCTTCCCATAGCATTTTTAGAATTGAAGATACGTTATTCTAACTGTAACAAAGGCTTCCCACTCTCCGGACTGCTAGCCTTGACTACTTCCTTCACCACTTCTTACGTCGCGGACCTGTTTTCATCCCTTCCCATAGCCTTTTAGTATTGCAGATGCATTAATCTAACTGCCACTAATGGTTCCAACACTCTGCACTGCTTGCCTTGACTACTTTCTTCACTACTTTTTACGTCGTGAACCTGTTTTCACCCCTTCCCATAGCATTTTAGTATTGCAGATAAATTAGTCTAACTGTAACAAAGGGTTCCCACACTCCGAACTGCTCGATTTGACTACTTCCTTCACCACTTCCTACGTTGTAGACCTGTTTCCCTCCCTTTCCATCGCATTTTAGTATTGGAAATACATTAATCTAACTGCCACCAACGGTTCTCACACTCAGACATGTTCACGTTTAACACTTCCTTAGTCATAGACCTGTTTCCCTCCCTTCCCATAGCATTTTAGTATCGCAGGTATAATATTCTAACTGTCAAAAAGGCTTCCCACACTCCGGACCCCTCGCCTTGACTACTTCCTTTATCACTCCCTTCGTCGTGGCCCTGTTTCCCTCCCTTCCCATGGCATTTTAGTTTTGCAGGTACATTCATCCAACTGTCACAAATGCTTCCCACACTCCGGACCGCTCACCTCTTGACTACTTCCTTCTCTACTTCCTACATCGTAGACCTGTTTCCCTCTCTTCCCATCGTATTTAATTATTACAGATACATTATTTTAACTGTCAAAAAGGGTTTCCACACTCCGCACTGCTCACCTTTACCACTTCCTTTATCACTCCCTACGTCGTGGGCCTGTTTCCCTCCTTTCGCATAGCGTTTAGTATAAAAATAGACGAATATCATAGCTGAAGCATAGTATAGATTTCCCATCCTTATGGAACAGCTAAACATAATTGTATTATTAGTTCCCTCCGGTTTTCTATAGATGTCGTTTTTTGTTTTAATTAGTTTCTTGTTATTCCAGTATTTTAAAACCTCGTTTGAACAAATAAAACTATCTAATTATAAACAATAACTCGTCCAAAACACCAAACAGTGATATAACCAAACAGTGAGACACAAATAATGAGAAACTAACCCTAAAAAATATAAACAAATTGTAAACAAAACACGACATCTACAGACAACCGGACAGAACTAACAATAAAATAGGCTTCAGCTGTTCTATAAGGATGGGAAATCTAATGCTAATATCTTTGACTATTTAATAGTCAATGCCACCATTAAATTGAATAATGTAAAAAGCTGCTTTTTTCTAAATATATACATATAGATTTTTAATGTTAAGGCGAATTTTAATACTGAACATAAACTGTATATAACTGCCGACTAATATTGTAAAGTTCAATTTATTATTCTGAAAGTTGTGAAATTCTAATGATATATATTCATAGGCGCCATAACTGTTTACTCCATGAATGAAAGAGCTAAGAGTAAAAGTAGTTCTCTCTGTCTTAAGGAGACAACAAAATTGTTTTTCGTAAAACGTAAACAAATAAAAAGAAGAAGAAGGTAGCTCCTAATGTTATTCTTATGGGACAAATTTAAAAATAGTTTTTAAGTATTTTATAATTACTACTGAGCGGAATCGTCTAGAATTTTAATGAGGTCTTCCCACTGGTGTCATAATTATTTGTGCAAAATTTGAACGCTATAAGTGCGACGGTTCTTGAGTTTTTGGTGCGAACACACAGACACACATGGACAAGCGGACAACTTTTCTCCGACTCCGCTATACACGATACATAGATTCGTTCACTCATCTATAAAAGGTTATCTTTAGTGTGTCGAAGGGCTGCAGAATGGAAATTTAATGATATTGGATTTTATTTTTTCAGAAAAAGGGGAAGAAATGATGAAGTTCATAGTTAAGGTCTGGATCACCTTCAGGTAACTGACATAGGCATTTCAGCTCCCAATTTATTTTGCAACCATCATAGACAAGTTATTATTCTGTTGTTTTAAGGTCTTGTTATTTTTTTATTGCGCTATATCTGTATAGTATAATTATTTAGTTATCACCATTGTACAAAGCTCTTTAAGGGATATTGCATACAAAAATGTATGTTTTGCAGTGTTATGTCAATATTGTTAATCAATTAATTGTGATATTTATTTGTGAAATGTAGATAACTATATATTTTTATAGTGTATAGGTACTGTAATAGGAAATTCATTCATACTAGTTAATTACTGTATTTTTATTTATATCCTAAACTATAAGACTTAAAGTCAACTTATACGTACTGTATATCATATTTTTAAATACTTTGTAACTTTACCCGCAAATATTGTACAACCAATAGAGATGAAACACTGTTTTATTCTATTCAATATTGATAGCAAAATCTGTTCTGGATGTATTGGGTCAAAGATTTGTCATTTAGAAAATACTAAAGGTTGATTAATAAGTTTATTTTAATGGTAAACTATAGCATTACATTGTATTGCCATAATTTTAAAGTGATGTGATGTGGTTTTGCATATTTTACAATCCAACTAACACCAGAAAAGAGTGTTAGTCCAGTCTTCAGACTGCAACTAGCCACGAGGAGAAGTCACTCGATAAACACTTCCCACAGTTGTGGGTGCCACAGTATGCGTAGGGATGTGGCGACCCCATCGCTCAGTCTTCAGACTGCAACTAGCCACGAGGAGAAGTCACTCGATAAACACTTCCCACAGTTGTGGGTGCCACAGTGGCAGCGTAGGGATGTGGCGACCCCATCGCTCAGTCTTCAGACTGCAACTAGCCATGAGGAGAAGTCACTCGATAAACACTTCCCACAGTTGTGGGTGCCACAGTGGCAGCGTAGGGATGTGGCGACCCCATCGCTCAGTCTTCAGACTGCAACTAGCCACGAGGAGAAGTCACTCGATAAACACTTCCCACAGTTGTGGGTGCCACAGTGGCAGCGTAGGGATGTGGCGACCCCATCGCTCAGTCTTCAGACTGCAACTAGCCACGAGGAGAAGTCACTCGATAAACACTTCCCACAGTTGTGGGTGCCGCAGTGGCAGCGTAGGGATGTGGCGACCCCATCGCTCAGTCTTCAGACTGCAACTAGCCATGAGGAGAAGACACTCGATAAACACTTCCCACAGTTGTGGGTACCGCAGTGGCAGCGTAGGGATGTGGCGACCCCATCGCTCAGTCTTCAGACTGCAACTAGCCACGAGGAGAAGTCACTCGATAAACACTTCCCACAGGTGTGGGTGCCACAGTGGCAGCGTAGGGATGTGGCAACCCCATCGCTCAGTCTTCAGACTGCAACTAGCCACGAGGAGAAGTCACTCGATAAACACTTCCCACAGTTGTGGGTGCCCAGTGTGATGAACCTAAGAGATTGTTTAAATTTACCGATGATTTTGTTGTCAAAAATTATTAATCTAGACAGTTAAATTAAATAAGTTATCTACGTCTATTGTTGGAAAATATTTTTTACTACAAACATATTGATAATCACAGCTTTTTTTACACCAATGAAATCACGGGTGACAACTGCTAAGATGTCATGATCACAAGGATATTATTGAAATGTTACTGGTAATGCAGTGGAAGATTGATCTTGGATCTTGCCACAATCTTAGGACATTCTGAATGTCCGATATTATCAAATTCAAATTTACGAAGTACCTAACTTCCTTCGAATCGACGGTTCCTGGATACAGCTATTAAGAATAGCTGGAAACTGGTATTAAGAATCTGAATCAGCTCTCCACAAATGTTTTATTTTGGCTTAGGTTTATCACATTGGAGGGTGTTAATACTGATTTTAAAATGCATTAAAAAGTTTTAATCACCTTAAAATATGACGATGATGATGAAATGATGATGATGATGAACTAGGTGTTATCAGACTGGTTTTTGCTTAGAAAGATTTTTACCAAAACTCTGCTTTCAATATATTTTTTATCTTTAAATTAAAATTGGTAATAAAAAACTTTTAGAAGAAAGTGATTTAAATTACTTGTATGTAAAATGCTAATGGAATCACATATCATCTAAGCTACACAGTCTGAAAATACTCAGGATGGAATTCTCAGTGTTCAGTGTTATCAAAATGAAGTGAATCCACCTATGTGTATTCATTGGACTGTGCCAACATTGCATGAACCTTGAGGAGGATCCTGATTAACTAACCCACCACAAGGTGGAGGGTTACTCTTTGTTTTCAACACCGGAAAAAATATGATTATTTCTAAATTCATGAAGAAAACTTCTTTAAGTCCTGTCTTACTGACAAAGTACCTTATGTCCACTTTTAGGCGCAAAGTAATTGATTTTTAATATATTACATCATCCAATCTGGCATAAGAACTGTAATTTTTTTTTTTTTTTGTAAACTGGTTTGCGTTTTTTTTATTTATTTCATAAATAGCTTTTGCAAACAGCTCTATGACTAAGGTGTAAGTAATTGTGTAGAAAAAAAGGAGTAACCTTATCCTGAGCATTATTAGCACTCAGCTTTTATCTCAGAGAGAAGAGGAAGAAGAAAGAGAAAAGAAGAAGAAATTTAACACGTTAAGCACCTGCTTGCAGGTGTAGCAGCGTGTTCGTGAACTTGGAACTACCAAGTTAGTGGTCTGACATGGTAATTCTATCTTCACAGGCCAGTCCTTGGCTTAACTGTACAGAGGTTGAACTGGACAGCATCTTCTGTTAAATACATGAAAATCCTTGATGGAAAAAGGAGTTCTTGTATTTCTATGTCCATATTATAGATTTATATAAATGTATAACCCACTCTTTTATAGTCCTCGCCACCCTAAGTTGAGGCAGCCCAATGGCTGCCTCAACTTAGGGTGGCGAGGACTATAGTGTAAATGTAACGAATGCTTTTAAGTCTTCATAGTTAAATTATGTTAAAGCCCCTTTTGAAATAAAAATCCAGCATCTTAAAAATACCTCACAATAATAACAATTCGTCATTTAAAATGCTTCAGTTGGATTTAACAACCTTTTTAGGGAACTGGTAAATATTACAAAAATATTAAATATTGACAACTTTTGCTCAATACATCCATCCATTCCAGTTATGTAACTTATTAAACAAAATTACTTTTGGGAACAGATTTGAATTTGTAACAATACACTTATTATTAGGATTTAAGTAGTTTAGAAAATAAATACTCAGAGAGTTGCAGCTTAAGTTTAACCAGAAATTCCTAAACTGTCTAGTTAATTATTCAATCATATTCCTTTAGCATAAGAAGTGTTTTAGGCTACTGTAAAATTTTAAGTATAAAGAATAATATCACTCATTGAATTATTTAGCTTCCTCTAGTTACTTTAACGATTTTGTCCTCCTTTTGAGTTAAATTTGTTTGGTATGTAGCCTATTGTATCAATAAAAAAATATTGATTAAATAAATGAGTTTTTTTTCATCCTCTTGAACATTGATGATAACCTGTCAAAGATTTATATTGTTTACAACTGACGATTTTATGTTAGGCATATAATTAATTAATCCTTGATTTTTAGGATTGTGTTGAATGATCAGTCAACAATTTAATCTTCTAACTGGTATATTTATCTCTTGGCCTAAATAATTATACGCATAGACCTATATAACCCAGTCATGTTTAAACGTTTTGATACAAGGTTTTTAGTGCTCTAAAACTCATAATGGCTTTTGTACCATATTGAAATGAAATAACAAATTCTTTATTCATTCAGGCAAAGTTATGGCCCTTTCTTACACTTAACCTGAATTATAATATTCAGTGATTAGAAAACAACTTTCGTTATTTTTAAAGAACTAAGCCAAATTGCAATCATAGAATAAATTTTTTATTAAAAACAACTAGAAGACCCATGATGCTCCGCAGCGTTAAAATAAATATAATATCCAAGAAATAATAACATTTCTGAATTTTTATTGAGTAATAAAGTATCTTAATCGCTTAAATAAAAGCCGATATTTCACTGAAAGTTCTTAGACCAAAATATATAGGATTATATGATTATAACTGGTGAAATACATCTCTAGTCGGGACCACATAAGTTTGCAGTTGAGGGAGGAGCCTATTTACCATATGGTTTTAAATGAACCAATGAGAACAGTGCGGTGTTGCCAAATCTAATAACACCAGCTGATTTGAACTATTGCTTTGTATATTTCAATTACTGTTGTCAATGAGCGATATGGCAACGTCGCACTAGCCTTGTCTTGTGATTGGCTGCCACCAACTGCAAACTTACGTGGTCCCGACGTTAGAGGACCCATGCTGCTCGACAGCTCTAAAATAAATATAATATCCGAGAAATAATCAAATTTCAGATTTTTTATTGAGTAATACAGTATCTTAATCGCTTAAATAAAATATAAAATATTTCACTGAAAGTTCTTAGACCAAAATACATAGGATAATATAATTATAACTGGTGAAATACATCTCTAGAGGACCCATGCTGCTCCGCAGCGATAAAATAAATATAATATCCAAGAAATAATCAAATTTCTGATTTTTTATTGAGTAATACAGTATCTTAATCGCTTAAATAAAAGCCGATATTTCACTGAAAGTGCTTAGACCAGAATATACAGGATAATATAATTATAAGTGGTGAAATACGTCTTAAATTGATGTAAGAATTCCAAAATTATTCAAATTATGTTTTTTAGGCGAGTAATACAGTAGGTAAGTATATGTCGATGCTTGATGGGAAATCTTTGCGTGCATGACTTCAATTTGAGACTTTAATAATGAAAATCGGTCGGGTAGAAGCATAGATTAAATGAGTAGGTAGAAGAGCCAAACGAAATCGTAAAAGAAAAAACAAATTTAACTCCCATAAGAAATGCATGGGGAGCAAATTTCGTTTACATATCAGCCGACTGGGATTATATATAAATATAGGCCGATGCTTGATGTGAAATATCTGTGTGCATACCTTCAATTTGAGACCTAAATCATGAAAAACGGTCAGGTAGAACCAATCGAACTCGGAAAACAGAATCCAAATTAACTCCCATAAGAAATACATGGGGAGCGATTTTGTTTACGTATTTGCCAAGTGGGATTACAGATAAATATATGCCGATGCTTGATGGCAAATCTGTGTGTGCATACCTTCAATTTGAAAATCGGTCGGGTAGAAGAGCCAAATGAACTTGGCAAAGAAAAACCAAATTTAACTCTCATAAGAAATACATGGGGTGCAAATTTCGTTTACGTATAAGCAGAGTGGGATTATAGATAAATATACGCCGATGCTTGATGGCAAATCTGTGCGTCCATACCTTCAATTTGAGACCTCAATCATGAAAATGGGTCGGGTAGAAGAGCCAAACAAAATCGGAAAATAAAAACGAAATTTTTTTAATATAAAAGATTACTTATAAATAAATTATGGAGAAGGGTTAAGAATGTTTTTACACATTTAATTTCGCTAGACATCCTAACTAACTGCATGGTAATTTTCTGTCGGTTATGTCGATATATGTTTAGTATTGAATTTAAACTTAAGTGTGAATGTAGCGCAATAGAAAATCCATTAAAGAATATTTTTTTATTACTGTGACGTTGCGGAACTGATGTGTGTGAATCAACAACCATTATTTTATTGAGGTTAAATATATAAACTTCGACTTACATTAGGTACTTTTAACATTGTGATTTATGGAGATTTCTAGGGGATTATAAAAATAAACGGTATCAGCATTCTGACACATACTTTCTCTCATAAGCTTGTCAACAACCTATATCATGGGTAAGCAGTGAGAGTAAATATGATATTTTGTAGTTAAAAATCACAAAAGTTACAATTACTTTTGAACCGTAATTTTTACGGAAATGGGAGTACCATTTTGTTTAGAATTTAAAGGACTAAAACATACTAAATTCTTAAGAAAATCGTTCAGGCCATTTTCGAGAAAATCCTATTTTTCTTTTATTTTATGGGAAAATCCCCATTAAAAATTAAACAAAAAAAATGAATGAACCTTAAAAATTTAAAGGACCATAACATACTTAGTTAAATCAAAATCGGTTTTTTTCTAAAATCCTATTTTTGTTTTTTATGGGGGAAAAAACATAATTTAATTAACAATAACTTTTGAACCGTAATTTTTACAGAAATGTGAGTCATGCCATTTTGTTCAGAATTCAAGGGCTAGGCCTACAACATACAAAAATTTTTATCAAAATCGTTAAGGCCATTTTTGAGAAAATCAGATTTTTCCGTTATTTTATGGGAAAACTAGCTGTAACCCGCGGGCTTTGCCCCGTTTAACTTCTTAATTTTCAAGATGATCTCGCTCGCATGGCTCAATCACGTCCTGACGTCCTGGTTGAAGTTCGTTCGCTACGCTCACTCACTTTTGGGTTAGAGCTCGATCGCTGCGCTCACTTGCCTTCAGGTTAGCTCATTCGCTACGCTAACTCGCCTCCAGGTTGAAGTACCCCCAGAGGTCGGAGGGTTAAATCCTTTCTTAGTGAGCGTCTACTACCCAAAAGGAAGATGCCTGCCAAGTTTCAGGTTCCTAGGTCTTATGGTTTCTAAGATTTCGTGATGTGGGAGTCAGTGGTATTTGAGCTTTATATATATAGATTAACATTCAAAATCATAATGATAAAAACGCCTGGAGATACCATGGATTAGAACCTACACACCAAATTTCATCGAAATCGGATCACAAGTGTTAGTCCCTAGATCTGTACACATCCAGACACACACCTACACGGATTCACTTCGAAAACCACTTTTTTGGGTCCGGGGTACCCAAAACGGATTTATCCACTCAAAACTCACACTCGACAATTTTGACGAAAACAATACTTTTTCCATACACTATGTAGGGGGAGAAAGAAAAATTGAGATACGTATCAAGAAATTCAAGAGATCAAGGTTCAAGTTATTAAGGTCCTGCTATATAACATTTAAACGCTTTTACAAATTTAACTTAAGTTAAATCATTACAAGTAATTGAAGAAGTAGACACAGTTATGAAAATTATAATATTCTTTATCAAGTGTACAATATTTTTTTGAAGTGTCTGATAAAAAAAATATTAGGTAAGACCGTAGATGGCACGGTAAGACTTAGGCCCGGGACCGATTTCTTTTTCATTTTGATGTCCCCAGAGGCCAAAAACACAATTCGTTCAAATTTGTATATATATATATCTATACTAATATATAAAAATGAGATGGTGTGTGTTTGTGTGTGTCTGTCTGTCTGTCTGTTACCTAATAACGCAAGAACCACCAAACCGATTGAAAGAAAATTTTGAATGAAGGTAGCTTATATACCTGTTTAACATATAGGCCTATTCCTGTTATTATATTCACGTAAACTTCATAACATAGCTTATCCGATCCAGGCCGATTAATTTGGCATGATTCGCCCTGGCACAACGTTAGGTTCTTGATTACTTTTGAAAAAAAATCTTTAATGCATATTGTTACTCAATTCTTAGTACAAAATCAAGGTATGGTAAGCGGCTATTAATAAGCAAAAAGCACAGAGTAAGTTTATTGTATTTTCATTTGCAAAGTTAATATCGACACATAGCAATCATTAGTTGTTTATCTTAGGCTCAATTACATTTTCTTAGTATATTTTACAGCTCTTTCAAGAATCAAAATACCCAGGCCTAAACCTAATTATTTAGGAGGGCCTATATAAACTGAGTAACAAACAATGAGGTTATAATAGCAGCAAAGTTACTATCATCATTCTAGTTCATAAGATTTTGATTGCTTAAAGCATACAACTCAATAAATAAATATATGGGAAACAAAAAACATTGAAACCTGAATAGCCAACAATATAAGGCAAAGATACAGAAAATGCAATGACATAATTTGAAACCAAGCAGGCCTACATAGTGATAAAACATTAATGCAAACAACAATGCTTGTGGTTTTGTCAATTGACAGATAAAATGTCCATAAAAAAGGGGTTAACTTACAAAATAAGACTGTAGATTATTTACATGTTTAATATGAAACCATAAACAGTTTTATGGCACTAGGCACTGGCCAGCGGCACAAGTAAGAAGTGAAATTTAACAGCCATTATAAAGCTATTATTTTCACGATAAAATAGGTTTGGGATCTAATAAATAATAATTACCCTAGTAATAAAAAAAGAAGTTGTAAAGGAATAAAAGTGATACAACTTTTATGAGCTAGCTGCTGAGTCAACAGTTCTTGGAAGTACTTCACTTGACACTTGATTGTCATGATAAAATATTAATGGGTTTGAGATTGTTAATGGGATTTTTATTGCATAATTACTCTAGTAATAAATTATGAAAATGTAAACAAACATCTGATAAACCTTTTATGTGCTCCTAACCAACTACCGATCAATAAAATTATGGCCCATTAACACATTCACTGCTAATGATATGTAATACTTTTATAAATGGCTAAAAAACATAAACATTAACATGATCATGTTAATTGAGTGACAATATATCTTTAATTAAATAAATTTTATACTATAAATTGTGGATTAAAATATATTATGTAATTATATACATCATGAATTATATATCTGCTAATATACTTATGACGCACAAGTGCGTCATTAGCAGTGAACGTGTTAAAAATTTAAGGACATAATCTGGCATCTAAGGACAATTCCCGTACATTTCATGGCCAGTAAAAATTTAAGTACAATTCCCGGATTTCCGGTTGGTAGACACCCTGCAACATCATGTCTAGCCATCATAACGATAACGTGTCATGCAGAATATCCAGATTGTGGTGGCTGCCCTGATTTGAGAGTGTGCACGCAACTTTGGACTCTGCCCCAAATCGCTCATTCTGAAGCATTGGAATGACGTCACAGCACCCTCAGCACTGTTCGGTTGTTTTGCCATATACTACGTACGTATTGGGATTGGGATGGTCTGGCCGCCGTCAGCGCCAGACTTTGGACTCTGCCCCAAATCGCTCTTTCTAAAGCATTGGAATGACGTCACAGCACCCTCAGCACTGTTCAGTTGTTCTGCCATAGACTACGTACGTATTGGGATTGGGATGGTCTGGCCGCCGTCAGCGCCGTCCTTACTAAGCAAGCGACAATCAAAAATAAGTCATTACTGAAGAAAGTAATTTTAATTTAACTAAAGAATATTAAATTGTAATTTATTTATATATTGTTGGGAGGGCGGCGTCAGAGAGTCCTTATGGACTATCCTCCACTGCCCTAACTTGAACCTTCCGACAGTGTTTTCTTTCTTGCTTACAGGTAATGATGTATTTTCTTGATAGACCTATCTAAGTAAAACTATTTATTTATATTTCGAGTGTATAAGTGTAATTAAACCATCAACTAAGCCAATCAAACATTCAAGTGGATTTAATGTATCTCCTGACCTGATGTGTTTGACGGCTACATTGCCCCATTATATGTAACACATGATATTTACCATTTTGAAACTGCTTCGGAGAGATGTTATTTTAAACTCATAATAAATATAACCAATACTGCAGTTCTGGGGCTATTGTAATTAATTCTACTACTTTTTCCAGGATTCATAATCATTATTTTTAAATTAAATAACTATTCATAATCCGATAATATCTTTTTTTACAGTCTTTCCTCAAATTATGCCTTTTCACCCTTATCACAGGTACAACTAGGTAATAAATGGTATATCATGAGTTTTTTTTAACTATTAATATTTACATTTTATTCATCATAGGACCTAATCATAGTATCACAAACATTTTCACTACCAGTTCTCAGCAGAAATTATTCAAGTTTAACAGAGAAGGAGGCGCCGCAGGAACACCCCTGCTCAGCCAAGGGGTTGTTGACCACCCTAAAGGAAGCTTTGATGAGCTCCTGTTGGTAGTCTATGGTTGATCCTTTTATATACTGCAGGGATGTCTCATCCACTATCACACGGGCTCCATCTTTCTCAAAAATCCTTAAAAATGTGATATAATTTATTATAGTTTTTTAGTTTATGGTACGGTATCTTATTCTGAAAGTAAGCTTTATTATGGACTTAAAAGAGTGTTAGTGCTCATCCTATGGTTAAATCTGAGGCATGTTTTATATGGAAACGGTTGTGTGTGCCATTCATTGTCGATTGAATTAAATACCGGTAGTTAAATGTTTTTATTAGCAAAATAACAATATTATTCTTATACAGTAGAGTCCCGCTAATCCGAATTTTTGTCTTAGGGCGCTAGGCACGAGCCCGGGATTGTTTTTCACATTACTTAAGGCTAGACCTAGTGCAGCCACTAAAATCCATTTGTGGTTTGGCGGGATTGGATGAAAATGAACCCGGGACAAAAATGAAAAATGTTAATAACAAAAATGGTGAAATATTTACTAAAATACTCAACAAGAAAAGTCTATCTCGCTCGGCTGCTACAGAATAATTTGACAAGGTACAGCTAAGCTAACTGTGTTAAAAATTATATAAAAAATTTTAAAATTTAAACTTTTTTATTATAAAATTAATTTTGTTATTATAAAATTAATTTTTTTATTTTCAACTCACTCGTATTCAAATTAAACAACTAAATGCTCACTTAAATGAAATTCATAAAAGAAAAGAAGAATTCAACAACAATCTGCAACGGGTTAATAATACTAATTTTTTTAATATCTTTTGGTTTTGGATTAAGCGGACTTTCGGATTACCGAAGTTCGGATTATCGGGACTCCCCTGTATTATTGGGGGTTGAAACAACCCAAACAATTTTTCACCTAAATGCACTCTAGTTTTAGGGTAATTTTTACCCTAAAACTATTAGTACAGGTAAAATAGGGTTTTATAAACAACAAAATTTGTACATTCATGAAATTTCACCTGTGAGTTACTAATAATATGAGAAATGAAGATCCGATGAGTCCCCAAAATTTTGGGTGTCCTAAGGCCCTTTTTGGGGCCCTTTATGGTCCGAAGGGCCCTTGTTCCTGAATAATTTTGTTTTTACGTTTAAGGTCGAGTGAGGTGTGGTTTTCGATGGTTTTAGTTATTTTAAATCGATTGGGACTAGTTTTAAGTGTATTAAACCACTCCATACAGGGTGTTTAGAAATGTTATTACTTTTTACGATATTTAAACATTTATTCATAGAGTAATAAAATTAGTTACCTCCATGCTCTACATAAAAGGGGATTATTGAAAATAATTGTAATTTTTTACTACGTAAGGGGAAAGGATCACAAGGAGTAAGAGAAAATATGAAATACCCCCGTCACAGCAAACCTGCAGACTAAGCGAAATTCGGTTTTACTTACTTGATTTTCAATTAAATCTAAAATAGCATTGCGTTTAACGATTACCTAGGTTTGCTGCTACAAGGAGGCTATTAAAGTGTGTCTATATTAAAATATTAATAGCCTAGTATAAAAGAAATAAATTTGACAAGTAAGTTTGATCAAGGAAACAAAATCATTTTACACTATTCTACATAAGAATAACATGGGAATTTTAAATTTACAAATTGAGTATTTTATCCGTAACTAATAGCCATACAAAAACACGTTAATATACTAAATTATTTGTTTTTAAGCTATTTAAAATGTTCTAGAGAAAAATTGGGGAACTTTGTGTTTTGAGGGTGAAGTAAATGAGAAAACCCAATTTTTACCCTATAAACCTCGTTCCCATTGTTCAGGACAAAAATGCTTGTACCGACAATGCTCTGATGTCTTAGTGCTGTCCTGGTCATCATAACCACGAAAGACAACCGTACTTGTATTGATTGAAAATAATTGTGAGGAAATTAAGATACAAGCTGCAAACGTCATTATGTATGAAAGGTGTTTTTGTACCAAATCACATTGTTCGTGCTTTAAGATTGGTGTTGCCTGTTCTGCAATATGCAAGGTTTGTAAAGGGGAATCCTGCTTGAGCACCAACTTGGACAAAATCAGTAAAGATGGACAAGTTGCTAAGAATAATAAAATTGTTAATGAGTCGTCTGAGAATAATTATTGTGATGATGAAATTGTAAAGAGAGATACTACTGAAATTGTAGAAAAATAGCTTTAGTTTAAGTACTTCATTTTAATATGTAATGTAAGGTTTTATACAAATACAATTGTTTTAATTTTTAATAAATGCAAAAAAAAAAAAAAAAAAAAAAAAAAAAAAAAAAAAAAAAAACTTAAATAACTACCTAAGAAACATACATATCAATTTGAAATTAGTCATAATAGATTTGCATGAAAAACACATTAAAAGATTATTCACATCACCTTATAATCAAGTTGAAATTTTTGCGTAGTAACCTATGTTATTATGTTATAGTGTAAAACTTAATCCATCCCCTTTTAGCGAACTTCCCATATAGGAAATAAGCTATTACCGAAGGTCTTATGGTAAAACAAAGACCCGAAACCGATTTACGTTTTCATTTTGATGCCCCCAGAAGCCTAAAGCACCCTTAGAGGACTGCTGTTTAGAAGGTTGCGAGATAACTCAAAATATTACATAAAGGGTTTATAAACATATATATATATAATATAATTAAGAAAACTGTAGTGATTAGGGCTACTATTTTGATATATAAAAACATTATTAAAAACTAAGTACCCTTTTTTAATTCATTTTATTAAAATGAATTAAAAAAAGGGTACTTAGTTTTTAATAATGTTTTTATATATAATATAATATATCCATGTTATATACGTGTCCGTAAACATGATAACTCGAGTAATTTTGGTTCAATTTTAACGAAACCGGCAAAATCGGTCCTTGGAACAGGGTTTTATGTGGTATAAATTTGTAATCTTTGACCCTCAAAACACAAAGTTTCCCAATTTTTCTCTAGAGCATTTAAAGAGCTTAAAGAAAACAAATAATTTAGTATATTAACGCGTTTTGTAAGTGTATTAGTTACGAATAAAATTCAAAAATTGTAAATTGAAAATTCCATGTTATTCTTAAGGAGAATAGTGTAAAATGATTTTGTTTGTTTGTTTATAGATATGTCTTAATAAAACTTGTCAAATTTATTTGTTTTACACTAGGCTATTAATATTTTACTATAAACACACTTTATTAGCCTCCTTGTAGCAGCAAACCTAAGTATTCATTAAACTCAATGCTATTTTAGTTAATTGAAAATCGGGCAAATGGAAATTCGCTTAGTCTGCAGGTTTGCTGTGACGGGGGTATTTAATATTTTCTCTTACTCCTTGTGATCCTTCCCTCTTATATAGTAAAGAATTACAGCTATTTTCAATAATCCCCTTTTATATAGAGCATGGAGGTAACTAATTTTATTACTTTATGAATAAATGTTTAAATATCGTAAAAGGTAATAACATTTCAAAAAACCCTGTATAGAGTGGTTTAATACACTTAAAACTAGTCCCAATTAGTGATGTAAAATACCCGGGTATTTAAAACTCGGGGTAAATACCCTGGGTATTTACCCGGGTAAATACCCAAAATCCATAAATACCCGGGTATTTTGGGTATTTATGAAATCGATTGAAATTCATTTATATTTACCCCTAAATATGTTATAGTTATCATTACATGATAAATTAGGATAGACTTTAACACCTTTTACAGTAACTTGAAGCTTTGATAGTACCTTTTAATGATTTAGCACTTTTTTTTAATAATACATAAAGTTTTTAATTGAGAATGGGGTTTTGTGTCTTAAATCGAGTAACATCAGTTATTTAACTTACTAAAAAATAGTATATTAAAAAAGGCTTTCAATTTTTATAATTTTATATATTTATAACCAATTAAATAACATAAACAAAATTATTTGAATTTATAAATATCCAGGAATTGTTGAAAGATTTATTGTGCTATAGATTCAAATGTTTTGTATCACAAGTTTATGAAATTAGTTTTGTTTTTATTTTGACACCATTGATACCAACAAAAGATCTAGAACAAAATAAAAAAAATAGAAAATATTATTAAATCCTGCCATCCTACAGATTGAATTTTAATTATTTTCTTAAGTTGTTTACACATAGGCCACTACAAGGTTAAATTTTCCTTTTTTTCTAAATAATAATTATTACTTTACAAATTCTTTTTCTTCACTTTCAATAAAATGAATTCATCTATCTATCATAGAAATTAAAAAATCATAAGTAGTCAGGACCAGTGCAACCATGCGACCAGGATATTTATGCCGATTAAGCTTCATGCTCAGACCTGGGTATTTATGGCGATTATACCCAGAAGTAAAATGCTAGTAGTGACCATATGAAATTTTGTTTGGCACATTTTATCATCATTTTACTATCCTTACAGGGTAATAATTGCAAAAAAAACATCTCAATCTTCTCTAACTTTAATAAAAATTATAAATACCCAGTTTTTGGGTATTTACCCGGGCCTGGGGTAAATACCCAGGTAAATACCCAATTTATATTTACCTACCCACTGGGTATTTACCCGGCCCACATCACTAGTCCCAATCGATTTAAAATAACTAAAGCCATCGAAAACCACACCTCACTCGACCTTAAACGTAAAAACAAAATTATTCACGAACAAGGGCCCTTCGGATCAAAAAGGGTCCCAAAAAGGGCCTTAGGACGCCCAAAATTTTGGGGACTCATCGGATCTTCATTTCTCATATTATTAGTAACTCACGGGTGAAATTTCATGAATGTACAAATTTTGTTGTTTATATGGAGTGTTTTTGTATTATTTTCCTACTATATGATTAGTGCTCTATGTACTAAACATATTACAGTATCAGAAGTCATGTAATAGTTTTGTTGAACCCTAAGGATTATAAAATAACTTTATTCTACAGAATAAATAAGAAGTATGATTCGGGTGTATGTTAATAATCTTTTTTTGCTCCGCTCAATTTGCAGACCAGAAACCATATACCTAGTTATTTATTGTTCCGTAGCAAGGCAACTGCACTTACCTATCTTCATCGGTGATGTTTTGGTCAAGCTCAAATTTATATTGGAATCCAGAACAACCACCTCCTTCAACAACCACTCTTAGTGCACTCCCATCACTCACTATTTTGTTGAGCCTTTTGGCACAAGATTCAGAAATGGACAATTCTCCTAATTTTTCTCCAATTACAGGTTTAGCGGAACAATAAAATCTGTAAAAGAATATCACATAAGTATTGTTGAAGACTTTTTTCCCTTGTTCAAAGGTTTATTGCGGACATTTTCCATCACGATTGTAAAAAACAAATTGCTTTTTACAATCGTGATGGAAAATGTCCGCAATCAACCTTTGAACAACATTAACTCACCGTCACCAGCAATGAACTTCAAACAATAGTATATTTCATTACTAGGACCGAAAGTGGCATTTTCCGTCGCGCGCTCAAGTTTTTGTGTGAGGCGAAGCCGAACACAGGGAACATCAATTTCACGTGCGAGGCGAAGCCGAGTATGTGAGAGTTATTTTCACGTACGAGGCGAAGCCGAGAACGGGAATAATGGAGCAAGTGCCGGATAATAACTTTCGGTACGAGTTATGAACGATACTTTTCATCACGACGCAAAAATACACAAACACAGAATAGCAGACCTCTGATATTACAAATATTTTATTTCTCAATTAATTTGATTGAACATTAAAATAAAATAAAATAAAATTTTCTAAAAGGAAACCTACGTATATTTCTCAATACATTTTAATTAAATATCAAAATCTATATAAATAAAATTACAGTTTTGTCTGTACATTGCTTAGAATCATGCAGTTTTTGGTTATTTTAACGTTTCATAGCCTAAGAAAGCCGAAACGAGTCTTATCTCAATTTCTGTCTGTATGTCTGTCTGTCCATTCTGTGACTCGGTCTGTAACGCCAAAATGCCATTTTACGCGGCCTACTCCTAGAAAACTAGAGTACCGATCAAGTTTCTAATCATTTTTCTGTATTTACTGAATTGGTGAGAGTGTCTTTGGCTAGAAAAACATGGCCTTGCTTCTTTGAAAAAAAAATAACAAACCACCAAAAACCCAATTTTGTTCGATTTTTGTCAAATTTTCTCCCAATGTTTACTATTACATTTTATGAAATAACGATCAGCTGTTTGGATTAGTTCTCACTTCTAGCTCTCACTGACTGATATGTTTACATTCAAAGTTGTTTACAAATACCGCAACCATTTCCGATCAAGTTTTGTTAGCACATCCAAACCAAGTGAGATTAAAAACGTTGTGCCTTACTTTACCGGTTTAATTAATCGCAAATGCAACGATTGTTCTTGAGTTTTGATAACCGGGGAAAATACCGTGAAGCAGTGTTGTATTAGTGCAAGGAAACTTACATTTTTTTCATCATAGTCACCAATAGCTTACAAAAAAGGTTTCCACTCATTGACGGCGCCTTAAGGACAGTTGTGTTAAGTGCAAAGTAAAAAATCACAACTGCAGTGGGTGATCGTGGATGTTGCTGCAATCTTGGAAGATCTTTCTGATTTCGCTGTGATCGTACCGTAACAGAGGTTTAACTTAACAGATGTAGCTAAACTCGCTTATCCAATGTGTCACTTTTGGTTTCTACTTACTTACATTTCGACAACGATATCGGTACTTTTCCTACTTAGGAAATACAACTACAAACGTACAAAACCCCAGATTTGTGCATTTTTGTCACATTTCCTCCGAATGTTTGCTAGATATATGTACCGATTATCGTTTAGAGATTACGTAATATTTTAAATAAGAAACCTTTGTTTGGATAAAGGTGGTTTCTTCAAACTGTCATTAATATGTTAACATCTTTTCTTAAATGTAAACGTTGGTTTTTGATACTGCTACTTTTCTTTAGAACCGGTGGTAGCAGTAAGAATCATTTTTACATACAAACACATCACCATTTTCAATATTTATTTATAAACACTGCACCTTATTGCTTATTAAATTTAATTGATGTCTTACTGTATAATTTTTAGCGTTTTCTGTCTGGACTCCAAAATGTTGTGTGGACTCAATTCTGTATTTGTGTGTGTGTGTCTGTTGGTAACGCATTAATGTCCTTATTTTTCGTTGAAAAGACAAGAGAAACATTGTTAATAAAAATGTCAACCCGAATAAAGTGTGCAGTAGTGAGGTTGAGGTAGTGTTTTAACTACTTTTAACCAGTGTGAAAAGCAACTTTCAATTACAGGCCTACCTTAGGGCTATGCCTCATATATCTATACTGTAAAGCAATTCCTTTTATCGTTAGATATAAAATATGGACTAACACGATCGGGTGACATTTAATTGCGAAGCATTCGTTTTGGATTTGAAACTGTCAGATATTGTATTTGAGAAGGTGTATATGTATTCCTAAACAATTATAGTTTTGCCATCATATCTGGAAAAATGCACACTAAATATGCAAACCAACTCCTGTTCTGAATATAAGGTTTTAACTTACTACAAGATTCCCGTACGTAGAACGGGCAAACAGCTAGTAAAAGAATAAAACAACTTTGAACAATACATACAGCTGATTCAAATCATTAAATTAAACCATAACAAAACACTAGCGCGCGTAGTGAATAAATGGAGAACTAATTGAGAGCGAGGGAAAGTAAATTTAGAGCGAGGGAAAATCAGCTGATCGATTTTCCCTCGCCCTAAATTAGAGCTTGGGAAACGACTACTTTCATTGATGTCAGCTGTTATCGAAAATAGTTACTTTCGTTACGGAGTGATGAAAAGAATTTTTCCCCTTGATCTGCATTTAACATATGTGTATATTTATCATGTTATTATTTCATTCTGTTTATTTTTTATTACATTATTTTTATTGCTCATAACATGGTTAACATGGTTTCTTTTTTTAAACGTTTTTATTAGCTCGCTTTCTTGTCCGGTACAAATTTTGCAATCAATTTTATACTAACTTCCCGATGAGCTAGAGACTTGAAACATAGCTCACAAATGGATGACAATGCAATATTATAACATTTAATTTTCATATTTCCCTTGGGCTACGCCCCATTGGGCTTCCAAATTTTCCATGTTTACATTTTGAACGAATGTAAACATCAATTAATTTGAGTTAGCTGTAAAATACTTAAATTTACAGTTCGAAGAGCAAAGGTAAAGAGGTCAGGTTATGCTCCCAAGAGATTCTTTATACAAACAAACATTTCAAAATAAAGATAAACAATCTGATTGCAGATATAAAGGTGTTTGTTAATAATGTCAACTGTTATTTAGTATTCTATAAAGTAAACAATAAATTAAATAGATTGATATATTTATAGTAAGTAGGTAGGCCATACATTCAATCTAATAATTATATGAAAAGAAACTCAAATAAACCTTAGATTTTCTACATGCCTCTGTCTTAATCTGATATAGAGATGCTTGAAATATATTTAACCCTCCCAGTGTTACTTGACGAAAATTCGACAAGCAGCACACTTTGTGTAGTGTTACTTGTCGATTTTTCGACATGCAGACATCGTTTACGGCGAAGGCTCTATGACTGACTGAATCGGATTGAACTGGATCGAGTTAGGTATCGTTCTTTCCGTAATATTCTAAGCTTTCTCCAGAGGTCTGTCTCTAAGCGCTATTCATTTTAGTTCCGAAAATATTGTAGCAGACAGCTGACGTGCGTGTATTTGTAAACAGCTAGGTTCCCCCGGACCGATGACTGATGTGTTTTATTACGTTTATCATTGTTTTAGTGTTAAAAATCAAAAGTAGTGATATACGTGGTGCATTATAAGAAGATTTAAGTGGTTTTGAAGTGCTGGTTGATGATCCTCAAGAAGTAGGTAGTGATATTGATGTAAATTATCAGCCAGATTCCTAGCTATGGTTAGGCTATGCATTCTTAGCTAAACGCTATGTACTGAAATCAGTTTTTTGCCCATAACTTATTTATTTGCAAATATACTTCCTTATATTATTATATAGTTGTAATCCTCATAAAATTTAGAACAAAGTGGCTATTTTCAAATATTTATAGGCCTATAATTTATACAATTTCATTGAGCGCGAACTTATTTTTATTTTGAAAATTTTCGAAATTATATTTTTTTTTTACCTAAAAATTTTTTTTTTGAAAAAATGTTCCTTATGTTTTATATATAATATTGAAGCCCATGATTTTCCAAACAAAATGGTATATAGAACGTTAGAATTAACATTGTTTTAAGCTTCTCAGATCCGTTTTAATAAAACCTTGCAAATGCGCCAAAAATAGGTGGACATTAAGGCCTAAACTATGGACACTTGGAGGGTTAACATCCACACACATTAAAACTAAAAAGTAGAAAATAATTTTAAAATAAAATCTTTCATAATTCATAATAAATCAAAACGTTTTTAAACACACTAAAAAGTAGAAAATAACTTATAAATGTGTGAAGTATAAATACTTGTAAGATTTAAAACGAAAAACTTGGGGTGCATGCAATTGATAATACTGTAATACATTAGTTCAATAGGTGAAGGTAATTGTAAATTATCTATTGCATGCGCCCCACGTTTTTCATTTTAAATATTACAAGTATTAATACTCTCCACATATTTATAAATTATTTTCTACTTTTTAGTTTTTAATTTATAATTTTAATATTTTTCCATTTCCTAATACAACATTTGGTCCAAATTCGCAGTGAGATGAAAACCTGGTAATTATATTCATTACTTGTTAACATTACCCCATTTTTTATCTAAATGTTCTACTCAGTTCCCTTACAGTTCACTACTAACTGTTTGGTTTTGGAGTTTACCTGATTATAATCTTTTTGGACACAGATCACGGTATGGAATGAACTCTTTGCTTACTTAAAATAATATTATTTTTGGTGTCAATAAAAACAAGTTCAAGTTAAATTTATTATTAACTTTTTGGTTAAAGACTTTATTGAAAGAAACTTATCATTATCTACATCTTTGATGCACAATTCTTCTTTTTGACTTCATACTGAGATTTTGTGTGTGCTCAAGACCTTTTTATATTGTGCGTGCTGCTGGTAAATTTTGTGTTCAACTACTCCAATGGCTCCTAAAACTTCCGATTTTAAGTCATCAATCTACACTCGCTCAACATATCTCATTAAAACTCGTTTTAATAAACTTAAAGATACTGTTGATGAATACTCTACCTCAAAGGAACAACACACTCGTATTCAAATTAAACAACTAAATGCTCACTTAAATGAAATTCATAAAAGAAAAGAAGAATTCAACAACAATCTGCAACGGGTTTTAGCCTTAGAAGAGGATCCTATCTCTGGCGAGACATTGTCTCAAGACCTGGATGAAATTGAAAGTTTATTTTCTCATATTGAGACTACTATTGAGTTTTAATGTCCCCTCCTGAACCTTCAAATTCTGCTATCTTAAGCGACTCTTCTTCCATTACTGTTCACCAAACTTCTATTTCGCAAGCAGTACGACTTCCAAAATTAGATTTACAAAAATTCTCCAGTGACCCGCTATCTTGGACAAGTTTTATAAATTTGTTTGATACTGCAATAGGTACACCACAACACGTCGCTTTCCAGTGTTATGAAATTTCAGTATCTCTTAAGTATATGTAACGGGGAACCCCTCGACTTAGTCAAAAGTTTGAATCTCACTGAAGCTATTTATTTGGTTGCATATAATCTCCTCCGTGATAGATATCACAATGAACGCCGCTGATAGATATAACAAGGAAAATGTAAGAATTTGTTGACGGAAAGCAAGTATACAGATCAGGCGGCTGTCAGAATGTCAATGGTTGTTCTGCGTTATCGTTTATTAACTTATCAGCAGGTAAAAATCAGTTTAAGTAGGTAGGTTTGGTTAGGTTAGGTTGGATTGCCTTGTTAGGTTAGGTTGGTGTTTGTATTTTAAAAAAATTGTTTTCCAACAAAATCAAATAACTGAATAAACTAACCTAGCCTTTGTATAAGTTTACTTGCTTTCCGGCAAAAAAACTCTTGCATTTTCATGTTACTAATAAAAAAAAAGAACAATCAACTGTAATACTTATGAGAAAAATTGAACCCATACCATTGACTATTGGATACAGAAGAAGACATCCCATCTATATGGATCAGCTGTCGACAATTTTTTACTGAAAAAGAATGTAGTTGTGTGAGCCAGTCACAGATTGCGCTAGTGTCTAAAACTCTATTTTGTACCTTATTTTTGTTACTGACATAGTTGCTGGGTCACAACAGTTGCTATAGCTCATAATAAGTCATTCCATTAGTTTGAATTGGTAAAAACCATTGTGTAATCGGCAGAACCCATAAGTTACTTAGCTCAGAATTACCTACCTAGCGTAAAATGTACAGGGGAATATTTCATCACTAAGTTAACTTGGAGTCTAAAGAGACTCTTTTTGACCTGACCTCATTGAGAACAATCAATTTGTGTTTAAATATTTCTCAAAAGTAGGCTATTGGATTAATGTGCTTGCTCTGTTTAATAGGCTATACCAAAACAGACAACTTTATTGAAGGCCGAAGGCCTAGACTTAAGTTACTAACAACAACAACAGTTACTTACAAGTAAGGTTAGAGAAAACAAAGTAGTCATGCTAGAGATGATCATCGATAGTCAATGTTTTCGAAACATCGATGTTTAATGTTTTTACATCAATGGTAGGTTACTTACCATACATATGTTTTTTGCCAAGTATTAAGATATCGATGTTTTCTATTACTGGAGAGTACATAGAGCAGACAAAAAACTGAAAAAAACATCGAAAACGTTGACATTTTAGTAGGGTTGCCTTTGATGATTACCGGATTTTGACGCTCAAAATTTAACTCCGAGGGATTTCTGCGAAAAGTGAGGATCCCTCCTCTTTTTAGGCCTACTCTCTACTAAAATACATGATATAATGGCACTTTTGGAAAAAAATAAATGTTTGCATTTCGCAAACATCTTTATGCAATATCTGAAAAATTAACTCTCGTACCGTAGGCCTACTCTCTACTAACGTTTTTTTATTCCTTGGTTTCACTTTGGCCAGCCAGCAACGTCCTTAGTTTATCTTTATCGTCTGTTTCATTAGTCCCAGTCCTTCAATTCGCGTTTGCCAGCCAGTCCTAACTCGGAAGGTATCCGTGTTCACTACCAAAGCCTAGCAGATAGAAAGTGTTTTGTAGACTTTATTTGTTTAGGACTATTCATTATTTTTTGTGAGATGTGACAAGCGAAGCAACATATTATATTTTCAAGTACCCTTTATCGACAATTAGCACAAATATTGAACAGGAATGGTATCGACTAATAAATATAAACACAATCACTGGCCAATGTCTATAGACTAAGAGCGGTAACAACTATTAGTATGAACCTGGCAATAACTAGTGCGCGCGCCACAAAAAATCTATTGCTGGCCGTTTTGCGGCAAAATACGTCCGCGATCCATATTACCGATGCTGGCTGTTTTGCATTTCAGTAACTTAAGTGCAGCCTTGCTATGTACTAGGTATACAATTTTGCTAGACCGTTAAATTTAATCCACTATTATAGTGGGGGCCGCCAGCTAAACCTTATGTCAACTAAAGACAACCTATTAAATTTCCCTACAAGAAGTACCGTACATGCACATCAAACCAGGCGTAACAATGAAATAGACATCCCTTTCTGCAGACTCTCAAAAACAAAAAATTCATATCCGACCATGGCACTCAGGATCTACAATAGTCTACCCCAAACACTGAAGAGCCTGGAACCTCCTAAATTTAGCACTGCCCTGAAGACATGGCTAAAAGATAGGCCATATTATAGCCTGAAAGATTTTTTTGAAAGTATGGGTGTATCCACCGCCATGACATGAAAGTTTTATCTTTGAAAGAGAAAAGTTTTGTTTTTCGCAGAGGATACACGTCCGGTAACCAGACGTGGATTAGGCGTCCGGCAGTTACTGTCATAACCTAACCTAACCAACCAAACTTGCTGATAATGAAAAAAATCAAATGAAGGTTCAATTCTCTTCATAACATAAAATTATAAATGCCAAAAATTCTAACAAAAGACGTACAATTAAGAAGAAATTACATTCAAAGCAAAATCTGTGACAAAAAGTTAAAGAAACCGATGGGTTTCGAACCAGGGACCTCTTGGATATCAGCCGAGCACTCTATCCACTACACCACGAACAACGCTGGCCATACATCGTATCGTTGCTGTAATGGCGTTCCGGGACCCCACAACCCGGTGACGTCACTACCGGACGCCTAATCCACGTCTGGTTACCGGACGCGTATCCTCAGTGTTTGTTTTTTAGAAATAAGTTATGTAAATAGTATTGACACAACCTATCCGGCATCGCTGGTCTTGGTGACGAAGGAGGTAATTAAGGTAATGTTTTAGTCCCAAAAACATCAATGCTTTCCCAACGATGTTATCAGTACATTGATGGTTGACCTATCGATGCTCATCCCTAGTGTTGTAGGCCTTAGGGTATAACTTAAGGTACCGGTAGCCTACCATAAATGGCTGCACTTTACTTTAGGTCCTACACTCATTCGAATGAAAATATCGATCGATATATCGATTAATCGATTGTTTCATTCGATATATCGTTGGTTAGTTAGGTAATTAGTGATGTGCGATACGTATCGTATCGTATCGGAATATCGCGATACGCGAGGGACGATACGATATTTCGATACGATATTTGAAAAACGATACGTATCGTATCGCCTAAAACGATATTTGTATTTATATTGGCACATAGAGCGATACGATTCATGTCAAAACGATATTTTTTTGCGCAGGCCGAGCAAACTGCAAAATCTATACTCTGTGGATGTGTAGTTTGAAATAGGAATTTTTGACGTCTGTATTTTTGGTTTTTACTTTATAATGTACCAGTCCCATCCCAGTCCAGTCCATTTCCACTAGCGTTCTATCTAGCACTAGCAGTGCAGAGTGTGGGAACTGTCTGTGGCAATTACATTAATGTGTCTGCAATGCTAAAATGCTATGGGAAGGATAGGGAAACAGGTCCAAGACGTAGGGAGTTGTGAAGGAAGGAAGTAGTAAAGGCGAGCAGTGTTGGAGTGTGGGAATGGATTAATGTATCTGCAATACTTGTAAGACTGTTTTCAGAGTAAACTAATGATTTTCCCTGAGCAAAGCTCGGTCCCCAGGTACTTATATAAATTTGCCGTTTCTAGGTTAGGTAGGGGAGGGGGAAAACGATACGATACGTATCGTTTTTCGATATTTTTGACGATACGATTCGCGTATCGCGATACAGACGTCCGATTCGATACGGCGATACGATATTTTTTTCCGATACGTATCGTATCGCTGTATCGCGATACGCGTCCGTATCGCCCATCACTAGGTAAGGTTAACCTAACCTAACTAATCAAACTCAATCAATATTTTCATTCAAATGAGTGTAGGACATAAAGTAAAGTGCAGCCCCATAAATTTGACATAACTTACCTGAGATTATGTTTAGGTAAACTAAAATATTTCATTCTCTGCAACAAAGCCATTGCTCCTTAGAAACCCCCTAACCTGAGTAGGTTTAGGGATTTATCAAATTTGATGACAGGTCTAATCAGAAAATGCCATTATTTTCAACTAGTAACATCTTAATCTCAAAAACTAGATTTATTTTATGGTTAATTTTTCAAATTTCTCGAGCGAAAAAACAGTAAAGCAAATTAATTTAAAATTGCACAATTTTTAGTTTTACAGTCAATGTCAATGTCAGAAGGACTGTACAACAACAACATTCAGATCATCTCTAGACATCTCTCATCTCCCACCCTCACCACACCTCACAACAACACAGCACAACCACAACACAAAAACAAAAAACAAACAAAAACATTCAAGCAAGAGACAGAAAGAAGAAGCGACTGCCGAGCATTGAGATATAGATTATAACTGGAGTCACTACTCTCTGGTTAAACGTTGGAGAAAAACGTGCCACGGTTTTGGCTGGTTTGTTTTTGGTGTTTCGTTTTGTTAGGTTGGCCGTGTGATCGGTTGGTGGGATGCTGTCAAATAATTCCAATTCATTCTAACCTAACCATACTATCTATTTGGGGTTATGTTATTTCAAGCACTTGTGTCAACAACTTATTTAAATTATTGCACGTTAAACCTCTGTATTTAAAGTTATTTGAAACATTATATTGTTTTTCTTTGCTAGTAAATAAATACTAACTTATTTACCTCTTTTCAAGCTATGTGGTGAAAATAGGCTAGTCAAATTTCCTGGTTTTGAGATATTGGTTTAGGCCAATAGCCCTATGGCATTTGATTAAATAATAACGACTATCGGTTTATGATCTTGTTAAAATGTGTTGCTCTTGCTCGTAAAATAAATAAATAAACTTATATTTCAATCATAATGTTGAGTTGGCAGAGTTTTGTTTACTACTGTATCAACAAAACAGGATGACGCCATCTTGATCTTGCCTGCTTGCCTCTAATAATTTGACAAGTCCCACCAACCCGATCACCCGGCCAACCTAACAACACGAAACTCTGAAACCAAACCAGCAAAAACAGCGGTACGTTTTTTGAACACAGAGTGGTTACTCCAGTTATATTGTTTTATATTGATTAACAATAATTGTTATAGCTCAGTGCTGCCGAGTGCCGACGACTGTAAATGATTCAGTACTGCCAACGGCAGAAACTACAAGCTTAACATAGATAAAACATACTCCCTTGTGTTGGTTAGCTTATGCTATTAATTCACCCGGACAGAAATCCCACTGTCATTATTTGCCGATATTTAAGTTTCATCATTGCAAATGTAGTATACATAAATGGGAAAAAACTAGTAGTTTTTTTAGTGGGGCCTTGATGGGATGGAAAGTCTACTTGTGTTGGTTAGTCTATGGTTGGTCTATATATGTAACAACTTTGATATAGGGGATGGGTTGTCTGCTTCTATGAATAGTAAAAATATATATATATATATATATATATATATACACAAGATAATTTATCTTACAACACAGAATTTTTTGCTGTACCTCGGATATCATTATTAAGCTTATTTAGATTCAATCCTAAGTCCTTGGCCTAAGTCCAAGCGAAGTCCAGTCATCTCTCCAAAAGGCCTAGTTTCTAAAGCCTAGTGAGCCTAAAATTGTAAATAGTTTCAGTCCATATAGATCCGCAATAAAAACTTCATACTAGGCGGTGATTTTAACATTGCATTAAATTGTGATGAACCCAACACCAGGACGTTCTCAAACCTACTTCGAGCTCACGGCCTCTTCATCACCAGTGTCGCCCCCACAAGAGGAGATCGTTCCCTGGTCAGCATCCACTGAGCTAAAACCTAAAACTATAGCTCAGTGACAGCATCGCATTGTGATCACTAGCCAGGACTCCTAGACCTATGAGGTGGAGGTGACGAAGCCTCTGGTAGGGGACCATGGAGCTGCGGTTATGAGCTCAACACTCTGTAATCCGGTGAGTAATGCTTCAATTTCCTAGCGTGGTACTTAGACTACACTAGAAAGTGTTAGGAATATGAAAGAGTATCTCCTGTCTTATTTTAGAAATAGTTTACAGGTTGACTGGAGTTTTGCATTCCCAGACAGCACGTGAGCTTGGACTAAACTTGAATTTCATATATTTCTGAATTGGTATGACAAACTCGGAGTTTGGAACCCACTACAAATTTAAAACAGCTTTTTGGCTAAGTGAACTTGTGCGAATGCGCCAAAACTAAACTGGTTTTATTTACAACCTGGGGCCCATTTCATAATAAACTAAAAGTTACAAGTTACAACTTGTAACTTGTAATTTCCATTAGATTTGCATTGGGCGATCATCTGATTTACTAATAATATTAGTTTGTACTTTATTATGAAATGGGCCCCTGGTTGGTCAAGTCCACAATTGTAAGCACCCAACCAGACCTATGACATGCTTGTTTAAGTCAGTCTAAAGAATTCAATTAGATCGCCAATTCAATCGAATTCAGAAAAGAAGTTGAAGGTGAAGTGGAAGATGTATGCATATTTATTATATTAATAAATTGTCTTGAAATGTGAATGTCTTGTTTTCTAAACCTAACAGATAATATAATCAATATTTTTTAAGATCACTTTAAGACTCATACATAAAGGCTTCATTTTATATTATCATCTTTCACGGTTACAGGATTTATTATTTTTATGTTTAAGAAAAAAGGTGGGCTAGAATATGAATGGTGTGAAACAGTTTATATGTTAAATATAAATTATATTACTATTATAGCCTATTATTATATTCTTTGATAACGACAGTTATTATGATGTATATAAAACTTCGTACCAAGTTCTGAGTGAGTCTATAGGTGTGAGCACTCCTGTGGGGTCTCTCCCCGCATGCTCAGAAAGTACTGCTTCATAAAAAGAAAGGCTATCCAAGTAATATGTCAGGTTCACTATCTGGAGCATTGTCGGCATTTGTTCGCTGCACTTCGCATTATGACTGTTGTAAATGTCCATGTTTATCAATCTTTGTTAGCTATTAAGGACATGGAAGAAGATCTGGTTTGTAACAAGGATGTACACTCATATTTCACAAGAATGTATTTATTACTTAATGGTACAATAAATCTCTTGAATCTCTTGAAGCTTGTTTGCCCAAGTCTAACATGTGCTAAAACCAATTCCAATATGATCTAAGTCACGTCCAATATGAGCCTATACTAAAATTGGGCTTGGCTCCCCAAGTCATCCTGAACGAGTGCATAATGAGTCTGTTTAATTGATCTGTATGAGCTTGTTTGCCCAAGTCCAGCATGTGCTAAAACCAATTCCAATATGAGTCCAAGCCAAGTACAATGTGAATCTACTAAAATTGGGCTTGGGTCCCGAAATCCCGAACAATTCCATAATTATAATAGCCTGCTTAATCTACTACACCCAATTTGTATCCATCATTCCAAGCTTAGAGTGGGTTTGTGTTCATGAGTTACTTGATACTTACTTGATACTTGATGATGTCCCACTAGCATCCGCGCTCCTGCGACGTGGTCGTCAAATGGATAGAAAAACAATAATATGCCTAATTGAACAGATCTTCTACTTTAAAATAGGCCGCTTCACATAAATATTCCTTTAACATCTTCTTAAATTTATTGAAATTTTGCTCTTGGATAATGTTCCTTGGTAGTGAGTTGTAGATCTTGACACTACTAAAATATGGGCTCTTGCTGGCCAAAGTTGAGTTAACTTGGGGTACATGTACTTGATTAGCTCTTCTCGTGTTGTACTGATGGACCAGATTGTTTGTGAAAAAGATGTCCAGATTATTTCTCACCAAGATGGCAGATTCTAAAATAAATAGTGATGGGAGGGTTAAAATTCCAAGGTCCTTGAACAGGGGCCTACTGTGAGCAAGACGTTGAGCACCACACATTCTCCTAATAATTCATTTCTGGAGGAGAAAGATCCTATTGGCCATGGTACTACCTCCCCAGAATACTATTCCATAAGATATTATACTGTGAAAAGCTATTGTGCTGTTGGGGTCTTAAGTTGCCTACATCCTAGTCATAAGGACATGCGGTAAAATTCAGGCTTTTATTGCTAGTCTAATAGTAATCTATCACGTCCTGTTTATTTTGATACAAACTCCAAAATCCGCGGGGGTAAAATTTCGCCCACGAACAAAGTATAGAGCGGGCTCAGATTACTATACGTTTAGTGCAGTAACGTCAGCAGTAGTATGTTTTCTGGGCGTCAGCTGGTCAGCTCTGCTAAAGCAAGGCCCCACTAGAAAATCGAAACGGCACACGGAAGATTTCTCAGGTGCCGTTTGACGTCACTAACTGCTGACGTCACTTTGAGGGAACACCAATACCGCAACGATACGGATAGAGCCATCGGCTTCGGTGGTGCAGTGGATAGCGTTTCGGGCTGATAATCCGGATGTTTCGGGTTCGAATCCCGCCGACGGCCCTAACTTTTTATCAACATTTTTTTTCATATCAGCAAGTTTGGTTGGTTTGGTTAGGTTATGACAGTTTAATTTTATAATTAAAAAATTAAAAAATTGAATTCTAGGCAATTATAATTTTATTTTATGAACAAAACTATTTTTTTAGATTAGTAAACCTTTATTCGATTTTTCCATTATCAGCACGTTTGGTTAGTTTGGTTAGGTTATGACAGTTTAATTTAATAATAGAAAATTATAAAATTGTCTATTTCTTCAGACGCAACAGTTAGTGACGTCAGCAGTTAGTCAAACGGCACCTGAGAAATCTTCCGTGTGCCCCACCGCTAGAAAATAACCCACTAGTTTTTCTAGTGAGGCCTTGGCTGAGGGGATAAAATCCCGGCAACCGGCAACTGAGACTAACCTAAACCTTACCAATACATGCAAACTTCTCATCCCATTGTCAATTTTGAAGCTCGTTTTCGTTTACTATTTCATATCCGGGAACACTGATTGCTGGTGTTGACAACATTTTGTTTCTATTATTTTAGGATTAATTTAACAGATAGTTTTGTTCGGTAAACGAGGTTTTAAACGACCGAAATTATAAGAAACAAATTGTAAACCAAACACGTACATAATCTACAGTGCAACTTACAAAACTAATAATAAGATACAGCTGTTCCATAAAGGATGAGAAATCTACAATCCACTAAAGGGAGTATGTTTTATCGGTTTCATAGTTTATTTATGCCAGTATGTAATGTGTTAAGATTATACATTTAGAGTGTAGGAGTTTTGCCAACGGGTATCAGGTAGAAAGGGTCCCCATCCATGAATTCCACATACTGCGGAGTTTTGCCAACGGTTGTGGGTTGAGCGAGAGCGATTACACGTGACCGCGAGAGTGGCTTCCGCTAGGGGTGGACAAACCAGGCAGGATGCTGACTGTATTCAAAGTAATGGAGTTATGCACCTCTGACTGTGAAAGGAAATGTATTGAATTTTTAACCTAACCTAACCTAACCTAACCTAACCTAACCTAACCTAACCTAACCTAACCTAACCTAACCTAACCTAACCCACTGCGACAAGCGCATAACTGCCAAGCGTAGACAACCCTGACAATCGCTCTCCCTCCCTCCGTCACACTCTTTCTCCCACCACCACCGTTGGCAAATCTCCGCACCAAGAGGTGGCCGAAGGCATCCCCCCCATCTACCTGACACCCGTTGGCAAAACTCCGGTTCCCATACATTTATATGTATTCATATTGTATATGAACTGTTTCCTCTTTGCTAGCAGACGGATCGAAAGGCATTGTGGGACTACTAATTACGGTGCAGTGAAGTTTTATCATAATCTTCGTTCATGGCCGTCAAAAAATCTCCACTCTTTAGAAAATTTATCATAGTTTTCTTATGTGAGCGTTCGCAGTTTAGTTGCGTAAGTGTCTGTGCGTTCTGCTGATTAGTTTGTTTTGAATTGTATTGAAGACCAAGCCAATGTTTAGCGGAACCGTGCGGTTGAAAATATGCGAGGCTTGCGGGTTGAGACCTACAGATTTTCAAAAACGACACAACATGATGACGTTTGGAAAGCCAGAAGACCAACCCATAGACCCTTATGTATCAATAGATGTAGATGAAAACCATTTAGATAGATCCTCTACCAAACCAAAGACGTTTGACCCAGTTTGGAATGAAAATTTTTCTCACGAAGTTCAGAATGCTGAAAGCTTGCAGCTGACAGTATTCCATGATGCCGCCATCCCACCAGACGACTTCGTAGCCAACTGCAGCATTACTTTCGAAGAGTTGCTCCAGAGGGACTCAAATGATTTTTGGGTAAGTGGTGGACCATTAGTAATACACATGTCTACTTGTTAGTGAGTTGTATTCCCTATCTCTTAACTTAATACCTGTGGAAGGAGGCTTATTTCAAACTGATGTACCCTAGGCCTAGGCTTGCTGTCAACCATTTAGCCAGTCCAGTTAGCCTAGATACATCGCTTTTAAAATTGTAGGTCTAAACATAGAAGTGATTTATTGTTATGTTCTGAAATGCCATGGCTCTACACTTGGACATGTATTATTAAAGGATTAACATTCTTTTTTTTAAACCATAAGTTAGGGTTTTGCCGTCCGGTTAAAAACTGTAAAATAAGATAGGCTACAGGTATTTTTTTTAGTAGTTTAACCCTAGCAGTGGCCAACCGTCGTCTGGTGACGGTTTGACGTTGATGCTTCAAATGGCCAGCCGTCGTCTGGTGACGGTATGGGCCGAAATTATTTTAACGGTAAAAAAAACACAGCCTATAATCAACTCAGATGAGAACAATATATTAACTTACCATTCGAAAGATCACATTCTGAACTTTTGTTTTGTTACATAAACAAACCCTGTAGCAGGTATAAGCTAAACAATGTCACGACGATTAGAAATCAAATGAATTCTTGGCACGGCACGACTTAGCAGTCGACCCTTGGGAACTGGCAAAACACGTCTTGTTTGGCATTACCCTGCTCGGATAATTTTCGTCTTGGGATGTTGTACTACTTTCAAGATCTCATACACAAAGTGCCTTGTATTCGCCATTGCGTGTTGTTGCCGGTGAGTTTTCGCTCTCGTTTTATCCGCGATTGATTACTAAGCTTGTTATTATTTTGTATTTTTTGAGAAATGTGTACCGTACCTAGGGCCTATGTGTATATAACAGTAATCTTCATGTATTTTATTATGCATGAATATTTACTGAATAGTGTCAAATTGTGTTTATAAAAGGTTTTATTTTTCTTTTGGTTGTATTTTGAGGTTTTCCGTTTATTTATATTATTATGCCCCTAGCACGTAAAAACAAAAATTTTTACCAAACATGTTATATACATTTTTATGTATGTAGTCTAGGTAGTTAAATACACTACAAGATGCTTATGTTGGTTTGAAGTAAAAAAATATGGTACAAAAGTTTTAGGCTATACTAAATACAGTAGGTACTATGATTTTTTCTCTCACAAAATCGCTAAAATACAAAAAAATAATTTTATTTATAAATAGGTAAAAAATATTTTTACCATAAACTTTGTGACTTTTTTTGATTCCTTACTTCATTAGCTTTACAAACATGTATACATCATTATTAGTATACACATATATTAGGCTATATAACTTTTTAAACACAAACTAACACTGTATAGGCCTACGGTTTTCAATTTGTTTGGTTCTCCGTTGGTTAATATATTTCGCCCCAAAAACTTAAAAAAAAAATTTTCCTAATATGTTATATTTTTCTATGTAGGGAATTGTCTACTAAATGTATATAATGAATTTCCCATAAAAAATCCGTAGAAAAAAAAAATACCGAGGCCGCTTTTGAAATTAAAAAAAAGCCAATTTTTTTTTACTTTTTACTGAAAAAATACATTTTAAAAATAGGCCTAAGTTAGTTGTTTAGCCTCCGGATTACTGTATTATACTTAAAATGGTTTACAATACCTGCATATAGTAGGCTAATCCTTTGTTGCTGATTTAGGCAACTAGTTTCGGTTCTTGTTTTGAACCATCTTCAGGCCTCAAGGTGTCAAGTGATCACTTCATTCGAAGGTCGTTAACAGAGTTCAATAAATAAAACATATACAAAACACGATACACGGAACGGACACACATTACAAAAAACACGAAGGGACATTGACAAACGATCCGGCTGAGCAGCCCGGTCACGATCGTTTGTCAATGTCCCTTCGTGTTTTTTGTAATGTGTGTCCGTTCCGTGTATCGTGTTTTGTATATGTTTTATTTATTGAACTCTGTTAACGACCTTCGAATGAAGTGATCACTTGACACCTTGAGGCCTGAAGATGGTTCTAAACAAGAACCTAAACTAGTTGCCTAAATCAGCAACAAAGGATTACTATATGCAGGTATTGTAAACCATTTTAAGGAAAAATACACTATCTAAATCATTATTCTATTTCTATTTATAGATTCTCCTGTTCTTCCCGAACAAAATGAATATGAGGTTGGCTAGGTTTACTTGTACGGTTGAATTTTTACGAATTTTCAAAAAAAGGTCTGCAAAATCGCCCAAATGGGTTGGCCATTCCCCACTTCTAACATTGGCCACTGCTAGGGTTAAAGAAGATCCGACCACCAAACAAGGCAGCACGAGTTACTGGATGTGCCTAGGGTTAGGCTTGCAAGATCTCAAAAGAGCTTAGTTTTATAAGTTAATACAGTGGCAATACAAATTTTTAATTTAAGCTAGGGACCTAACTCTATCAAGTGTCTTGAGCATAAACTTTTCACGAAGAAGATTGTGGACGATTCCATGGTTACAGGTGCTACATTCACACATTAACTTATAAATTAGTAGGCAGGCCTACAAGATAAAAGTAATATCGAGTTTGAAGAACGTCAGCGCCTTGCAATTTCTAAAACCCAGGCCTATGATCATCAGACAAAACAACAAGACACGGAAAAATGGCAGTAGCAGAACACAGCTGGACAACAAGACATGCAATTGATTTTGAAAGTAGCCTAAAGTAAATTTTAAAGAACTAAACTAGGCTATATTTCTACTCCAGAATCCAACAACTTCCTTAAATGCAGGGTTGTCAATTCTCGCGCCAGTCCTGAAACAGTGCAACAAGCAAACTAATAAACTAATAACTAGAGAACCCGTGCGGCTCAATGAAACATAACGTCGAGGAAAACGTTATGCTTAAATTTTAGTAATTCTAGTTACATCTTAGAGTTGTTTGAAAACTTGTTTTAAAACTAATTTTAAATATCTCTATTTGCGTCGTCAAGGTTCACCTAAATTTTTTCTGTTGACAGTTTTAACTGATAACTTCTAATTAATGCTAAACGCTCTGCTTCAATTCGAGTTAACATGTTTCAACAACGTTTTTCAAGCATTGAGAATATAAGAAAACTGTTACAGTACCTTGCTGATAACCTAGTGTTAAGTAATTTAAGTTGGGCAATTTTTTCTATGATGTCTCAAACATCCCCCTAAACCAAAGAATTTTCTCTGTAGAGAATCCTGAAAATTGGGGTGATATCAACCATTTCATGTGCTCCATTTTTTACCCACTAACTATGGGCTACCATCTGGACAGCCATAATCTGCTTTGAAAATGCTAAGCAACACCATTGAAAGTTGGTTAACATATTTAAATGTGTTGTCTGTCAGTCACAGTATATGCCCTGCATCAGAACATTGTCACGTTGTTCAGTGGAGTTTATCTTTATACCTGTCCCAAAGTTTTGAAAGTATGGATTCATTTGCCGAAATAGGTTGGATAACTCTTGTAGCTATAAGATTTGGATAGCAATTTTCATTTTTTCTTTTTGAACAGGGTATACAATTATTTGCCTCTCCTGAATCATAAAAATGAACTTTACCGTGACTACTCGATCGTTGACTACACAAACACTAATTCCTTCACTTATGTTTGGTCTAATATTGCCACTAAAACTTTCAATAGCAAATGAGTTTTTTAAACTTCTTATTTTTTACTTGAAATGTCTTAATTGTGTTGGTGAATTCAGTCAAAAAACTTGGTATAAGTTTATCCAAGGAAATGGCAACATAACCTAGAAGTAGACAATCCATTTGCGGTTTTTCTCAATTGAAGTAGAGCGAGTAATACAAACAATTACAATAAAAACATAAGGTCCGCCAAGATTTGGTATAATCTTACTACTTGAACCTATTATAGCCAAGGCATAATTATAGTTTCTAGCAAATGTTTTGAAATATCTTGATCTGTCAGTGCCAGAAGTAAATATTTTTTGAATGCATTAATTTGATCTGACATTAGGCAAGTTTACTTAACCACTGTGACAACACTATGTCCTTTGTATATTTTTTTCAGTTCCAAAGTAAGTTGCATAGCAGAACTGGCAAATTCATCTCACCAAGTGAATGGGTATCTGTTAGACCAGGCCTCTCTTATTCTACTCTCCACATACGCATAAGATATCTTATTATTAATTGTCTCCTCCTCCCGTTTTCAATATTTCTTCTTTGAACTTGAGGCATTTTCTGTTCTTCCAACAAAACTGATTAACTGTTTAACTTGGTCTTAACCTACTGAATATTACTACCGGTACATTAATATCTACTCCCAAAAAGCTAGTGAGTTTTTTTTTCATATTGTTATGTACGTCACAAGGTTATTAATCTCACTTGGTTTTGGATTTGTTTACAAAATGTGATCGGAAATGGCTGCTGGTTTGTAAACAACATTTAATGTAAACATATTATATGTTTGCGAGTATTCGGCAATGACCCATATATGCGTGTGGGTGTATGTGTGGATCAGTAAAGGGCTACAGACCACATCTGTAGTCCCAATTTCGATGAAATTTGGTATTTGGGTACTAATCCATTCTAAGTAAAGTATCTTCAGGCGTTTTCCATTTTTCAGAAGTTTTTTTTTGGTGATTTTTATATATCTTAAATAAGATTTTCCCAAAAACGGCCCAAATGATTTAAGATTTTATATGTTATATTCCTTTGAACTCTAAAATAAAAGGTACCCTACAACCCCCCTGTAAAAATACGGTTGAAGTGTTTGTTATTGCAGCTTATAATGATTTTCCCATAAAAATAAATAAAATTGAACATAAAACAATTGGATTTTCAAAAAACTGCTTGAACATTTTTTATTACAATCTGGTATGTTATGGACTATGGTCCTTGGAACTCTTAAACATAATGGTAGGCCTACAACTACCATTGCTGTAACAATTGTGGTTCAAAAGCTATTCCAACTTTAGTTATTTCCCCCATAAAATATCATAGCTACTCCCACTGCTTAACCATCCAAGTTAAAAATCAGAAAGTATGTGTCAGATCGCTGATAGGCCTACCGTTTATTTTTCATGTCGGTTGATAACAAAGAAATTGACACTGTTCTATTTTTTTACCGATAAGGATGAGAGTGGAAGTCCGTTGATTCCTTTAAAAGATGGGTTTAACCAACCAATTTTGAAATTCATCGGTGATAAACCAAAATCACTATCTCTATTTTCGCGTAGACAGGTTGATCCAGTGTTGTTCAAGTGAGAGTCTACTGTAAATATTTTGAATAGGTACTAACAATAACAATGTGCTGTAACTGTTGCTTACTGGGATTGTGTGGTGGTGAGCCGTCCACAGAGATGCACCTTACTTGTGTTGACAGTCACTTGTATTGCAGGTGGATCTCGAGCCGCAGGGTAAACTGCATGTTCGCATTGAACTAAAATGGGCTACCCAAGGCAAGTGTTTCCATCAGTGTTGCATGCCAGTGTTTGTCTTACTCATAACTCACACTTCTTACATTTAACATCTTTCAATACAGCTATGAGGTTTATGTTTTGAATGGGCTTTCTTTTTCTGCAATATTACTTCAATTTTTTACCTCTCTAGGATGGTGTCAGCAGTCTTTGGTGTTTGATTTGAAGATGGAAAGTGGTGTTTTACTGGGTCTAACAAAATACCCATAGATAAAAACTGACACAAACCTTCTCTGATTCTCAACGACTAACTAACCATAACAAATTATATTTATATGGAAAGAATCTGTTAACATGGGTGGCATGCTGTGTACGCTTATTAAAGTTTGTTAGTTGTATGCAAACTATGTGTTTATCATCTACCTTCATTACCACCACTAACATTTTGTTTTTCTTAAAAAACAAAAACATGGTTATGAACTTATAAAATGTTTTGACTTATTAATTTGCATGTTTTAAATATAAAATAGGTCTAATATTGTCCTTAATAAAGTGAGTCAACAGATAATCTCTGAAAAACTTTCTATTAAGCTTTCTTTGTGGCTGTAATTGATCATTTATGCATAAAACACCATCATTTTATTGATATATCTTTAATCTGTTCTTGTTTCTGTTAATAGTGAGGCAACTCTAACCTTGCGGCTGTTAAAGTTGAACAAAGCTGCTGTTCACGCGTTGATAAAAATGAATTTTTTAATTCTTTTTTGAACTGAATGGAATAAGTTTACTTTGAAAGCCTACATCAGACATTAAAGTGTAATAGCAACTAAATTTAAACCAACAACAACCCCAAATTATAAAAAATTTATATTTGGGTAATCAAAATGTCTTTTTGGGCCTTGTCACTTATATAGAAGTTATTCAATTGTATTGACATTTTGTTGAAGCGTAGAAGCGTTATTTTATTATATTTTGAAACTTGAAAAAATCATTTTTTTGTTACAATATTCTTATCCTTTCCATTTTCAGCAAATTAATCCTCAAGGGAAGAAGCTTTAAGGGGCATGTCAAAGAGACCTAGACCTGGAACTGTTTTACTTTTTTGTATAGTGTCTTATAATATGATGCCTCAGAGACTATAGTCCTCGCCACTCTAAGTTGAGGCAGCCAAAGGCCGCACTAGATATACGCCGTGCGGCCTTGGGTTGCCTCAACTTAGGGTGGCGAGGACTATAAAAATACTTAACTAAATGCTCAAATTTTAGATTTTCTAAATTTTATAGAATTTTTTTTTATAGATATACCGTAACAGTCTGTGGTGTAGTCTTTGAAATTGGAAAAAGTAGGAGTGCGAACGGCGTTCCCATGTGTTCCCGCCCCACTAATCCACTGTTTATAGCCCCCCATTGCTCACCTTAAAAGCCAACCAATTAGAATCTGCATTGAGATAGACACAATGGTTACTCTTTGTTATGATTATTCACAACGAATTGAATCCAACATATTTCTTTTTGAAAAGAAATTTACCGTTGCTGTTTGCCTTTAACATAAAAAATGACTATTTTAGGATACTCACTCTTTCTCAATAAGTATTTTGAATGAATTTCACTTTAGAAAGGTACCCACTTTGGCTTTTACCTTGGTCTTTCGTGGTCAGACCTAGGTCTGGGACCACTCTCCTGTTTAGTGTTTCATTGTTAGGATTACAGATGTCAAAAACTAGGCTATTTTTTTTTTAATTAAAGTTCTGTAAGACCATGCTTTGAGTTTGATTTAGTAACCTAATGACCTTAGTTAGTATCAACAAGGGGGCGGGGGCTTAGTAGACTTTTAGCTTGGATTTCCAATAATAAAAAAATAATTTTTACAGTTATTTGAATTAAAAAAAAAATACTATTTTAGTTTATAACATTTTAATTCAATCCCTATTGATAATGGGTACTAAAAGCTATAGATAATCTAATGTGTTCTATCCTATGGACAATACTTATGCATTATTGTACATAGACACATCTATAAAAATTGGTAATTAAAAAAATGCAATATTGTTAGCATTTGGGATTAAATAAACAAATTAATTTTTATAACGTATTTCCCTATATTATCATGTAGTTTTGACTTTAAATGATCTAATAAACTAGGAATTGCTTGCTTTTCAGGTATACCGCTACGAGGGTTTTCTCATACTGGTTTTTTGTTGCAGATGCACACAACCAGAAGCCGCGGGAGTTCAAGGAGCGGCAGGGCTTCAACAGACGTCGCGGTGCCATGAGGCGGCGCGTGCATCAGGTCAATGGTCACAAGTTCATGGCCACTTTCCTACGCCAGCCCACCTTCTGCTCACACTGTCGAGAATTTATATGGTAGGGTATATCTTAGAAAAATAGCTTATATCCCTATAGGATTTCAACAAACTAGCAAAACTATTAAGCTACAAGTTGGTTTTACACCATGTTAAGTGTGATGTTAAAAGCAGAAACCTCTTTGTAAATTAGAGGCTATGTAAATAATACATCCCACATAAATAATAAGTAGTAATAATGAGAGCAACCCTCATGGAATAATTTCATGTAAAAGTTTAAAAGGCTCATTAATTTTTCAAGCTAAGTTCACATGTGAGTGTTCTGTAGTTTTGTTTATTAATTAGCTGAACAACAATGTAATTAATTCAAGAGTTGTCTTCTCCCTCTTATCATTCCTCCAAGGGGGGGGGGGGGGTGATTGGGTTTTGAATGTAATGGACATATTTGATACAAAACCTTTGTCATGTGGTTGTCTGCCATGTCAGAAGTGTTCAAGTCACTAGGAAGTCTACATTGGCCCTAAATTTAACTAGGTCTGGTAGAACTTTTCTCCTGTAAACCTTCACTTTCAGTCATCTTTTTATAATCAGTAAAATTCCTCGTCATATCAACAGAAAGTTTTTTCCCACATAAGTTGACAAATAGGAGGGGAAAATAACGTCCATGAGGACATAACAATGAAATACATAATGAGACTCAACACCGACACATTGGCATATGATTTTGTTTTGCATAGGCATAAGAATCTTTATATTTTTCAATTCCCTGTCACGCGCGGACGAGCTACCCCACCTACCTAAAGTTATCAAGGACCAGGTTTGTGAGACTCTTCTGTTTATGAAAATGGCAAACAACAAAACGAACTTTTAGGAAATAACACTATTGCACTCACGAAAGATGACTGAATAGTGTAATACAGTTATAAAACATTGTAATCTCTTAAGGAGAATAGATATTTGTTTTTTTAAATGTGCCTCTTTGAATTTCTACCCAGAAATATTTTTTTTACTTTTCTTTCAGAGAAGTTCAAAATCATAATGAAGATTGTAGAGAATGATGTGTATATCGTAAATGTATTAAAGAGGCTTCTAGGTTATAGAGTTTAAGACAGTCCAAAAAAAGTTTGAAAATGTTTTGAATGTGGATTAAATGTAGAATATCAATTAAAAATAATTTTGAACATATCACAATAAACCTTTGGGGGATGTGTATGTAACAATTTCCTTTTGTTTCAGGGGTCTTGGAAAGCAAGGATATCAATGTCAAGGTGAGGATGTGATTCAAGATTGTAATATTTAACTTTAACCCGATGACCAATCAGGCCTAACTTCTCGGATTATAATAGTGAATATTTACCATTGACATTGTAAAAATTTGCTCCAACATTAGAAATTAGTAATGGGGCTAAATCCTACAGCTGTTGTTACATGGCAGACTTATGCTACCCATATAATTGTACTGGGATATGTGCTAGGATGTGTGTCAGACAAATGCACAAATCTCATGAAGGATTAGTATAAATGTAAACAGAACTTATCCAACATATTACGTACTGTATTAACACGTTCGCTGTAGGATACTAAAATTGTAATATCTTAGCACTGGCACTCCATGTGGCCTAATATAAATGTAGCACTGAGCTCCCCTCACTAACACCGCCTCTGGGTGTGAGACCAGCATTTGGTGAGGAACATTGTTAGTGTCGCCGCATGTAGTGCCTGCTTTGTACGTCATTTTATGTGCAATTCGTTTTTGAATCGGCCATATTTTATCTTGCTGTGTCAGTGCTGTTTAAACAGTGTAGTGTAGGGTTTTGGCTTAGACTTAGTGACATGGAAGAGGATTTCATTGAAAAGTATAAAAGTATAAATATAACGATTATGACTGTATGTGCTGTGTTGTAGCATTGTGGAAGGAACCTAACCTCAAAATTGTGCTTGACACCTTTTTTGCGTTTCTTTTTTATGGTGTATCCGGGTACTTCGCCCTGCTTTTTCTCCCATTTGGTAATACTGAGGGCCTGTTAGTAGTTAAATTTAGTTCTACTATCGGTTGGTTTCTTGTAAAACTACGCCCACAATTACTGGAACACAGTACATGCTATAATACGTCCCTCCTATTGGATGAAACTAAATTTAAACATTTTCACCCACTCTTCCACACAGCGCATGAGCTGTTCCCGCACCTGGCAGCGGCCAGCCATCACGCAACCGCAGTGAACGTGTTAAAAGTTTCTCCATGTTTTAAACCATCAGTAATTTTCATTTAAGTTAGGCTTTGTAAACAGACATATAAGGGCCATTATCCCTGTAAAACCATAACCTTTATCATTTCATAGTTCTTCCTCAAGAGAGGCAAGACCTTGATTATTAAATGATTTGATTAAAATAAAATAGTATTTGTCTTATAACGTATCTTATCAGCTGTAGAAAACTTACCAAAATACAATCCAGCTACCCTAAATTGACGTTAAGTTAAATAAATTGAACATCTATTTACAAATTAGACTGACAAAAAAGAAAGAACCTCAACTTTTCAGTCCTGAAATAAAAACTAAAATTAATTTTATTTTGCAGTTTGCACTTGTGTTGTTCACAAGAGGTGCCATCTGTCCGTGGTCACAAAATGTCCTGGGATGAAAGATGATGTAAGTATTGAAAATTTCCATCCAAGACTTAAATATTATTAAGATATCAATCATTGCAATTTATTGAGTTGTAAAAAAAGGAGGTGCCAGTATTGTCCCAAAACCCTGTTTTAACGTTTTGTCAAAGTTAAAAAAAAAAACACATTAGGCCTAGTTAACAGATTTTTACAAAAATAATCAAACAATTTTTATGACAGTAAACAGTCTACTGTAAAGTTAAAATGACCAATTAATACAGAGTCTGTGGTACAGAAAATTGAGTTCCATGAAATCATGTTCTAGTTCCGTGATCTTGGTATGACTGTAGTACACGGTAGTGGGTGCCCCTTTTGCCACTCATGTCTTTACTTAGAAGACATGTAGCAGGCTTTCTGATTATTTTCAAGCTCTGTACACCTCACATATTGTCAACTCCTCATACCTGCATAGTACATACCCTTTTACTACCCCTCAAATCTTAGTGACGATCTGAACAAAGACATTTTGCTAAATGTACCAGTATAATATTTCTTACATTTTACAGATGTTACAATAGTTGCTTTTTATGTTATTTGTAACAATGGTTTCAATGAAATACAAACTTCAAACCTTGAAAATGAGAAGTTTTATTGATTTGAAACTTGTTAACATGTTTAAAATAGTTTTTAATTGATTTTTTGTGTTGTCGATCTTTTTGCTCATCCATCCTTGCCGTGGCCTGTTCAGGTCAGATAATTGAGACTATATTGTTACACAGTTTAAATTTAATTCAAGGTTTAGCTATTAAAACATCAACTGTACCGAGTCTTAGTTTCTGCGTTTAATATTTTAATTAAGAAACTCAGAAGTGTAACCTAATGAACTAATATTTGTCAGAGTCAGACGAGCCAAGCCCAGAGGTTCAATGTGAATGTGCCACATCGCTTTGTCGTCCACAACTACAAGAGGTTCACCTTTTGTGACCACTGTGGCTCCCTGCTGTATGGCCTTATTCGGCAGGGTCTGCAGTGTGAAGGTTAGTTTAATTGCAATATTTCATACAGATCCAGTTTCCATGTTTAATAAACAGGATGTGCAATCAACTGGGAACCCAGGAAAACTGAGAATTAAATATGGATTCCATCAGTTCCATTAGTTCTGTTTTAACACTCTTGTGTTTAGTAAGAAAATTATGATAGCAAGTGTTACTTTCCCTGGGACATAGTCAAGTCCAAACATTTTATTGATAAGCTGCACTTGTTTTGTAAAAGTAGAGATGGCTGGTCTTAGAACAAAAACCCTATGAGTAATTTACTAAATAAATTACTAACAAGCATTACTACAATTTAGTGGACATAGAAAAAAGTCTTTTAGCCTGTCTCAGGTGAAGTTGGATTAGCTTGTATTTTGCTTTGTAATAAAATAACCTATTTTTGTTTTTTATTTGATAACAAAAATGGACAGGCCACAGATATTTTTGGTTACTTACTTCAGATTGGTAACTGGTCTGAAATGCTTTATACATTATGATAATTAGTTTTACAATGATGCCGATATACAACTAATATTTAATTTGTTATTTCAGTATGCAGTATGAATGTTCATAAAAGGTGCCAAAAGAATGTCGCCAACAATTGTGGTATCAATACCAAACAGATGGCGGAGATCCTTTCAACTATGGGTATATCACCCAGCAGACCTAAGGTAAGTCAACAAACACTTTGTATAGTAATGGTTGAAGAATTAAAAATTTGCCACTACCCTAAAACCTTTAAGATTTTTATCTGAGACAGGTTCAGTTCATGTAAGAGGAGTGCGAGCTGCTCATAATTTGAGCTGAGCCAAGCAGAGCCTAGAACCTCAAGTGAACAAGTGTCTTTCAAAAAACTTTTAAAGTAATGAAGTTTAAGTTTTATTTCAATCAAAAGGTTTTGATACATAATTTACTATTATTAGTATATTCATCTGTATTCTATGGCTGTACTAAACTTGTGCATTTAGAAAAAAATGAGGTGACATTTAAAACTCAATTCCTTGTTTTATTGTGTAGTCCCGATAAAAATTATTCTTAACTTCACACCGAAACATTAAACTGATTTAAAAAAAAGAAAAGTGTGATAATTTAAATTGTGTCACATTCATATAACACAGGAGTTTGGCTAAAAAAAGCTCAACTCAATAGAAAATCTCAGGCTACATCTCGAGTTTGTGGAAAAAACTTGTGATCAACCTGGATGCTTGATAAGCAGTTTAACCAAATAAAGCTCGGTTTTAATAGTTTATCCATTAACCCTTCAAGGCAGAATCTTTTAATGACCGTTGGACCATGTTACAGACGGTAGTTTTTTTTTTTTCACAAATTGCCCCTAACCATTACTTGTTTTTCCCTTTGCTGTTTGGCTTAATTGTTGGTGCTAGTCATGATCAAGTTCATAATCTCATCTAACTAGAATTCAAAAATACCTAAGAGAGTAACAGCAGTTATTTTATGCCCATACTAGCTGTACCCGCGGGCTTTGCCCCGCTTAACTTCATAAGTATTCGCATTGCTCTATCACGTCCCGGTTAAAGTTCGTTCGCTACGCTCACTCACCTTCAGGTTGTAAATCGTTCGCTGCGCTCACTTGTTTTCAGGTTAGCTCGTTCGCTACGCTTACTCGCCTCAAGGTTGATGTTCGTTCGCTACGCTCACTCACCTTTTGGTTGCAAATTAGCTGTTGCCATAAATAAAAAAAAGTCATCCCTTTTACGTTTATAATACTTTGATAAAGGTTTTTTTTTATGTTTTAATATTTAACATTGGAGAATTTAAACGTTGAGTGCACAGGTGTGCTGCGATTGGGGTTTAATACATTTGGACTTATTAAAAAGTAAAATAGTTTTCTGTGCTGCACTCTGTAGAAACACTGTGGCACTATTTCAAATCATGACTAATGCTAATACAGAATGTTGTGATTATTCAAACCTACAAAACAGTTGGTGAAAGTAAACATCTGCTTTTAAATTATATTTATTTGTAAACATTGTAGATCAAAAAGTCTGACATTGGCCCACTTAAAACCCTCTGGGGCAGAGCCCTTTTGACGGATCTGCACCAAACTTTACTCGAACCATCCTTGAAAGATGCTTAACAATCCCTGAAAGTTTCATTACAATCTGTCGAGCGGTTTTGGAGTCCATAACGTATATACATATATACACACATACATACATAGTTCCTCTTTTATAGATATAGATTCATAACTAAATGATTCTCTGAAGAGTTCCAACCTTATGAAAACTTGTCACACTCACTACAAGGAAACAGCTGTAAAATATTGAGCAACTAATGGAAAATATTTTGCTGCACCACCTACTGCATTGCATCATGACAAAAAAATCTCATCAAACTGTAGTAGTGTCATTTTGCGTTTGGCGAGAAACGTTCGTTAAAAGGCCTTGAAGGGTTAACCACCATATGCATGTAGTATAAGTTTGTTTTATTGTTCCAACACAAAAATCAATTGAATATCTATTAATTGGTATAAAATCAATCCAAAACTGTCGTAGATGTAGTTACAAGTAAATTACTAATTAATTAAATATGTACAAGGATAGGGATCAGCTAGCTTACCTGGTAGATAGAGTCCAGATTAGCCTTGATTACACATAAAAAACACATGACACAACACAGAAAAACTTAATATTTCGTCCCAGTTAGGGACTTCATCAGAAGGGAGAAGAGAAGAAAGAAAACTCAGTTTTCTTTCTTCTCTTCTCCCTTCTGATGAAGTCCCTAACTGGGACGAAATATTAAGTTTTTCTGTGTTGTGTCATGTGTTTTTTTATGTGTAATCAAGGCTAATCTGGACTCTATCTACCAGGTAAGCTAGCTGATCCCTATCCTTGTACATAATAATCCAATCAGCCAATTGGCCTTTCCTTAACTCCTAATTAATTAAATAATAATGCATTAGTAGGCATTTTAAATCTGATAGCATCAAAATGTTTGATTAGATGTTGATGGGGGAGATAGAAAGGGATGGTAACAGAAATGTTATTTACTTAAACTCTTTTTTTTATTTTAATTTAAGATAATAATGTTTAATTTTTAAAATTACAAATAACAATGTAGTTGAGAAAAATGTATCAACTAAATTATACAAAGGGCTTTTGACTGTTCAAATTAAGTAGAAAATAAAAATATTAGAACTTGAGTGATCTTGATTAATTAATATTTCTATGGTGTGTGCCAGCTAACCACACAGTCGGGGAGTTCACCTAGTGGCAGTAGTATGAACCCTGTGGACAGAGATAAGCTAGGCGGCAGTTCACCAGTGCCACCAGACGATGAGATGGGCAAAAAGTCTGACGATGACAAGAAAAGTGATTATGACAGTAAGTGTATTTTTGTAGAAAACAAATTATAGTTATAAGTTTGATCTTGAAACATAAAACATCTTCAAGATAACCACAAGCCATATGGTTTTATTCCTGGTTTTTAATATTTTAAAATAATAAATATTTAAATATTTTAATTGGTCTATTGTATAGACCAGATATTGTTTAACCCATTGGGGTAGACACACGAGTCTGACTCGATGCGGCCGATCGGGACTGAATGCCGACACACGAGTCTGACTCGATGTGCAGATTGCACAATAGTTTGACGACGTAGTTCGTTATTTTTCCGATAGATCGCTCTGGCATGTTCTTTGACTGTCTTTTAGCTGTATTAGGATATTTAGTTTTGCCCGGTTGGTAATTCTGTGTCTTGGAAAATATTTATTTTTAGTGACCCATCACCGCGTCAGCTGACTGTAATCGACGAGTAATCTGTTGCGCCGGTTTCGAGTGTTTTGTTTGTGTTTATGGTTATGTTTATTGTGTAAAATGGATCATAAAAGTTTACGTACTTCTGAATTAGATAGGTTATTAGACAGTGACAATGATCTAAGTTCAGATAATGTTAGTGATGATGGATTCGATGATGAAATTATCCAGCACGGACATAATTATGAAACACCAGTGGATTATCTTGTGGATACATCTCACGGAAGGAAATCTCCCATGTTATTTTACGACTTTGACGACGATAATTTTCCTAATTCAGGTAATGAATTAGAATTAGGTAATCTTCATAATGAACAAGGTATAGAATGCAACAGGCCCGAGAATGAAAATGAGCTAGAGCTAGGCCTAAACCTAGAGACTGACAATGAAAACAAAGCAGATGACTCTGCCTCCCAAAATGTTTTTGATGAAGGCCAATCTATTGAACCTGTCCCTAATACTAGTTTTTATGACCAATCCATTGATCCTGTCCCGAGTACTAGTTTTTATGCACAACAACCCAAATCAACCCTAGGAAAGAGAAAGTTTTCTGAAATTTCAAGTTCTAAGCCTAAGGAATGTAGTCAAACTCTTACAAGTAAAGTTTGCAAATCCAAACCAACTAGGCCTAAGCCCAAGGTTACTAAAAAATCTAATCCAGCCCAAAAAACTAAGCCTCTAACTAGGCCTATGTCTAAGGTTTGTAAAGTAGGTAGACCTAGGCCTAACAAATCTATTACCGGTACAGTAACTAAACCACCAAAGGCTAAGAAACGAAAGTTTGAAGATAGCGACTGGCCTTGGGTTGATGAAATAAACATACCCAAAAATATTGATTTCCGTGGGATACCCGGTATAAATGTGCATTCTTTGCGGGCCCTGGGGGAAAATCCAACAGAACTGCAAACCTTTATGCAGTTTGCGGGGGATGAGTTTTGGAACATGATATGTGTTGAAACTAATGATTATGCGCGTAAGCTTTTAGCAACCCCAGACAGGAAAAAATTCAAGTCTGATGACAAATTGTACAATGTAACTGTGGATGAATTGAAGGTTTATTTTGCATTATATGTGAATATGGGGCAAGTCAGAAAACCTGATATAAAACAGTATTGGTCGCATAGGAAAATCATTGAAACCCCTATCTTTTCAAACACTATGTCATATGAGAGATTTTCAAGTATATCGAGGTTCTTACATTTTTACGACGATTCAGATGAGACCGAAGTCAATCGAGACAAGCTGAAAAAAATCAGGCCTGTAATAAATTACTTAGAAACCAAATTTTTACATATGGTTGAGCCGGAAAGAGATATTGCTCTCGACGAGACCCTTTTGAAAATGAGGGCAAGAATCGGCATAATTCAGTACAACCCCAAAAAAAGGGCTAGATTTGGTGTGAAAATTTACAAGGTGTGTGAATCTTCTTCGGGGTATTGTTGCTGTTTTAAAATTTATGTTGGCGAAGATAAAGAAAAGGATGTTTTGGCAAGCGAGGCTGTTGTTCTTGATTTGATGCAACCTTTTATGCATACGGGTTACACTGTATATCTTGACAACTGGTATTCTTCCCCTCTCTTATACACCAAATTAGCCCAAAAAGACACACATGCTGTAGGAACAGTATTGAATAACAGGAGGTGTATGCCTCAGGCACTCAAGGAGGCTAAACTGGAGAAAGGAGAAGCAATCAAACGGTCTGGTAGAGGGGTTTTAGCTGTCAAATGGAGTGATAGGAAGGATGTCTATATGTTGTCAACTAAGCACGAGGACATTGAAATGACAGTTTCGAAGAAAGTGAAACAAGGAAATGTGGAAGTTGACATTGTAAAACCAAAATGTGTCATTGAATATAATTGAGGTATGTTGGGGGTTGACCGCTGTCTAGTTTTCCCATAATGCGGCGTACCGTCAAAGCATATAAGAAGATTTTTTTTTATTTGATGGATATGACTCTATTTAATGCATTCTGCGTCTACAAGAAAATCAACAAAATCAAAAACATGCATTACACAGATTTTCGTTTGAATTTTGTGGAACAGATATTGACAACCGTGCCAATTCCAGCTCGAACATCACCAGGGCGCGCTCCTATCGCCGCATCGCCGTTGAGACTACAATCCAAACAGTGGACCCATTTCCCTGTGAAGGTACCCCCTACAGCAAATAAAAGTCACCCAACAAGAGCATGCAAAGTGTGCACATCCCACAAAAAGAGATCAGAAACACCATGGATGTGTGAGAAGTGCCAAGTTCCGTTGCACCTCGAAAAGTGCTTCAAGGACTTTCACACAAAAGTTAACTTTTAAGCCCCAGTTCAACATGTATATAGTGTAAATAACATTTTTAGTGCTAATTAAACTAATTTGAGTGCAAAAAACTTTCAAGATACTGTATGGAGATTGCAATATGTGGAGATCACCGTGGAAACCAAAATGGAACCAAAATTGAGAAAGGTATGTTTTCTTTTGATGTTGCATATTTTATTTATTTATGTACCCAGGCAAATAAAATTTCATTTTTATGTAGAGTTTCATGTATACTTTCATAAAATATATTGATTTGTGTTTTCATCCAATGAAAAATTTGAAAAAAATACCTTTGCTTTCAAAAAACAAAAAAATATAATTTTTTTTTATATATATACTTGTAAAAAATATTTATTAATAAAAAAACCTTAATAATTTTATATTTTATGATAGATAATACTATTACCTACAATTTAAAAAAAAACTATTGATTTATCTCTTAAAATAATTATTTTACACATTTTTTACCAAAAGCCTGCAAAAAACTGGAAATTAATTGCTGCCAAGGGTCCTGCGCATGCTAAAATAACTACTACCTCAATGGGTTAAAGTAGACCTACCAATCTAACTTAAATTTGTCAGGGGGAAAATATTCATTTATCAGTCAGTCTTCAACAAATTTAAAACTTGCTAAATATTAGAGGTGTGCGGATACTGAAATTTCAGTTTGGATAGTTAAGGCTCGGTTCCGATCGGATCGGACTTCGAATTCAGATATTTTCGGACTCGACAGTTTCGGACTCAGATAGTTTGACGTTCAAATTCTTAATAAATATTAAGGTTAGGCTAGGAAGTTATAATTTGCATTTTTATATACAAAAACTACAATATGAATAATGCACAATAGTGATATTGTAAGTAATTAATCTTGGTTTAGTTATGAAAACTGAAGTTTAAATTCACAGCTTACTCAAACAACAAAAAGGTATACTGTACCTTATATATCTTGATGCAAACCATTTATATGGCAAAACAATGTCTCAGTGCAGACCTTGTATTATGACGCTTCCAATCAATTTATATGGCAAAGCAATGCCTCAGTGCAGACCTTTTATTATGACGCAATCAATTTATATGGAAAGGCAATGCCTCAGTGCAGACCTTTTATTATGACGCAATCGATTTATACGGTAAGGGTCTCAGTGTAGACCTTGTATTACTGCAATCAATTTATATGTTTCAGTGAATGCCTTATAATCGTCATTTAAGTCCCAAATGTCAAAATACCTAGTCTAGAAAAAGTCAGATATTTAATGGATAGTGTCGGATATCAAATTATATCGACCCGATTTTTTGGATATCCGCACAACTCTACTAAATATCCTTATTCTCTTATACCTGGTAAAGTACATTCCTGAATACAAGTACTTACATAATTTTTTTCTTACTTTAGGAAGAGTAGAAGGTGCTCGCAGAATGAGTGTGGACGATTTTCACTTCATCAAAGTTTTAGGAAAAGGAAGTTTTGGCAAAGTAATGTTAGCTGAAAGGAAAGGAAGCGATGAAGTGTATGCAGTGAAAGTAAGTATTAAATATTGTTTACTGCTTAATGCCCTTTGCAAACTTAATAGTTTTACAGTAATTGCAATTTGACTAATTGTAAAATACTCTTGGCACCAAACTGACAATCTTGTTAAGTTTGTTGGTCCTCCCAACAAAATTGGGGAAACTTTGATATGTTGGCTATCTTTATTTGTATAAACAACCCCCTCCCCCACACAATACACTGAACACTGCAAGAAGAGCCATCTTGTGTCCTAATTTCAGCTTTTCAGGCTTTTTATGCTCGTTATCTTTTTAAAAAAGTCTAAAAATAAGGACTAGAGACAAATTTTGTTGTAAAGATGGACGGTCGAAACCCAAATCAAATTGTCATACCTCTATCATAAAGCCTAAAATTGTTCCTAATTGTGTGCCTTTTCACAATCATCAAGTAAGTGTCATACCTCAGTGTCAAAATCATTGAACGTGATTTGTACTTTTCACTGAATGTATAGTCCAATGTATGGAGTTTTAAATTAAAAATTAAGCTTTATTTCATAATTTTCTCTAATGTTTTACTTATTTAGTGAAATTTAGTCAATGAGGGATTAACAATCTTTTGTAGTTGATTGTATCTACTTTCTGAAGAAATCCTACACTAAAACAAAACAACAGTGTCTTGCAATGTGATTATATCTCTTAGTTGGATTCAAATTTTTCATGTAAGCTAAGCTGGCTTAACTCTATACTTGTATGATAAACTTCTTTATCAGCTCCTGCACTTGAGCCTTAAGAACTTGTTGTGTATTGTACAAATCAATATGAATGCTTATTGAGACAAAGTACAGGGTGTTTATAAAACAAGGCCGGGATTTTAAACGTTTGTTGCTCTGGGACTATTGAAGATAATTGAAAGGACTACTAACTATTTTGATACAATTCGGAATAACTTAATAAAATTCAGATTTTCATCAATGTTATATGAGCTTAAAACTGGCAAAGTCTGTACACTTAGGGCGATCAGTGCCCTCTGGCGCGAGATCTGATGCCTTAACTGAATCTTTTTAAGCACAAAGACTCTTATCTTTTACAGATACGTCATAAGTGTCAATTTAGGTATGATAAACTGAAGACTTCGTCAGGAAATCAATTCTTTCAGGCTTCTGAAGCAGAATTGTCGAATTTCTTCGTCTATGTCATCGCTTGTTTTAGCCGGCCAGGTGAATGTCTTTTTCAAAAACTAGGGATGGACGGGATTGAATTTTTAGTTCGGGACGGGACGGGACGGGATTTTTATTTCCTTCCCAATTTTCGGGACGGGACGGGACGGGATTTTTTTCTGTGCATAAAAAGAAAGTACTGTATTGCAGTTACCAAAAAAGACATACGAAATCAATTTTTATTTTTTTCATGATGGTTGGCCACTGGATCGTTAAAATTAGCACTAATAGTATTAAGTGTATTAATATTAATATTAATAATATTAAAAGCCAATTTTTACCATTTGTGGCACTAATCTATAAAAACCAAAAAATGGGTAACAATTTACAGGTACCCATAGAAACTTGTGACTCGCGGGTCACGGGGTGATCGTCTGTATGACTCACGGTCACGGCGCGATCGTCGTCATGACTCGCGGGTCACGGCGCGATCGTCGGTATGACTCGCGGTCACGGCGCGATCGTCGGTATGACTCCGCGGTCACGGGGTTATCGTCGGTATGACTCGCGGTCACGGCATGATCGTCGGTATGACTCGCGATCACGGCTCGATCGTTAGCATGACTCCGCGGTCACGGCTCGATCGTCAGCATGACTCCGCGGTCACGGCGCGATCGTCGGTATGACTCGCGGTCACGGCGCGATCGTCGGTATGACTCCGCGGTCACCGCGCAATCGTCGGTATGACTCCGCGGTCACGGGGTTATCGTCGGTATGACTCGCGGTCACGGCAAGATCGTCGGTATGACTCCGCGGTCACAGGGTTATCGTCGGTATGACTCGCGGTCACGGCGTGATCGTCGGTATGATTTCGCGGTCACGGGGTTATCATCGGTCCGGTATGACTCGCGGTCACGGCATGATCGTCAGTATGACTCCGCGGTAACGGCGCGATCGTCGGTAGGACTCCGCGGTCACGGCGCGATCGTCGGTATGACTCGCGGTCACGGCGTGATCGTCGGTATGACTCGCGGTCACGACGTGATCGTCAGTATTACTCGTGGTCACAGCGCGATCGTCGGTAGGACTTCGCGGTCACGGCGCGATCGTCGGTATGACTCGCGGTCACGGCGCGATCGTCGGTATGACTCCGCGGTCACCGCGCAATCGTCGGTATGACTCCGCGGTCACGGGGTTATCGTCGGTATGACTCGCGGTCACGGCGTGATCGTCGGTATGACTCGCGGTCACGGCGTGATCGTCGGTATGACTCGCGGTCACGACGTGATCGTCAGTATTACTCGTGGTCACAGCGCGATCGTCGGTAGGACTTCGCGGTCACGGCGCGATCGTCGGTATGACTCGCGGTCACGGCGTGATCGTCGGTATGACTCCGCGGTCACAGCCCGATCGTCGTTATGACTCGCGGTCACGGTGCGATCGTCGGTCCAATAATCGCGGCCACGGCGCGATCGTCGTTATGACTCCGCGGTCACGACGTAATCGTCGAAATGACTTCCGTCTCCTGCGTCCGCGGACCTATCGCTCGCAATAACGGCGTTATCGGCACTCGCGAAGCGGAAAAATCGCCGACGATTGGACCAAATCCCGTCCCGAAAAATTCCCGAGTCAAATGTAATCCCGTCCCGATAATCGGGAATATTTTTTTCCCGAAAAATTCCCGAAATTTCGGGACCCGTCCATCCCTATCAAAAACCATGCGCCACGAAACTCTTCAAACCAGCGTCAAATTTCTTTATCATCAAGTAGATTTTAATTTAGAAATCGATATAAACTCTGCGAACCTCAGATTACACTCTGTGCTTTCTGTTGCGCCGTAAACATCGTACTGGTGACTGGCGTCAGGGATGTGAGTCACAATAGCGGCATATCACCGCGCAACTGTTTTTCAAATGCCAAGATCAAAGATTCCTCCCCTGCTACACGGGAGGGAAAAAAACAACAAACTAAAACTAAAACTACAAACCCTAGTTATTTTAACTTCAGTTTAAAGTATAAAACGTTTAGTTACCTTGAATATTACCCAAGCCACTACCTTACCATTTAAAATCCCGTCATTCTTTCATAAACACCCTGTATTAGCAAAATTCAAGAACTAACTTGCATCATACAAAGACTAAAAACAAAATCTAAAACTCCTTGAACGTAAGTAATGTTTAATAACTTAAATAGTAAACAACTTTATAAATTATATCATACTTTTCATGCAAATCTTTAAATAAAAATACATGCAGTCTACATTGCTGACACGACGGGTCTTCTGACAGAAGTATCTATCCATCTGTATTTAGTCTATGTTATTACCTCATGTTCCAGTTCATTCCAGTAAACAAAACACTTTAAATATTTCAGGTGTTGAAGAAAGATGTAATTATACAAGATGATGATGTAGATTGCACAATGACTGAAAAAAGAATTTTGGCTTTAGCGGCCAAACATCCATTTTTGACAGCCCTCCATTCCTGCTTTCAAACAAATGATAGGTTGTTCTTTGTCATGGAATATGTAAATGGAGGAGATCTAATGTTCCAAATACAAAGAGCTCGCAAGTTTGATGAACCGAGAGCAAGGTTCTATGCTGCTGAAGTAACTCTAGCCCTCCAGTTTCTCCATAAGCATGGAGTAGTGTACAGGTTAGTCCTCCAAGTGTAATGTTTATTTTGATTTCAAACTTTACATGTCCTTGTATAAAAGTAATATTGCAATTTACTTAAGTCATTACAGTAGAGCGTCGATTAACCGAAGCCCGGTCATCAGAAACGTCGGTTAACTGAAAGGCTGATCACCGTTGTAGCCAAGGCTGCAATGTATGTTCACAGATGTTGCTACAATTGCTGGAGACAGTCAAAACCTGTAAAAAATACATGTAAAAATGTATTTAAATGTCATTGATAAAAATTTTAATCATGTTTTAACTGTCAATGGCCGACTATCCGAAAAAATCAGTCATCCAAACCCCCTTAATTCCAAATGGTTTTGTATAATCGACTCCCTACTGTAATGCTTGTGTTAACATAATTGAAAGAGAAAAGTTCAAGAAAAACAAATTTCAGAAGAGGTTAATTCAGTCAAGTATTCAGAACTGAATTGTTTTTTTTTTTTTTAGAAATACTAATTAGATAGTAATTCATTTACTGTGTTACTGCAGATTACTTAGTTGAATTTTATTCATATAGTTGATTGAGCCAGGTACATGAAAATGAATGAATAACCAAAATTCTATTTCAGAGATCTGAAGTTGGACAACATTCTGCTAGACAATGAAGGCCATTGCAAGTTGGCTGACTTTGGCATGTGTAAGGAGAACATCTTTGATGGTGTCACCACTACCACGTTTTGTGGCACTCCAGACTACATTGCACCTGAGGTAACCCTTGATACACTTAGATTGATTGAGTCACAGACAGAATTTACTGCTGTAAAATACCATTCTTACAATATAGTTACTGTACAGGTCAGATGTTATTTAGTCATCTTACTTAATTCAGAACTTTTATCTTAAGCTTGTTGTTTTACAATTAGAAATGTCCACATTCACTACATATTTTCACTCTGCTGAAGTAATTTCACGTAGCTTTTTATATAAATTGTTAGATCAGCTGTTTAACCCTTTGAGTGCCGCAGCATCTACATAGTAGACGATATGAAATATGCATAAAGTGCTTGCAATTTTGTAGGCTTTTGCCCGGAATTTTATGCATATTACATGGTGAAATGGCGGTGGCACTCAAAGGGTTAAATTGATTGAAATTTCCAAACTTGTGTTGGCAATATAATATACTAAGGTGAGCGTGTGCTGCACACAGATTCTGCAAGAGCTGGACTACGGACCCAGTGTGGACTGGTGGGCTCTCGGAGTGCTAATGTACGAGATGATGGCAGGACAACCTCCTTTTGAAGCTGACAACGAAGACGATCTCTTTGAGTCAATACTCCATGATGATGTTCTCTATCCTGTCTGGTTGTCCAAAGATGCTGTTTCCATTCTGAAAGGGGTTTGTATTTCAAATTGTCTGATTAGATTGAAGATTGATTTTCCCATTATAGTAGGATTTTCCCTACTGTAGTTCGATCCTGAGAAAAGTCAGTAAATTTTTGATAGTGCGAAACTGGGCTCAGATGTCCTTGATCACTGGGCTTTTATCCTGAATATACATAAACAGCTGGTCTTAGTCAGCTACAACAAAGATGATTGTACATTCTGCACTCACCTTGCTTTCATATTCAGCTTAAATAAACACCCTAGTGTGCATCACTGTCAAAAAGAATTAACTTATAATTGATAAATTATAAGTATACTGTACCGTAGTTATAGTCAGGCATAATACCAAGTAGGGGTCTGCTGGTCCCAGTTATTATTATGAAAACAGTTGGCCCAAAAGGTCAGTTTCGGCCAAGTTCGGGTCGTGCCAGGCCAACGTGGAAGATGATCATGACCTTAGAGAATGTTCTCTATTTTTCTGTGACCGTTAATGATGCTCACGATCTTGCCCTAACCACAGAAGGTGCAATTTTGCTGTAACCACAGGAGATAGATCATATTGTGTCATAGATTGATAATGTAAAAAAATATTGCATATCATGATAGTAGAACAGTATGACAATTTCAAACGCAATCTAGTTTAGGTCTGAAACCTGAAGGTCAAAACTTTTGACCCAACCTGACCCAAAGTAAAAAAGTCAGGCCCGCAGACCCCTAGTACCAAATGAAGCAAGGTCACAATATTAGACCACTAACAATTAGTATGCTACAAAGTACAAATAAAATAAGCATCTCAATGAAAATTATTTAATTGAATATTTCACATGTTTTAAATTTGATTTTCAGTTTATGACAAAGAACCCTGTAAAACGGCTTGGATGTGTGGGCTCTAGCAACCCAGAAGCCGCCATCAGAGCTCACGCTTTCTTCAAAGATATAGATTGGGATGCTCTTGAAGCCCGTAAAGTCAAACCTCCATTCAAACCTAAAATCGTAAGTTATTTTGAAATTACAAATTCTAATATTGGCTCAAGCTTTTTTATAATTTGATGCTGGTAAACATTTGAAATAATGTTGACCACTCAATTTTTTTTAGGGATGGACGGGATTGAATTTTTAGTTGGGACGGGATTCTTATTTCCTTCCCGATTTTCGGGACGGGATTTTTTTCTGTGCATAAAAAAAAGTACTGTATTGCAGTTACCAAAAAAGACATACGAAATCAATTTTTACCATTTGTGGCACTGATCTATAAAAACCAAAAAATGGGTAACAATTTACAGGTACCTATAGAAACTTGTGACTCGCGGGTCACGGGGTGATCGTCTGTATGACTCACGGTCAACGGTCATGGCGCGATCGTCGTCATGACTCGCGGTCACGGCGCGATCGTCGGTATGACTTCGCGGTCACGGGGTTATCGTCGGTATGACTCCACGGTCACGGCGCGATCGTCGTCATGACTCGCGGTCACGGCACGATCGTCGGTATGACTCGCGGTCACGGCGCGATCGTCAGCATTACTCGCGGTCACGGCGCGATCGTCGTCATGACTCGCGGTCACGGCGCGATCGTCGTCATGACTCGTGGTCACGGCGCGATCGTCGTCATGACTCGTGGTCACGGGGTTATCGTCGGTATGACTCGTGGTCACGGGGTTATCGTCGGTATGACTCCACGGTCACGGCGCGATCGTCGTCATGACTGGCGGTCACGGCGCAATCGTTGGTATGACTCGCGATCACGGCTCGATCGTCAGCATGACTCCGCTATCACAGCATGATCGTCAGTATGACTCCGCGGTCACGGCGCGATCGTCGGTAGGACTCCGCGGTCACGGCGCGATTGTCAGTAGGACTCCGCGGTCACGGCGCGATCATCGGTATGACTCGCGGTCACGGCGCGATCGACGGTAGGACTCTGCGGTCACGGCGCGATCGTCGGTAGGACTCCGCGGTCACGGCGCGATCGTCGGTAGGACTCCGCGGTCACGGCGCAATCGTCGGTATGACTCGCGGTCACGGCGCGGTCGTCGGTAGGACTCCGCGGTCACGGCGTAATCGTCGAAATGACTTCGTCTCCTGCGTTCACGGACCTATCGCTCGCAATAACGGCGTTATCGGCACTCGCGAAGCGGAAAAATCGCCGACGATCAGACCAAATCCCGTCCCGAAAAATTCCCGAGTCAAATGTAATCCCGTCCCGATAATCGGGAATATTTTTTTCCCGAAAAATTCCCGAAATCTCGGGACCCGTCCATCCCTAATTTTTTTTAATGTTTGTGAGAAATCTTGATAAAACTGGCTTGAATATTATTAACAACAATATAACCTCAATAATCCAGTATAAACATTTGGCCAGTAGACTGGATTTTCTGAAAAAGCATGACGATCAAAGTAGCAAACTAGAGTGACTTTTAAAGAATTTGAGAAAGCTGAAGTTCATGCAAAACTGATTCACTTAACTCGATGGGGTGGCACTTTAATTGTAGGATTTCAATTGTATTAAATTAAAACCCTTTGCGGTTGAATGGCGAATATAGGTCGCCGCCTGCCATTTTCCCGACTGCTCAAAAATGGCGACCTATACTCAAAGGGTTAACTTAAACCAATTACCATCCCCTGAATAAAAAAAATTATTACTTGTATGGATTGCCTCTTGTTGAAGTCAGATTCCCTAAACAGTTTTATACTTTCAGAAAAGCAAAAAGGACGCACTAAATTTTGATGCGGAATTCACAAAGGAAGAGCCTGTCCTCACCCCTGTGAACGCAGATGTTGTTCGTTCAATCAACCAAGAAGAATTCCGAGGCTTCTCATTTGTCAACCCCGACTTCAACCCAGGTCGCTTCCATCACTCTGGTTCAGGGGACAAAAACAACTAAGTCACGTAAAGTCCTAATCTAAAAAACTTACTAAGGTAACATTAGAAAAGGCAGATTTCAAAGAACAAATTAGGTTTATCTGTACACATAAAATTGAGAATCTGTACAAAAGCCGACATTTCTTCTAGTACTTGTTATACAATGTTATGGTCATATTACGGAAGCTGTTGTTTTTTCATATTATAATCAAAAGAAGAGAGGTTAAATCAATGAGCATGTCTACGCATAGTGCTTATTTTCTGCAAATATTGTCGAATAAACTAAAAATATGCTTCGCATAAAATTGTTAGTTTAGGTATCGAGCGAACAAATTGTATACATAGTTTTAATGTAATGGATGGATTAAACTAAGAAGTGAAGATGATATGTATCGTATACAGATAGCTTCTAGTCAGTCATCTCTGTAGGAATTATGACGAGTGCACTTAGGGTGCACTATCGAACGCACATGTTAGTTTCAATCATTATCGTAGTGTGCAAGAGGCCTACGTGTACAAACTCGGCACGCATAACCTCTGTGACTGTGTTTATTTTGGTTAGGTTTGAAACACTCTTATAAATAGTGTATAGTGTTATACAAGTTTTTATTTCTAAGGACAGTGCGTGTGTGGTGCTATGTTTTGAGAGTCCGTTATCTAGTCATATTGAACCTAGTTATTTTCTACTACAACTTGGCCTACTCGAAGTAGCTTTAAGTTGGATGGTTGATCGGATACGATTGTCTGTCCTGTTATAAGTTGGCCTAGGTGTAGAAAGCATCACAGCTCCACTTTAAATCGATAATCTCGAGTGTAACCTAATTGTAATGTTGTTCATCATTGTTGTACGTTAGAGATGATAAACGACTCTAAATGTTTTCCATTTTACTGCATATTTGTTGTGCATTCTGAATAGCTTACAGAAGTATCGGTTTTAGTATTTAGCCCTTTTTTGATTGTTTTAAAATCGCATTAGGATTCGCCTTCATATCTAATATTACAAACCAATAAATCTCACTCGTTAGCTGTGATGGTTTTTGTTTATGTGTTTATGATATGGATTTTTACTCTGTAGGTAGTATCCCTCGCTTATATACGGTACTAGGTGTGTCTGTGTCGTATTCTAACTAATTGTTCATAGACTATACGGGCTGAGTATAAAACCAGCTGTGCAATTCATCATCTTCTGTACAGAATTTACTATTTTAATTTGTATACTTTTAATCGAGGGAATTCTCCAATTGCATTTAGATAATTATAAGTTGATAATTTACTTTTATGTTTCGTTTGTCGTGTATTTATTTATTTATTTTGTTTTACTAGAGATGTGTGCAACAAACATTATCATTTTGATAACAATTGATTGTATCTAAACATCACTTTGAATCATCACTTCTTTAACTTTTTAACAACAGCTGTTCTGAAACCATTAACTGTTGAAAGCTTTTATTAGATAATTGTAAAGAATTTGTTGTGTATTTTCTTAGATCTGTTGAAATATTTCTACTCTATAGAAGTACAAATACATATGGTATTTCTCTGCAAGAAGTGTTGTGTAGTGCATGTTCCAGGTAGCATTGGAATTTATATGAGAAACCCAATTTAAATGTACTCAGTTATATTTCAAACGAGTAAAATATTGGTCAGGATTTGGTTTTTATTCCATTTATTAAAATATAAATATATTTTGATCCATTTCTGTAGATGGAAAAAATACGAGTTCCTTTTTCTGGTTTACCACCACAACATTATTACTAATTTATACAGTTAAAGTTTTAGGGATTTGTCACCTTGGATTGTTGTACTCTGTAATTTCCAATGTTAACTAGTGATTTGGCTAGTACAAATGTAGCAGATATCATTGAGTGCTTATCTCTCATTTTTAATAAGTTCAAAATCAGTAGTCATTTATTTACCTTTTCATATGTGAATCCTTACAGAGTCCTCTTGTATCACAGTTACACCACAGTAGTCAAATAAACACATTTTAACATGTTTTTGTGATATCTCTATCTTTTCAGTTATTTGTAAAAAAGTGACATTTTGTGACGAGATTTTTATAATTTATCATTTTTCTTTGCAAGAAGCAGAACTAGTAATTTCCATACAAGGCAGCATAGCATCCAGAGTTTTTGTGGTGTCTTGTGAGTAGATATCGAGAGTGTCCTCAAACATGGGGTGAGGTTTTAATCACTCAAGCACAATTGTTACATTTCTTCTTATTGTCTTTGATTCAAAATAAACTTAACAACCATAATAATTATTAGTTAATTACTTTGACGTAAATTACGAGTACAAACTATAAATGACTATTTTCACAAACAAATTTCTAAACCATAACTTTAAGGAAGGTGTTAGTTTGATAAATATATACTTCCGTTTTACAAACAAATATGTATAAGCACACGCACACACAAACACATACATTATATTAGTTTATTTTATTTTCTCTATGTTTGTCATGTAAAAGGTGATGAAGTGACCTTATGTGTCAGTGAATAAGATTTTTTAGTTAATTTCAAGTTTTACTACAGTTCCATAACTATATCAATATGAGAGATATGTGCTCACTTATTTTTCTATAATATTTATTACTATACTGTGATTTTTTGTTAATCTAGGTGTGGTTGGTTGTTATCTTTTCATTCAATGAAAAGAAATTTATTTGGATTTAGTTAATAAGAACACATTATATAACCGCTGAGAGCATTATTTGATTGTTGGAAGATAAAAAAGTTTATTTATGAATTTGTGGTTTGGCAAAACATCTGGTCCTCCCATATTTCCCATAGTACATGGCTTTGTTTATTCATGATCTGTATAGTTATTTAAGTAAAATTCAATTTATGATGACACGGTCGTCCCTAGTCTTTCAGTGTTCTGTAGTTTGTTTGTTTTGTAAGAGCAGTAATGAGTTACTTGTTGTATATTGCATGATCACCTACATGTACTACTTTGTCAAGCACACATTATTAAACTCGTATCACTTGGAATACCCAGAAGTTTCTATTGACATCACATTTAAAGAATAATATGATTATTGTGAGATCCAGCTACAATAATGTCAACAACTTTTTAATAAAACCAATTTTTTTTTGTGAAAAAGCCTCAATTTATCTAAACCAACATATTTTTATGAGATTGGAAAATTAGCCAATTAATGTGATAAGTAAAAGATGTATATTTTATGTTATATTATAAAAAAAAGTATATCTGTTCAGTTCCGTTGCATGATGATGGCAGTAATGTAAACTATTGCAATATTAGTGTATTGGACTGACTTTACCAGTTTTTATCAGTGAAATTGACTTGTCCGTTTTGCTGTTTCCGCTAAACTTAAACAGCATTACTTTGTCCATTCTATTATTAGATCGAGTATAAAAACATGAACCATAACAGTTCAAGCCATAGGCGTAACTAGGATGGCCCTAGGGGGGGGGGGGGGTTACACCGTATGGTCTGGTAGCCATCCCCCTTTATTAAAAAAAAAATTAGACCTGTAAACTGTTTTGGGCTAAGTAGAGACATATAAAAGAGATTTTTTAATTGTAGAGAAAAAATTTTAATCGTAAACAAATCACATTTTAAGTTCAAGAAGGGTGTTTCAAACCCCTAAAACCCTTCCTGGATACGCCACTGGTTCAAGCCAATTTGGTTTTTAAGTTGGCCACTAAAGTTTTATTGTTTCAAAAAATCAATGAGGTATATACGCAGTTAGAATTTCGAGACTAGCCAAACCTAGCCTTGAAGCTTGTGTGGTTGACCATTTAGTCAGAAAATTTAGCCAAGGCGATTGTAAGACTGTAAACAGTCCTGTACTACTCGAGAGATTTTATACCCTAAGCCTACATGTGAATAACATTTTATGATTTAAAGTTATGATTGGTGCTAAACCTACTGAACTCTTAACCTTGTGAAGTAAGATTTAGGATTACTCTTAACCATTTGGGTAGGCCTACTCATCAAATACCAGTTATCTGAATTAAGTGTTCACTTTCCAGAGAATGACCTTTTTAATATCTAAATTAATTTAATCTAGTAAATGGAGTTGTCATTCTTGTTAAAACAATTACTCTTAGGTAATATTTGTCATCAATAGTTAGCCAAAGTCTTGTTAAAATTTTGCTGAATAGGCCTAATAATATACTTTCCTTTTACAATATTATTTTAATCATGTTTAAGAAAGAAAAATAACCCTCCTAAAAGCATAAGTTAGCAGAATCTATAAAAGTGGAAATTAAATGTTTTTGGATAGAAATTTCTGGGATTTTTCTTTTACCTAAATAGTACAACTTGTATCTTCAAATAACACATGATGGTCCCAAAGAGTATTAACATGTTGTGTAATAATAGTGGTCTTATAATATCTATTGAGAAACTAATAGTTGATATCCTAAATATTAAAAATTGCAAAGTGTTAACACCTAAGTGTAGTGTACAAGGTTTTTACAGCTGCCAACAGGAAAAAACAAATGAGAGAAAAAATAAAAACACATAAATCATAATTTCTGAATTATTTTTGATTTAAGCTCCATAAAACCATGTATTTGATACTTATGAGAGGTTTGTTTTTAAAAAGAAATATGAATGAGGAGCTGTAAAGATCTAAACGAACAAAGTTTTGAAGCACAAAACAACCAAATAAAAAAAATGTTTGTTGTGGATTTTTTTGGGATCTGCAGCCAATAAAAATCATAGCTGCCAATAACCGGTTTTCACTCTGAAGAAAAAATGGTACAGAGAATGAAGTGAAAGCAACTTGTACAACTACCCTTTTAGTTGTTAACAAAAACTACACTTCAGAAATTGGACATTATCAACTATTTACCAGCTTACAAAAATGGATTAAAATCAATTTTCTTTAATCAGTTACATGAATGAGTCATTCACTTCACTTCACATAGAATGAATTTCGTCTGATGAAGCATTTGCCTCTAGAATACTTTTGGGTGCAGCTTAACGGTCAGTCAACGGTTTATTCGTATGAAGCGGTTTAGTCAATTTTCAAGTGAAAAAATCTACTTAATTTCCAACACTCAATATTATTTGTCATCTCTTTTAAGTTCTAATAATATTTTCCAGTAATAGTTATACTAGTCTAAAGATTAAAAAAATATTAACTAGCTCACCAAACATAACCTGTATGGTCACTAAACTTTTCTATTTAATTAATTTTAATTTAGTGATCTAATTGATTTGACAGGTTGGATTGTGTAACTAGCCCAATGACTGCCCATTATCCCCATTGCCTTTACCATTACAAGCTGAGAGTATGCTAGATTTTTGCTGTGCATACTATATGGTTTTTTGTACGGGAGTCTCACGGGTCAGTACCTATCAACTAACTCAAAAACGTCTAGTGACTGCTATAATATTGTTAAACAATTCCAATACATTAAAAACTTGGGTTTCTAAAACATTGAAAACTGTTATGTTGGTTTTTTGTTGTCATATTGAATTCTTGTGGACTGAAAAAACAACTTATTGGTAGAGTAAAATTAAAAACACATTCTGGTGCTTAGATTAAGGCGAGATTAGTTAAAACAGCTGATTGTTTAAGCCAGGATCAATTTGGGACATTGTGCTTTATGTGAAGATATCATGCCTGGTCAATTAATTAGGTATGTTCCCGATTAAATGTCACAATAGAAATTATAAAATGTGTATTAGTATTTTTTAAGTAAGTAAAATGTTGTATCATATAATTTTAAGTGATAGTAATAGTGTTTTGATTCGAATGCAACAGATATTTTTAAATCACTCGTGTTTATTAAAACAATGTGATTTTCTTGCAATTGAATGATTATATCCTACCAATATATCTGAAAAATCCGTTCGGTGCACATGAATGTTAGTTTGTATGTAAAGATTTTTCCAACAAATCATATTGATAAAATTTAGTAATTTGCTTTAAACCGTGTACCAAACTGCCTGCTGCTATGATAAATGCTTTTATTGTATGTGAAATATTATAAGTATTTTACACCGTTGTAACTTATGTTTTAAACCTATATTGTGTTCAGTTTATTTAATGTGTTGATTAAGCGGGGACATTGTATTTTCTTGCCAGGTGTTAATTTTAATATTTACAGTTACCCTTGTTGTGCAATATTTATTTGTTACCAAAGTTGTTTGTGCCAAATATGTTTTACCAACACTTTTATCAAACCCATAAACCCAATGTCCTCTGCTTAGTACTAAACTAATTTTAATATATTTTTTTTACCGAACATTTTAGCTGTTTATTACACTAATTTGTTTCTCTTATTGTGAAATAAATATAAATTGATTGATTTGTGTTTTATTTCTGACAACATTTAATTTGACCATACTCATCTTTAGAAAAAGAGTGATTGGTGTATCTAGTTTGCAAAGAGACACTGTGTTCAAAATAAACATTTACTAAAAAAATCAATTAGGGTCTATATAGTATTTATTTACATGAAATAGCAATAAAAAATACAATCATGTATTACAAAAAATTGTGTTATCAAACAAAATTGACATTGGTCCACCGCTTACTTTGTAGTTTGTATCGAGGTCTTTACCCATTAGTAGAATATCAATCTTTATCCATTATATGAAACACAAAAAGAGGTTATAATAAACACACCTTCTCATTTGAAAAGGATTGGGTCAACTAACCCATTAAGACCTGTGGAATTTGTGTGTAAGAAAAAAATACTGCCATTAAAAAAAAAAAAATCACCCACATGTGAAAACCACACCCCAGCATATTTAGGGGTAATTCCTTTAGACCTACAACTAACAATCAAGTCAATAAAATAAACCATACATTTGTGTATGCATGTTGGCGTGTATGCATGTTGGCGTCAACAATAATTTACGTCTGTCCAGTGAGTTGATGCTGGTCTGTTGCAAAAATCCTACTGGTCTGTGGTGAAGGAATTTTGTTAACATTTCAGAAGTGAACGTTTTAATTTCTTATTTGTCAAGAAGAAACAGTTTAAACTATGGAGTGTTAGTGTCATATTTTTGTCCAAAATCAAGATATTCATTCATAAAATTGAATATTTTTGGTCATTTGGTTCACATCACATTTTACAGTTACAACATTTGCAGAGGACACAGCTTTTAGCGAATTTACCTACAGGAAAGTAGTTATTACTGTAGGTGGCACGGTAAGACTTAGAGCCGGAACCGATATACTTTTTCAATTTGATGTCCCTAGAGGCTACAAACACTATTCGTTCACACTTTTTATTTATTTATTTATTTATTTTATATATCAACGGACATCTCCAATTTTATAAACTAGACACAACAAAATTTCTCTTAAGTGACTGTAGAATTAAAATACATTTTTGTACAACATTTCAACCCAGAAAAAATGTACATATGTAACAATAACAATAAATATATGTATATGTATAACAACAATAAATATACAGTAGATAACAACAACAACATTATAAATATATAAATAAAGCAAATCTGAACATTTAATGGATGCCTGCAACAAATATAACAAGTTTTTACAGAGAAAAAAGGAAATGGTCAATAAATATTCATTTTTTTTTTTGCATCCGTGAAAACGATAACTTTGAGTAATTTTGGTCCGACCAGGATGAAAGTTGGCTTGAAGATGTAAGGCAGGATAACTTAAATGAGTTTGCAAGCCGGCATAAATGGGAAAGGTGTTTTAATGGTAAAATTGGGGTTTCTCACTTTTTACCACCAAAATCATAAAGTTTTCCAATTTCTCTTTCACATTCACTACCAATACCAAGTGTCAGTGAACTGAAAAAAAGAGGAGTGTGGCGGCAGGTAGTGAACCTGTTAAACCATTTTAAAGAGCTTAAAAAAATTAATAAAGTGCTTTTTTAAACTATTATTGGTTGTGGAGAAAATTTAAAATTCCCATTTTATTATGGAAAATGAGTAAACTGTTGTAATTTGCTTGTTTATGGATATATTTCTATCAAACTTGGCAAATTTATTAATTTTATACTAAGTTATTGACATTTTACTAAAAAAACACTTTTCACCCTCCCTGTAAAACATAATGTTGTTTTAAATAGATTTAATTGAAATTTCAATCAGGCAAATGGAAATTCGCTTGGTCTACAGGATTGCTGCGGCAGGGGTATTTTATCATGTAATGAGGATTCTGGTGTAAGTAAAATACAGTTCGTTGTATGAGTGAAAACCCAGCTTGCACATGATGGTATACAGAAGTATGTTTACAAACACTTCACAAACTGAAAAGTGAGTACTTCCTATTGCCACACCGGGAGGCACAATTTTTATTTCAGCTGCAGTTTTTTTAATACGGACAAAATGCAAGTTTGAAAATTAGATATAAAAAAAATATTATAAAACTAAAAAAATATAAAATAAATTTTGAATTATAAAATTAAACTGTCATAACCTAACCTAACTAACCAAACTTGCTGATACCGTAATGAAAAGAAAATGAATGAAGGTTTTCTAATAAAAAAAATAGTTCTATTCATAAAATAAAACTATTCAATTGCCTCAAATTCAATTTTATAATTTTTTAATTATAAAATTAAACTGTCATATTCTAACCAAACTAACAAAACTTGCTGATAATGCAAAAATCTTAGACAAAAAGCTAGTGCCACCGATAGGATTCGAACCTAATGGTATTTTCAGCTTCTCAGCCCAGCACGTTATCCATTAAACCACCAAGGCCGATGGCTTCAACCCGTATCGATACGGTAATGGTGTTCCCTCAGCCAATAGAATGCTCTCATTTTGACCGTATTAAAAAGACTGCAGCTGAAATAAAAATTGTGCCACCGGCACGATAATGATTTTTTGATCTACCTTCAGGGCTAGGAAAATACTCAACAGATTGAGCCCAATAGCTGTTCTGCCTGTGCATGCACAGTGGCTTCTTTTGCTACTGTGCATCTTTATGTTTAGTTTTTCACTCTCACAATAAATTGTACCTTGGTATGACAAGACAGCTCACATGGCATTCTCACATTTTGTGATATCAGAGGTACCATATATTTAAGCTTGAAAACAAACTTTCAATACTGTATTCACTGACAATCTCGGCACAAACCTGCTGATTAGGCAAATTTCCATTTGCCTGACTGAAATTTCATTACAATATAAAAAAAAAAAAAAAACACAGCAACCCACTGAGCTAAAATTATAACTGGAGGTAGCACTGCCATGGCAGAAGTCTGTCAAAAGCGTGTCGCTGATTTTGTTAGGTTGGTATAGCAGCAGGTTTTTTCATCCAATAACATGGCTTCTACAGGGGTGCCCATCCCCCCCTAGACTCATGACGCACCCCCCCCCCCAATTGAGAAACAGCCCCCCCCCACCATAAATGATGTACACAACAAATGAGAAACATTATTTCCCCGCCCAGCACTATTTGTAAAACTATAAAAGAAGTTTTATAAATTTTATTAGATATTTAAAATTCAAACCAATCTATATAAATAAAGTTATAGTTTTGTCTGTACATTGCTCAGAATTATACATATTTTGGGTTATTTTTACGTTTTATACATTGAAGAAGTTGAAACATGTCTTATCTCAAATTGTGTCCGTCTGTCACGGCCCAGAAGGCATTTTACGCAGCCTACAAAGAAAACTAGAGTACCGATTATGATTATAATGGTTTAATTGTATCCACAGGATTGGCGAGAGTGTCCTTATAGCCATTAAAATATGGCCTCATCATTTTTTAAATAAAATAACGGACGTTCAAAAACCCAATTTTGTGTGATTTTTCTAGTTTATTTTCTCCATGTTTACTACATACGTCATTTATGAAATACTAATAATCTGTTAAAAGAAGACGTCATATATGAAATTACGAACAGCTGTTTTGATAAAGATTCCTTTTTCTAGCTGTCACTGATATGTTTACATCAATGTTGTTTACGAATACTGTATAGGCCCTAACCATTTCCGATCACGTTTGTAAGCAAAACCAAAACCAAGTGAGATTAATAACCGTGTGGCTTTGGCTTACATAACGGGTTTGATTTGTCACGGGTTGGGTACTAATATGTAACTGTAAATTAAATTAAATATAACTAGCCATCATCCAGGTCGGGAACCGGAGATTCGTGTGTATCAAGTTGTACTTGTATTTTGATTACCAGGAAAAGACCGTGAATCAGTGTTGTACAGGACTGGAAAACTTATCTTTCTATATAAATAAAATTAGAGTTTTATAAGTCACCTCAATTTAAAGATTTTTTTATTGCCAGAATATCCATATAGCGTTCGTAACCTCTGCTTAACGAATTGTCAGCGTCTTCCTCTTGATATAACGATCCCCTCTCCCTCCCTTTAGAAACATCACAGCTCCTTTGATGAAAATGAAATGGAAACAACGCTTGCGCCAACAATCGTCTGCTCCGTTTTACGCTTCTGTCTGCTGTGCGCTACAACGTGTTATATAGTTCGATGGTCACAACAGATTTCAGATACTGTACAACAGCTGTGGAATGATGACAATATAATGCTTAGTAAACTGTGATTGAGTGATCAGTAACCATGGTAACTTTAGTAAGGCTGTGATTGGCCAATGAGTTAGTAGGCCTAAATATACAGAAGAACAAAGAAAAAGAATAACAAGATTGTTCTCGTTACATTCTTTTTTAAGAGTGTTTTAGCATAGATAAAACATACTCCCTTAGTAGATTTCCCATCCTTATGGAACAGCTGAAGCCAATTTTATTGTTAGTTCTGTCCGTTTTTCTGTAGAGGTCGTGTTTTGTTTACAATTTGTTTCCCGTTATTACAGCCATTTAAAACCTCGTTTAACCAAATAATACGATCTAATCATAAACAATAACTTGTCCCCTAGTTATATAACCAAACAGTAAAGCACAAATCAAGAAATTAACCCCAAAATAATAGAAACAAAATTTCGTCGACACTAGCGCCCAGTGTGGCGTACATGAACTAGACATGAAAAACGTGCTTCAAAATTTACAATGGGATGAGAAGTCTACTTGTGTTGGTTAGTCTATGGTTTTAGTTATCTCGAAATATAATTTTACACTTTTTTTATCAGACCTACTTATCTATCAATTCTTATGCTGTGATACAGCACCTTGGTAGCCTATATGTCCATCATGAGCAGTACCTTATAACACTTTTTAAAGGTTCCTTTAATATTTACGTTATTTATAGCAATGCAGTGTTTGGCTAGATATTAGCATAGATAAAACATACTCCCTTAGTAGATTTCTCATCCTTATGGAACAGCTGAAGACAATTTTATTGTTAGTTCATGTACGGTTTATGTAGAGGTCGTGTTTTGTTTACAATTTGTTTCCCGTTATTACAGCCTGTTAAAACCTCGTTTAACCAAATAATACGATCTAATCATAAACAATAACTTGTCCCCTAGCTATATAACCAAACAGTAAAGCACAAATCAAGAAATTAACCCTAAAATAATGGAAACAAAGTGTCATCGACACTAGTGCCTTTGTGTCACGTACATGAACTAGACACGAAAAACGTGCTTCAAAATTTACAATGGGATGAGATGTCTACTTGTGCTGGTTAGTCTATGATATTAGTTGAGTTTGAGTTAGCTATAATTTTAAACGTTGCCGTTTGTACAACTGAACCAAGATAAATGATTTGAAAAATTTTAAAATAATAATGTTATTGCACAATAATAATGATTGTGCAATATTGAATTTCGTTTATAAGAATGCAAATCGTAACGTTAATGGCTGTTTACAGCGTTTTAATGGGTTTGTCATCATTCTGTTTTTATACTATAGGCTATTGGATTAACCGTATTTTTCATTACTCCCCCTCCCTATTAACTCAGGTAATCGAGTATCTACACAATAGTGCAAAGTATTATAGCCTATGCTACTTGATTGTATTTGAACTAGCTTTATGTCAACAAATAAGCGTTCTGGGCTAAGTCGCGGTGTAGCTGGACGACTGAGGGACGTGTCTGTAGAGGTCGTGCGGAACGAGGTGAAGCTTGGAGGGGAATAGTGGTGTGGCGGGGGAAGTGTCGCTATGCGAGGCGACGATCGGCTCGTCTCCTACCCCCACCATGGATTTCCCCGCTTTAGACCGTTCCCGCCGAAAATCTCAGGCTTCACCTCGTTCCGCACGACCTCTACATGCGTTATCTTTTATCTATCACATCAGGGGCCCTATTTTTGAAATGGTTGACTGTTGAGTCAATCGTCAGCACACAACTCAACCAACAACATGATTTGGTATTTTTGAAACCCAACCGTTGGGAAGCGAGTTGGGAATCACTAGTTGAGAGACTCGTGGTGGAAATGTAGAACATACGACCGTCAAAAATTCAGATGACGTCATTTTGAACCAATCACAATGCAGAGTTCTTGTGGACTTCAATTTAACCTCTTCTTACTCTAAAATCTGGCAGCTAATCTCAATCTGCCATATTTCGAGACACTGAGGTAAACTGTCAACTCCGTTCTTGAGAGATTGAGGTTATGTCTTGCTTAATCTTAGTGATTGCAAAGTACCTTAACTTAATTAATAAACTAAAGTAAACTAAATATAAAGTAATAAACTTAAGTATAAAAAATAAAATTTACTATGGATGTTTGTTTTAGGGTGTAGCTAATTATAAGTTTAGGCATAGGCTGCACTTTACTTTAGGTCCTACACTCATCCTAAATACATTATTATTTGCTTTCTTCGTCTCTATTTCGGAACACATCACCTTATTTTAGTTTCCTTCATCGGTTTGTTTTATGTTATTTTTAATTGTTTTTTATTTAGGTTAAAGCGGCTATTTGCCATTGCACTGAAAGCATATCGTAACTTAAATTAATTTGATCCCTTTATTAGGTGAATGGTATTGAAACAAACTATGATATTGTTTCTCTCTACCACAATCTTTAATACCTTAAATCACAGGTCTAATAACAATAATTATCTTATAATAAGTTCAATTAGTATGCCTAGTCTATTTCAAACATTCCAACAAGAATAAAACCCTTGATTAAATAGTCTAGTATTGACACAGTAAATAAAATTAAAATGCGATTATTCTACAGAAAACAATCGCATAATTGGGTGCTAATACATTGACAACAAATACATAACCTCTAAATCGCAATTAGTAAATTAAAGCAATAACAAAACAATATGGCGTCGTCTCAAAAAGAGTAATTTTTTGCCGAAAGAGAGGAAGAAGAAAGTGCACTCAACCTTCATTCAACAGCTCGATAGGTGTTGAGTAGTTTTGGTTGTATAAGTCCACCGTCAACCGTTTCAAAAATACGAAACGATTGGAAATAGAATGACTCGACACTCAACTCAACAGTCAACCATTTCAAAAATAGGGCCCCAGTTGAGCCATCCCGTGCGCTCCCTCTTAGATCTCACGTCTTGCTAATCTTGAATAATAACTTTCTACACGAATCCTAAACTATCCTAAAATCCTATTTTAACTAATTGAATTCAATAATATAGCTATTGTCATTAATTAATCCACTTTCTATATGGCGACTTCGTAATATATTTTGGATTGTCGTCACGTTGAACACTGTTGCAATTAGCTTTAGCCACCCCCCCCCCTTTGGAATTTTTGAACCCCCCCCAAGAATTTCAATGACGCAGTCTGCGTCACAGCCCCCCCTTGTGGGCACCCCTGGCTTCTATAACTAGGTTTGCATAGCAGTGAGTTTTTTCATCCAATAAAATGGCTTATTTATCACTCACACCTCACGCAAACATGGCGGCTGGCGACACGCATCGTTGACATTCGAGTGCTACCTCCAGTTAGAATTATAGCTCAGGGACAGCAACCACATAAACACAAACATTTTCCCGTTGGCAGTTCCAAGGGGGATAACAAACTAAAACATACATTTTGTCCTAACAGATGTTTTCTTATGTTTAACAGATGTTTTTGTCAATAATAGCTTTAGAAAACCACCAAACGGCTTTATAAATACCAAATTTTGCAGGGGAGGACCACTGTACCCCACCCTTTCTTTCTTTCTTTGCAAGAACGGGAAACCCTCGTTGTGGCAACAGGCAACCTTTTGATTCCTAAGTGAGCACTTTAACCACTGAGCTAACCAGCTATAGGAAGTTAAACAGTGTTTTTTCTAATGAAATGCAATAGCTTAGTTAAAAAAAAAAATTATCTAAATTTGATGAAAATGGATCCATTAACTAGCGAATCATAACAACAGTTTACTTATTCTCTATAAGAATAACACAAGAGTTTTAAATCAAAAGTTTTTTTTTTACTTTCTCCACAAGCATCAAGCATACGAAATACCTCAAGGTACAAAATTATTTGCTTTTTAAGCTCGAAAAAATTGGAAAAGTGAAAAATGTTATCTTATAAATGCCTAACATGAAAACCCTCAATTTTACCCCATCTAAAACCTCGTTAACGATCATCATGGTGGGTTGTGAACTTACTTGTTCTAATCCATCAAAATTGGATGATTGTTACTTGAGTTATTGACGTTAAGTGGACGGACACACACATATATATATTTTACCCTGTAAATCAGTCCCGGGTTTAGGGCTGATGCAAATGACACATCAATCTTAAAAATCGGTACCACTGTATTTTAAAACTTCCACCATGATTTTAAAATTTAAATTTTGTTAAATAGTTGTACAGTTACACTATTCAAAGTCAGATAATTGTATTGGAGTACAGGATAGCTAAAGGTAATGAAATCAGCAAATAAACTTGACCAAGACAGTTGTCAGTTACTTAGCACACAATAGTACCGGCCTCCATAACTCACACTGATAAAAAAGAGGTGCTTCAAAACAAAACATAGCATAACCTTAAACTTTCAATCTTATCTTTGCTTTGGCTTTGATGTTGTTATTGTTGTTAACTTGTCAGGCTATGTTACATCGATTGCTTATCTGTGGTAATCAAAATACAAACAACACAACTACAGTATTACAGTCAACAGCATCGTTATCGTGTTCTAGCTCATGGTGCTGACTCATATTTACTTTTGACTCACTCTTCGTTGTATATATAAAAACTGTAATTCCTCTTAAATTGTTATGCAAAGTTTAAAAGTTGTTGCATAAGTTAGGTCTAGGCTATGGTCTATGTTATCTGCTTGGACATTTAGGTTCTTTTGATAGCCTAGCTATAGACCATGCCTTGGCTGACAAGAACAGTTTTGCTATAGGCCTAAACATTTTTAAACGTCTTAATCATGGTATCAGTCTTCAAACCAGGTTCTGCTGCTGAGCCTACACTACTAGTTGATCTAACAATTTCATGCAGGTAAGTCTGTGGTAGATGCCTTGGTGTATAACTTTGGTATAGCCTAAAACTCCCATCGTATAAACAAAATATTCTGAGCTAAAAAAGCTAACATTAGGCCTATTTTGAAATAGCCATACTAGGCTAAGTTAAGCTTACTTCACTGTGACAAAAAATTAAAATTATCAACTTATCATTCAAATTGCAGTATTATTTAACAACACGTTCGCTCCGACGTGGCCACCGGTGGCGCACAAATGATATTTCAGTCCAAAGTAAATTTGTGTAGGACACAAATCAGGCTAAGTACCATAGGCAAAAAAAAAAAAAAAAAAACCAAAGTGTGTTCATAAGAATATTTAATTAAGTTAGGCTAGATATAATTCATTAATCAGGCTATCAAATGTAGGTACACGACTTGTACCGTTTCAGGCTACAAAATAAGATAATAATTCCCATTCTAATTAAATTCATGATGCAGGTGGACGCATCAGTAGGTGGGAGGGCGGAGTTGACGTCGATGTCGGCGGCAATCCCAAACCGGGGATCCCCCGAGCTAACCTAACCGTAGCAGTATCACCGCACGCGGCAGCTCATTTCACATAATATTTTCCAGTTGCGCAGGGTTTAAGCTGCGGTAGCATTTTTAGCATTTTGCAATACCTACCTAATACACAACTTAAAAATGCTAACTTAGGCTAGCCTACCTTGTTTTTGCAGGCTATAATTTATTTGTTTTTTTGCAGGCTATAAAGACTTTATTTGTAGCGAATTCACTACAAATAAAATCGTAAGATGTAGGAATATTCAAACATGTAATATTAGCCTACTGGCAAGTTGTTTAAAAATGCTTTTAAAGAATAATATTTTTGCTACAGTCGTCTTAAAGTTTGTGTCATTTTTGCAAAAACAAAATAGATCCCAGCCTAAACCCTGGTTTGTTAAAGTTGGTCCAACACAGTGCGGTGTGATTCAATCATAAATGTAGCATTAAATTTGTTTTCATTTGTTGTACTACATTTTGTGTCGTCAAGTGAAAAGTATTTTTATTTAAACTATAAAAATAATCGGCCAGCTAGTAATTTAGTAATGTGTTTGACATACAGGGTGGCTGAAAAGTATCCTACACCCCCCCTTAACTTTTCAACCATTTGAGATGTTTGAAATCTGTTTGCGGCAACCTTTCTTAGATATGAGGGGCTACAATAACTAGGTGGCGTTCGCAGAGGCATCCACAAAATTGAGCGGAGTCATCAAGGGTTCATATTATATTGCTTTTGTCATACTGCAGTAAAACAGTCGTTTTTTTTTAATGCATGCGTTGCGAGTATCTAAGTAGTTATTTTTAATAATAAGGGAGTAAAAATTGTTTTTAGCATCTATGGAGTAAAAATCAGCTGTTGTCAACTCAGTTGTAAATTTCGATTGTAAACGATTGCATGTATGGAAAATATGTTTCGATTCGTGCTTCGTAATCATTTTAACAAATAGTCTACAGTCTCTTCCTGTAGCATTTTAGCATTGCAGATACATTAATCCATTCCCACACTCAACACTGCTCACCTTTACTACTTCCTTCACCACCCCCTATGCCGTGGACCTGATTCCCTCTCTTCCCATGGCATTTTAGGATTGCAGATACTTTAATGTAATTGCCAAAGACAGTTCCCACACTCTGCACTGCTAGCCTTACTACTTTCTTCGCCATTTCCTACGTCATAGACCCTTTTCCTTCCTTTCTCATAGCATTTAAGTATTACAGATACATTTATCCAACTTCCCAAACGGTTCCCCCACTCTGCACTGCCAGCCTTACTTCCTTCACCACTTCCTACGTCGTGGGGCCTGTTTCCTTCCCTTCTCAAAGCATTTTAGGATTGAAGATACCTTAATCTAATCGTCATAAACAGTTTCCACACTCCGGACAGCTCACCTTGACTACTTCCTTCACCACTTCCTACGTCACGGACCTGTTTCCCTCCCTTCCCATAGCATTTTAGGATTCTAGATACCTTAATCTAATCGTCATTTAAACAGTTTCCACACTCTGGACAGCTCGCCTTGCCTACTTCCTTCACCACTTCCTACGTCGTGGACCTGTTTTCCTCCCTTCCCATAGCATTATAAGATTGTAGATACCTTAATATAATCGTCATAAACAGTTCCCACCCTCCAGACAGCTCACCTTGACTACTTCCTCCACCACTTCCTACATCGTGGACCTGTTTTCCTCCCTTCCCATAGCATTTTAGGATTGTAGATACCTTAATCTAATCGTCATAAACAGTTTCCACACTCCGGACAGCTCGCCTTGACTACTTCCTTCACCACTTCCTACGTCGCGGACCTGTTTCCCTCCCTTCCCATTGCATTTTGAGATTGCAGATACCTTAATCTAATCGTCATAAACAGTTCCCACAGTCCGGACTGCTTGCCTTTACTACTTCCTACGTCACAGACCTGTTTCCCTCCCTTCCCATGGCATCATAGGATTGCAAATACCTTAATTTAATCGTCACAAACAGTTCCCACAGTCATGGACTGCTTGCCTTTACTACTTCCTTCACCACTTCCTACGTCACGGACCTGTTTCCCTCCCTTCCCATAGCACCATAGGATTGCAAATACCTTAATCTAATGGTCACAAACAGATCCCACACCCCGAACAGCTAGCCTTTACTACTTCCTTCACCACTTCCTACGTCGCGGACCTGTTTCCTTCTCTTCCAATAGCATAATATGATTGCAGGTACCTTAATCTAATCGTCATAAACAGTTCCCACACTCCGGACAGTTCACCTTGACTACTTCCTTCACCACTTCCTACGCCGCGGACCTGTTTTCCTCCCTTCCCATAAAAATGTAGGAATGCAGATACAGTAACTTAATCTAATCGCCATAAACAGTTTCCACACTCCAGACTGCTAGCCTTTACTACTTCTTTCACCACTTGATTCGTCACGGACCACCTCGACCTGAAGCTAGTGTCGTCATTTGATTATTTTATGATCCATACCGTTTCTGTTCTAATATCTGTGGAATAATGCTATCAACTATTTCTTTATCTACTGCATTCAAAAGTCAACAGCTGATCTAATGTCTTTATGTGTCAAATACTGCTTCCATAAGGATTCTATTGAAACTTTGAGACCCAGTGGGGCGGATTCCTGAGAGACTTTTTTAACGCCATATAGATGTTGGCACTCACCAAAATGGTCTTTACCACCATGTAAAATTTGAAAACGATTGATTCAGCCGTCTAGGAGGAGTTTGCGTATTACGAAATGCATAAGAGTCGACGTATAAGAGCTTCGCTCAATTATGGTAAATTTTGAAAATTTAAATTTTGGTGTTAGGGGTTGGCCTAGCGGTGGTAGGGAGTACTTAGCTCAAAATTTTTAAATGACAAGTATAGTTGAGTTTGGTATAATTTTACAGGTCTTGACGAAACATAACAATTAACATAAAGAAAATAGAAATCGGACCACTAAAATCAAAATGGCAGTTCAAAATTACTTTTAATAAACATTGACTCAGTCATTTTTAGCTGCTATTTTGTTATTAATAGTCCGATTTCTATTTTATTTATGTTAATTGTTATGTTTTGTCAAGACTTGTAAAAATGATACCAAATTCGACTATAGGGTCCTTGCTATTTGAAAATTTTAAACTACCCCCTATCCCCGCTACCCCTAATGGCAACATTTTCAAAACTGACCATAATTATTGTAGGCCTAGCCTCTCATATCCAAACAAGTTGCTGCAAACCAATTTCAAATATCTCAAATAGTAAAAAAGTTAAAGGGGGTGCAAGTTAATTTTGAGCTACCCTCATGGTTATTTGGATTTGAAACGTTTTAGGGCGCCATTTTGTTATTAGTTGGCCGAATTTGGTCTTCTTTATGTCAATTGTTATGTTTCGTCAAGACCTGTAAAATGATACCAAACTCGATTTTACTTGTCATTTGAAAATTTTGAGCTACCCCCTACCCCCGATAACTTAAGTAGGCTAGTTCTTTTTTAAGCTACAGTATTTTGTACGCTAGAATTGAAGGATAAAATATGTTATTTTCAATGAGCGAAGCAGTAAGTCTTAGTCAATAATAAGCCTATAGAAAGTATAAATCTCGTTTTTTTCTTTCTCCTCATGTTAAATAAATAAATTTACCTCAAAACATGCCACAAGTTAGTGTGTATCAATGGTGAAAATGGAAAATTGAAAGATGAATTCTTTTTAAGGAACCTTCCAGACTGTGATGTTTTCTCAAAATCAGATCCAATGTGTGTGATCTATCTTAAAACTCAAGAGAAAGAAAAATGGCATGAAATTTGTAGAACAGAGGCTATTAAAAACAACTTGAATCCAGATTTCACAACTAAGGTTAGTATAATCTAATTAGCTTTTTGTAATGTTTGTATTCATTGATGCTACCTACTTAGAATGCACAATGTGATGAAAAAAGGCTAGGCTATTTCAAAGGGGAAAAAATCAAGATTTTTTACACATTACATTAAACTTGCAGTTATAAAATTATAAGTCATAATTAAAGTGAAAGAGTTGTTTAAACAGTTTTGTCTCAATGCTTACAAAGGTTCAGTGTACAAATTGTTGTTGAAACAGCCGTTTCAATCCTACAGTATTTTCAAATTTTCAAACCTTGGAGGCTAGGGAGATTGGAGGCTTATGCAAATTATTCTTAATGAACACTTAAGAAACCACAGTGACGACAGATTCGGTGATTGTGGAAGCCATGATAAACAAGCTTTTATAAGGTGGTGTACGATAATATTTAACCACTGGATGGTGTCAAAGACAAAACTTTATGTGTAGAAAAAGTATTCCTTCACACAGCATTTATAGCACTGAATCAATTCACTTTGGGGTCAAGGCTTGCAAACTACCGGTGGCTGAAGTAGTCCTCTTGGTAAAAAGTTAGCCTACTTTAAAACTTGTTTAGTACTACTCAAGTAAAAAGTGATATACCGTATACCGGTATCAGTTTACACTTTGGAGTTTTAAACTTGATTTTTTACAGGTTAGACTTGAGTACAGATTCGAAATCCAACAAAATCTAAGATTTGAAGTGTACGACATTGATTCAACATCACTTTCCCTTGTAGATCATGATTTTCTGGGATACTGTGAGTCAACACTGGGCCATGTAAGTTGTTTCCCTTTTCGGGAAAATTTAAATCATCGGCTAAGTTGAGACAATCAATTTTGGATGTTGTATGGGTACCGTCTCACCATTCTTAAAAGGAGAATAACTTTTTGTAAATTTAGTCTGTTACTCAAGTATTTATTTAAAGAAATATCCTAAAGAAATATACTTTTGAAAAGTTCTATATAGGCATCTGTTGCAGTCTGTTTTTGGTAGTCAAAGGCAGGGTGCACACTGGAGAAACCCGTTTCAGGAAACTGGTTTCATCAAATTGGTTTCAAGGAAACCATTTCTTTAACAAATGCACACAGAAGAAACGGGATTCTATCAGTTTCATGATATGAGTTCGGATTATGATTATGTGACTATATTGGTGGTGGCTTAAGAAAACGAAAAGAAGGAAATATTGCGTTAACATGTTGATTATGGATGGTCAAACACAGTACTTACATTGTAGCTCGTTAATTATTCAGTGATCCTGTAACATTTTTAGATTTTTTAGAATGCCAAAGCCTCTTTTTGAATGTTTGGTGAAATTACTTGACTCACTAATAAAAAAGAAGGACACCAAACGGAGGCTATCTCTGAGTGCTGAGGGAAAATAACAATACACTGAGGTAAGTCAATAAAACCGATAGAAACGTGAAACTGAAGCCTATACGAAATCTGTTTTTTGGATTTCATGTAAACCAGTTGCAAGAAACAAATGAAATTACAGTTTCATGCAACGCAGTGTGCACTGCCCTGTGTTAAGCTAATCCATCTGTTGCGAGCAACTATAGTTTCACGTTTCATGAAATTGGTTTCCTGAAACAGATTTCTCCAGTGTGCACCCTGCCTAACATTTTTTTTAAATTCAATCAGGCAAATGTAAATTCAACAGTTGTTATCGAGAGGCTGAGTGAGGATGGGTTTTGATGAAAACCCGAAATATACCACTTTTTTTGTAGTTGTGTATTATTTAGTAATGGTTAACCGTCAAACAATGAATAATAGTCTAACATTGATATTACATTGAAACACAATCACCATGCTGTGTGTTTTACCTGGTTTACTTACCTGAACATGAGGGAAGGATGGGTATTAGACTGGAGTGAAACGCCTTTACAATTTACAATAATTAGACCAGCTCTGCAACAGAAAATTTGTTAAAAACCCATTGATCAATGACTGAGTTCAGTATCAAGTAGTCAAAACAACTGGCTTTGCTCAGGACCAAACTGGCGACCTTTTGTATATGAAGCAACCACAATCTGTTGCAAATTGAATCTGTTTGTTACTGCTACAGTGGAACCTTGATAAGAATACCGTCGATAACAAGTCGCCCTTGATAACAAGTGTCATTTTCAAATCCCCTTAAAATTATTTTACCCCTAGTCACATGTTATTACAAACCTCAATAAGAAGTCAACCTTGATAACAAGTCTTATTTGACAATCCCCATGAGAGTCTTGTTATCAAGGTTCTACTGTAGGCTATAACAAATTGCAAATTAAATCACCAGTAGCCTATATGGCTACTGGTGATTGAATTTGCAAAAAAAAAAAAAATACATTTGAAATATTAATTTGAAAATATTTGATAAATACATTTACTCTTTATAAAGAGTAAATGTATATTTAGCAGTCTGCTCTTGAGACTTGTTCAGATTTCGTTTACTGATTTTAACAGTCATACAGGTTTTAGCAAAGTTTATGTTTGTAGTAAGCAAACAACTACCTAATGTAGCCTAGGTCTAACTACATTAACTTAAGTAGTACAGTAAATGTGAACTAACTGCAGGGGTCACTAATTGAATATGCAAACCAACGTTATTCTCGAATCCATTTGACTGGCTTTGCTCTATCACTATTAAAAAAAAACTTTTTTAGTTGGTGTCCAACGTCAATGCAAAATTGCCTCTGAAGAATCAATACAACAAGGGTTTGGTTTTGGTTACGTCTGAAGAATGTGGCATCAATAAAGATGAAGTTACCTTGAAGTTTCATGGAAGAAATCTAGACAGGAAGGATTGGTTTGGCAGGTAACTTGACAACTACTTTTAAACTGTACATAATTCAAAGTTGTGTGGTTTTGTTCTATGTTCACTCATAGTTTGATCATTCTTTTACAGCCAGGTATAGGCCTATTTTATTGGCTTAAGCTAAAAATACTTAAGTTTATATGTTGGATTTTAACACAATGGAATCTCAATTCTACGTAACTGAAGAAGTAGGCAGCAGATAATCTATCGTTGAAAATCCACAGATAAATCTTTGAACATAATTCATATAGGCCTAGCCTAAGCTTTCAACCTTTTTTGACATAGGAGTCTCAATCTTATCAAATTGAGACATAAACTGTAATAGTTATTATTGCAATTTTAACATCAGAACAACATGCAGAATATATTGTAATGTAATGCTTGTTTAGCAGACCTACATGTTTTGTGTCATTAGTATACTGTTTCAATTTTCATATTGTTAATATTCTGTATTCTGACTGTGCAAGAACAATGAGGTATTTGCTGCTTGTACTATTTTTGTAATAAATAAATTGTATATCATATAAAAAGTCTCATTTTCTTTCAATAACAATAATTGAGGTTCTCAGTTATCCTTGGTAACTCTCTCGATATAAACAAATAACCTCTTATATTGACTCAACTGAGTGTAAAGTACTATATCTGGTAAGCTAATGTCAGTTTTGCACTTAAAAACTTCATTAAACAATTTAATTTACAGTCCTTTTTTGAACCCAATATTGCATTTGTCTTAAAAACAAAAAGAAATATTAATCAGAGGAATTTATTCCCCTCATATCAAAGTGAAACTTTGATGTCGAATCAGGCTTTCTTATTGCAGGAATTAGTTTATTGATATCCACAGTAAAAGTATTGAAAACTAATATTTATTGTTTTAATTTTGTTTAGCTCAGATCCATTCTTAGAGTTTTGGAAAGTCTTTGAAAATGGAGAATATAAAATAGTTCATCGCTCCGAGGTGGTTAAGTGGAATTTGAACCCCCATTGGAAAACATTCACGTTGCCAGTTTATACATTGTGTGGCAATGACAATGACCGAGACATACTTGTGAAGTGTTATGATTGGAACAGAAGTGGAAATCACAGCTTCATCGGTATGCTTTTAGTGTTGTATTTTATAAATCTACTTAACTAAAATGTGTTAAACTTGTAGTGCTGAACACAATCAACTTAAAATTAGTCTTTACCTATAATAGTTGACTATTTAAAGACTATTTAATGTTTATTGTGTTCAGCACTATTGTGTGTTTAAAATACCGACCCTCAATTCCTCAAAACCTAATACCAGTTGTATCAAGCTATAGTCAATTCTTGATACCTCGAGGGGGTAAATATTAAGGCTGATAAATTAGATCTTAACTTAAAGTAGGGCACTAGTTTAACTAAAATGGATACTTAAACTGTTAAAATGGAAAAGCGGCTTTATATATTTGTATACTAGAACACATCACTCTGAAATTCCCTGTAGGTCCCAGCAAAGCTTAATATAATTTAGTCTAATATTGGCTTTACATAAATGTTTTACATACCATACTTAAATCTACCCTATACTTTATGGTGGTTTTTATTTTGACCTGTTAACCAACACAAGTGACTTATCACATGTTTGTTCCCTGATTACCCAGGCGAGTGTCATGTGACGATGGCAATGTTGAGCAAAGGTCCAGGTCCAGCCACTGTCTTCCATCTCATCAACTCTCACAAAAAGGTAAACTTTTGTGGGGGTATTTTATTTTAATCCAAATGTTTTAAAAATAATTTTGACATGTTATGATGTGGGATTTCCCCTGAACTGGTTAGCACTAATAAAATGGTTTTGAATACCTTCAGTCACCAATTCAAATTAAGTCGGCTGTTGCGACCTAGGTTTCGGCACGAAGTTGTACCATCATCAGGTGGGCCAGTTTTGAAATCTTCAGTCCAATGGTCATCGTTTGGTTAAAACTACTAACAATAGACAATAGACATGATACATGATACATGATCTCTACGTCCGTACAGGTCAGGGTTAATACAAAGAATAACCAACTTAATACTACCTAATTTTTGTCATCGTCAAGGTAACTGTCTATGTCCTGTAAACTTAACTCCACTAGATATTTTTTTAATTCTGATTTGAATTTTGTTAAGCTCTGAATTTCAAGTAATTTTTTTCGGTAGGGCCTGGTACAATTTCATTCCCATGTAATCTGGTTTGTGTTCAAATTTTGGGAGTTTCCATTCCTTTATTTCAATTCCTTTATTCCTTTCATTTCCAATTTCCAATTTTCCTCATTCCCTTTCAATTCTTTTATTACAATTTCATCAAGAAATGTTACAGCATCAAATTTAAATGTATAAATAACAGTTTACAACATATGACACAAATACACACACAAACACATATACATTTAACGAATAATACCGGTATCAGAAAGACAACATTATTGTAGGTTCACCGGACGCAACGGGTGACATCCAAGCCGCAACTAACTAGATTGTTCAATTAGTCTATCTGACCTTTGTCCTCGGTATTTGTATATGTTTTGATCATTGTCCAATAGGATGCGTCAGTGTTGCTTGAGTTTCAATTACTTACTTACTTACTTACTTACTTACTTACTGATGGGGCGTCACAAATCTCAGTCGATTTTTTGCCTCGTAGATTAGCCGCCTCCACTCTTCTCTATCCTCCAAGATAGATTTTTGTTGGGTGAAACAAGGGTTTGGTTTGTATGCTTACATCTTCAATCGGGTTGCAAAGGACCGACCTGTTTGGCCGATATAATATAGTTCACAATAACCACATTTTAACTTGTACACCCCATTTTATCGCTCTCATTGGAAGGTTTTTTCACAGTTAGAAGGCATTCTAATTTATTTGAGGTTCTAAGAGCGGTTAGTAAATTGTATGGTTTTAATTCCTTATTTAATAGGCTGTGTAATCGATGGCCATATTCGATCGGAATGTACTTAAGGGGCTGTTGGTTCGAGTTTCGATGTTTGTTTATGTTTTAATTTCGATGTTTTTTAATCATCCTATCAACCATCTTACTTTCATACCCATTGGAGGTCGCAATATATTTAAATAGTGCTTAATTCTTTCTCGTAGGTTGTAGGTGACAATGGCGCTGTTAGTAGGCGATGAACCATGCTATTATAAGCAGCTGTTTTATGGCTTTGGGGATGGTATGAGGAAGCGTGTATCATCTGGGAGGTTGTAGTAGACATCTAAAGATGTCTGTAGCGTATGAGATGTTAATTTTTGTATGAAAATATTTTTGAATATTCATAGGCGAAGGACCAGTCCCTGGTGTCATAGGACAAATGAGAAAAACATAAATGAAGGACGTGAGACAAATACCTGCAGAACTTTCCAGAAAGGGTATAATGGTGGTGTGTGTTTTAAAACCTCATCGGACAATTCATCTCGGCACTTGGCTGGAGCTTGAATCCCTTTTCTTCCTTGGTTATTCCTCTTGTTCTTTCTTGAGGTTGGAACGAACGCAACGCAAAGTTTATTTAAGTTTGTAGCCACTAAAAATTATGCGTAAGTCGCGATTTGCGAACCCGCACTGGAAAACTGGTTTCACAGCAAAGTTCAGTTTACAGGAGATACACATGAATTAGTGAATTAGAGCAATTAATAAGTCACTTTTAAAGAGAATAAACACTTGAGATACTTTAAATGTAAGATACAGTACAAGGACAATATAATATGAAACAAATGAGAAATGATATAACACATTTTAGAAATAGAAATAAGAGCGGTGGCTGGTACTATTGCCCAAGTTCAAGACGGCCGTGTTTACACATTGAAAGCAGATCGAAGACAGTCAGGTCAGGAATGTTGCAGGTGAACGTCCAGTGATAAGGAAATGTTAACAATGGGAGAAGGAAACAATGATATCTGGCGATACGAGGGGTATGGCTTATGGGGCTGTAACATGTTTGGCATAAATGTTTAAACTGTAAAGTAAAATAAAATCCTCTCATACATTAAAAAATTAACTAAATTGAATGTCCACTCTTATTTTAATTAAATACAAAACAATGTCAAATTCGTCAAACAAACATCTAAACTCGAACCAACAGCCCCTTTAGTACACTCCGATCGAACATGGCCACCGATTACACAACCTATTAAATAAAGAATTAAAACCGTACAATTTACTACCTGCTCTTAGAACCTCTAATAAATTAAAACCCTTTCTAGCTGTGAAAAAACCTATTGATGAAAGCGAGAATTTTGAAAAAACTGGTTTGTACAAGTTAAAATGTGGTTATTGTGAACGATATTATATCGGCTAAACAGGTTGGTCCTTTGCAACCTGATTGAAGATGTAAGCATACAAACCAAACCCTAGTTTCACCCAACAAAACTCTACATTCGCCCATCATATAATTGAGAAAGACTATAGAATAAGAAAATTAGACGAAAATGTTTCCATTCTCAGCTATTGTAAGAAAGGATTTTTATTGGACACGTTAGAAGAATTTCACATCTACAAATCTTTAAAAGAAGATGCCGACAACCAAATCCACCACAGCTCCAATTTCATTTTTAACAAAATAATTGAAACCCAAGCAACACATCCACTAATAGCATCCTATTGTTAAGAAAGACCACTTAAACGATATAGTTAGTTGTGGCTTGGATATCACCCGTCGTGGCTGGGGAACCTACAAAAATGTCGTCTTTCTGTAAATACCGGTATAAATCGTTAAATGTATATGTATTTGTCTGTCTGTGTTTGTGTCGTATGTTGTGAACTGATAGTAGTTTTAACCAAACGATGTCCATTGGACTGAAGATTTCAAAACTGGTCCACCTGATGATGATACAACTTCGTGCTGAAACCTAGGTCACAACAACCGACTTTAATTTGAACTGGTGACTGAAGGTCATTCTACCATTCTATTCAATGTTTTTTTTTAAGTTATAGTTTCCATTTAAGGATCTTTTGGGTTTGCATTTCACATCCTTGACTCAACCTCAAGATATCTTGGTGGTACAAAACATTGAATACTCTGATGTTTTCTCAGCACAAACCACACTACAGACACTCGGGGGAGTTGGTGTTGACACAATTCAGTGTGAGAACTGTCTACTCCTTCCTGGACTACATAATGAGCGGGACACAAATTAACTGCTCTGTCGCTATAGACTTCACAGGTAACAGCTTTCTTTGACTAATTCTTTTTTGATAAGACTTGATAGAAGTCATATTATTAGCAAACTGAAATTATTGCATTAAAACATTGACTATATTAAAACCAATTTTTACACGCAAAACTTTTTAGGATGGATGGGGACCAAAATTTTTGGAAATTGTTGAGAAATGCATAATCTTTACCTACAGGCAGGATTACGTTTAGTTCAGGGTTTTTTCAGTATGGGTTTCCACTCATCGGCAATCTCGCAGCGACCAGGATGACAACATGATCGTCACCGGTATGGTAGGTGATGATTATTTTGTCATTATGATTGCTGGAAATCATAACGATTACAGGTAATAGGCATGACAACATTGTGATTGATAAAAATTATGATTATTTAAGCTAATTTTATATTGCTTTTCTACTGGCAGCTATATCAGACATGCCTTTAATCTCTACGAATTTTTTTAAAGATTGCTGTGATAGTCATTATAAGTATCTACTGTTTGTGATTAGCTATCGCTGTGTGTATAATAAGACTGATCCACAGACAAACTTTACCAAATCAATGTAATCTATTTTTGGTAACAGTTGTTGTTGCCAATGTATTTTTACCAATTTTGTTGGTTAAAAAAAAAATAGCACAGTAAAGACTAGAAATTGATTGTACAGTGGAACTTCTATAACTAGTTTTTCGTTGGGATTATCCAGTAACACTTGTATCAAGAGTATTTGAATTTGATGTCAAATGTCTTGTCGTTGAGATTCCACTGTATTTTTTATCATTACCATTTGCAAGAATTATTACTCAAGGTTTTTAAAAATTATTAGAGTTTGTCTCGTTTCATTGGAAAAAAAATAATATATCTCTTTCTCGTCCTGAAAATATGCCAGAAAATAAAAATCTTGTCTCTAACTAAAAGTACAATCGCGTCTAGCTGTACTTCTTTTTAATTGAAGAAATCTGAGGATTTTTTAAATACACCTGTTTTTATAACCATTGAACAGTATTAGGTTCAATTTTAATTTATAAGCATGCTTAAGTTTGGTGTTTTCAGAATTTTGATCATGTTCTGTCAGTATTTTTAGATGTGCTAAAATAACCTCATACACTGTTGGTTTCAGTTGTAGCCTAAATCTACAATAGTGTAACTATAGTAAAATAATACAAAAACACTGCTGTATCTATATTACTAAAAGAATTTGTTGGATTTTTATGTGCGGAAAATCGACACCTAAATATTTATTTTCATAGGCATATTGGGTATCGATTTAAAGCTCTTATCCTCTAGCATCCTTTTCACATCCTTTTTGGGTTCGGATGATATCTCATAAAAGCCCTTCGTCCTACAGGCTTTTAAAATTTCAGAGTTTGTGCTGAATTCTGTTGTCAATCATCTGAACTATTTCAAATTTACAATTGTTTACATCAAACAGATAGTCATAATACAATTTTGTTTACATCCATACGAAAATGGTGTTATCTGTAGTTGGTGATGTTTTTGTAAATTCAAGTAAAATATTGTAATGCTACTTGTATAAAATGTAAAGAAGAAAATTACTTACGTTGGATTTTGTGTTGTGATAGGATTTTGTATTTACATAGTATGTTTTATTAATGTGTTGGGGAATTCAAGTAAAATATTGTAAAGTTATTCGTTCAAAATGTAAAATAGGGATTTTGTGTTTTCATAGTATGTTTCATTAGCATTTTTGTAATTTTACTAAGATGCCTTGAAGAAATCGTGCACACAATGAAAATAATAGGGCACACAATGCAAATATTAGGGATATGATGAGAAATAATCGTTTTCACCCTGTGACGGAAGCGCCACAGCTTCATGGCGTTAGGCGCTAGCATGCCGTTCAACCAGTTTTTTTTTTTTGGACCAATCTTTTTCTAAACTCAGCCGGCTTGCCTGTTCTCTCGCCCCTGTCTGCCCGCTGCCGTGAATTGACAAGCTTCGAGTTTTCAAACTTCGTGCAGAATGAATAATCATCAAAGCTAAGTTAACTTATTAGTCTTAAGTAAAATATAAAAATATGTTAGGCTAGAAGTAAATTTCAGGGGGGGGGGGAAGCCACTGGCTTTGCAGGTACGCTGGAAAATGTAGTAAGTAATCAACTATAAAGTTTGATTCCGCCTAACGGAATCAAACAATCCTTTTCATGTTTCGAAGTCACATGTTCCAAGAGATTAAGCTGCCGGTAAAGGGATTGCTTAGTTCATCTACCAGTTACAATTCAACCAATTCTTGCTTCAATCAGGTTTTTCATATATATATTTATATATTAGTTTGGAAGGTGTCAATCAAAATTTGTGTATTTAAGTGTGTTAGTTAAATAACTGTAATCAAAGCTGGCTTGGGCGGTCTTCCTGGTCTGGGTAAAACGTCCAATTCTCTGGGCCCCATCACACATTTCCAATAATCCAAAGAAATACTGACAACCAGAATAGCTAAAAATCATATCGCAACATTACCTAACACCGCAACCCTTATCAACTAAATATAAAATATATTATGGATTTTGAAGTCACAAAGACGCAGGCTGCTAGTGAAAACATAAAAATTATTTTGCTGTTATTTTATACAAAACTTACTATATGCAAATTATAGTCCTTAATATAAGATTATTATGAGGGCCGTTTAAGCTTGCATTCTATCATATGATTATGTTCTGACAGCTTCCAACGGAGACCCTGCGATCCCAAACTCCTTACATTTCATCAGCAACAGGCCTAACTCTTATGAGTTGGCTCTTAGTGCAGTTGTTGAAATAATACAGGTACAGTATTTTATTTGCTTAACTTAAAAATAATATTTTAAACTTATTTCCATCAAACCATTTTATTCCTGTACATCTATTTTGTGGCAAGTCCATTTATAAGTAATATTTTGTTTGAACCTCAAAGTTTTTGAGTGGCCGACTTGCCTTTAATTTTACACAAGTCTAGAGACTTTTTATTTATTCATTTAATCAATATCAAAAGAAAGCAAACGGTGTAACTTTCTTTTGTTCTTGGGTTTTAAAGAGTCAACCATTAATTTGAATTTGATTCCGTTGTAGCTCTAATCACATCATCAAAGTGTGTGTTTTAAGGTGAAGCTGAGTGAACAATGAGTATTGAGTAAATTAGATTACAGCTTTATTGCTGACAGAGATCAGAAGGTAAATAAATAAAGTAAACCAAGAAGTTTTGATAATACAGTAGAACCCCTCATATTCGACCATGCATGATGCATACCGAGCCAAGATCGGAACGACCAAAAGGTCGGATATATGGAGGAGCATAGCGTGTAGTCTCCCTGACATCGGTAATCGTCTCCCGCAACCGTGGCAACACCCATCACCCATGAGCATGTCTTGTGTTCTCCGCGACACTGGTAATCGTCTCCCGCAACCCCGGCAACACCTAACACCCATGAGCATCTCTTGTGGTCTCCGCAACACTGGTAATCGTCTCATGCAACACCGGCAACACCCATGCACATGTCTTGCAGTCTTGACCACACCGGTAATTGTCTCATGGGAACGCGGCAACACCTGTCTGCACATCTTACGGTCCCGGTCAAAGTGGTGATTGTCTTCTGCAATTATGGCAACATCCGAGCGACGGTTAACCAAACCCTTTCGGCGTTATTGCCTCAAACAAGAAACAAGTAGCTGTACAGGGTTGGACACTAGGTTGGATATCCTGAGGAGTTGGCTATGCAGAGGTTGATTAGGTCAGATATGAGGGGTTATACTGTACCAACAAATATTTGATAGTCCTGCTGTATTAAATTAACTAAATTTATTTTTGTGTAATTTAAGGAAACAATAGTAAAATAGATCAATTATATTTTTGCAGGACTACCACTCCACCAAGCAATTTCCAGTCTTAGGTTTTGGTGCAAGACTTCCACCTGATGGTAGAACTTCACATGAGTTCTATGTAAATTTGCATCCTACAGATCCTTACTGCCAAGGAGTTCAAGGTAAATCAAAGCAAAAACATGAAATATCAAGAGTTTTGCAACATTTTTATGGTAGTTGTAGGGATGGACGAGATTGGATTTTGAGTTCGAGACGAGATGAGACGAGATTTTTTATTTCTCATAAAATTTCGAGACGAGATCGAGACGGGATTTCCCTTCTCATACACAACGGGAAATGCACGTTCGGAATTTTTACCTGATTTTGTAACATTGTTAGATGACTGTTTAAATAGAAAAATAATGATAATAGGCAAGAATATTTACAATCTTTTATTAAAAAACATCAGCATAACACTTTTTTATTAATCACGCCTAAATTATTAAAAATGCCTACGATGAGGAAACATAGTGATATCAGTTAGGATAGAACTGAAGACTAGACCTTATCCTAAAATAAAATAAATCATAAAATAAAATATTAATTTTTATAAAATAGTTACTTGTTTTGACTTTTTTTATAGTAATAAAACATTCCTCACACTGCTAACACTTAACAAAACTTCTGAAATGTTATTAAAATAATTAAAGTAATATTTACATTTGAAGAATTAATTAAATAAGAACGCCTTCACAAAGGAAACGCAACTACAACACGCTCCTGTATTGCGGGTATTGCATTGACTTTCTGCAGGCGTTTTTAATTATTATTTTTTTTTTTTAATTCTCGTCTCGATAAAAATCTCGGCCAAAAAAAAAATCTCGTCTCGTGTAACGAGATTTAGAATTTCCCGAAATTTCGAGACTTGACCATCCCTAGGTAGTTGTTATTATTGTTCCTAGTTTATGCTAGTGAAGAAATACTAAAAAATGATCATTTAAAATATATATAAAATTATCTTCCAGTGGGTATTTGGGGCTTATGCAATGTTCAAGAAGTATAATAGTGCTAAACATCAAACATGATTATTTTTCGTATTGAAGATTTATAAGTTAAGGCAAATCATGTCAAAATTAAATTTTAGTTGTAGTTTGGGCATTCACCTTCAAAGTTGAAGACTACTAGTTATTTCCTGAGAATGATCGATTCTAGATGCAGCTAACTGTAGGTTAACAAGATAGTAACAAAACCACGGTTTGAACTGCCCTCATAAAAAAAAAAAAAAAAAAAAAAAACATTATAGGCTATAATGTCTATGGCCCTGAAACATACAAAACAAAAATATACTTCTGTTATGACCTTCTGCCTCAGATTAATGATAGGTATTTCAAAAATGAATCTATTCATGTCACCAATCTCTTATGACAGTCTATTAACTCATGGTATTAAAATCTGAGACTAAGACAGTACAAAGTACGTAATCCAGGGTAATACATTCGAGCTTTTCAGGTGTACTGGAGGCGTACCAGAAGTGTATTCGTCAAGTACAGTTGTATGGACCTACCAACTTCAGCCCTGTCATCAACCATGTGGCTAGGTTTGCTGCCACGTACACAGATGGGTCTCAGTACTTTATCTTGCTCATCGTAACTGATGGAGTCATCACAGATATGGAGCATACCAAGGCTGTAAGTAGCAACAAAGGTTTGGGGAATTAACCTCTCAAGAAACACCAAGAGTGCTGAATAACTACAACCTCTCTACTAATGTATTTAGAGGGAACGAGCAACAGTCTCAAATGACTCCTTTCAAAGACTTTTGCCTGTAGGGACGGACAAACATGTTCCTTTGGTAACACATTTTTACAAACATCATGCACAAATCATCCCTTTTAACTGAATAGAACAAGGGACAACTTGTGTCTGTAGCGTTGAGTGTAATGCCGGCCTTTAGTGAAGTACTCATGGAAGCCTTGCAACACACGTTGTGTATCGCAAACACTAACACTTGTTCTTGAAACACATCTAAATGTATGATTTGACATTGTCATGGTCAATTTTGCTCTTCAAAAATAAAACCCTTTATTTAGTTGAAGATACTGTGCTCACCATTGTAGCATAATTAACAGTATTTTGTTATCTGTTCAGGAGTTGGAATATAATATTTAGTAGTTACTCACTTTAGAACAGAGGATATTTTTTTTCTGATAAAATAGCTTACAATGGTTTTTAAAAGCAGCATAAATTTGTTGGACGTTATATTTACATTTTTAATATAATAACTGTAAAAGCTAGTCAAATCACCCAGAAACAGTAGGTTTAATTCTTGTGTCTAAGTGTGGTCTACCTTGCAGGCTATAGTGGCTGCGTCGTATCTACCGATGAGCATCATCATTGTGGGAGTGGGGGAGGCAGACTTCTCCGCCATGGAGGAGCTAGACGCAGACAGCGTGCCACTAGTAAGTGGGGGCCGCCGCGCCGCTCGAGACATCGTACAGTTCGTAGAGTTCTCTCGTTTTAATCGCCCCGGACACAGCACCAAGGCAGAGCTTGCCAAGGAGGTATTGGCTGAAATACCTGACCAACTTACTGGGTACATGAAGAGCCGCAACATCACTCCCCTCAGTCCTAGAGCTCCTCCTGACTCAGCTCTCTCGTAAAACAGACATGGTTACGCCGTAGTCAGTTTTACAATCAAAGATACGGTAATTTAGTTGAATCAAGCGACTGACAGAGTGTGCTTATACTGAATACTATCCTGTACACAAACTTTTTAACAAAGCCAAACTCAAGGAAAAACTTAAGTATCTTTAGTGTCATAAGAGTGAAAATATAATATAGACTACAGTACACTATGTGAATGGTTGATTCAACTTTTTTTTATTTTAGAAAAAAAAATAGGAAAAAAACTGACTAAAGCTAATTAATACAGATCAGATGGGATCTCTACTTCAGTATCCTAAAGCTTTGACTATCATCCAATAGTCAATACCTAAAGCCAATACTTGAACTTTTAGCACAATCTGATATTTGAAATATTTTGTACTTTTCTATGTATATATGTATTCCTACACTTTTTGATATTTTACAATTTTTACTTGTTAATATTTACCTATTATAAACTTGTTTTCCTATCAATCAAAGTTTACTATCCAGTGTTAAGCTTTAATTATATTTGTTGCCAAATCACGCTAAATACACTGTGAATTCTTCATGCCATGAGCTAAAAAAATTTCTTTGAATTTAAGAACATAGGGTAGGTCTCTTTAAATGGCAATACAGTCCAACCTCGGTATAACAAATCTGAAGGGACCGAACTAAATATTCGTTATATCAAGGATTTCGTTAAAACAAGGTTCGTTATATTGAGGTTAGGTTTGCAGGAATTTCGCTAAGTCGAGGTTCAGAACCAGCATCAGTCAATATAGGTCGGGATTGGACCTCAATGGCCTCATTAAAACACAATTAAAGTAGCATAGGCTACAATACTTTACAGTATACAGTGTTTACATTGTAAAGTAGAACCTCGATTATCTGGGGTACTAAAGGGAAGGGATCTTTAATATTGCGCAATCATGGCATTTCTAGTCATTGACCTTGGTACAGGTTACAAACTGTAAGTTTAAAATCACAGCTTACTCTAACCCACCTAAAACCTAGCCAAATACTGTATTTTATAGCAATAAACCACGTAAAGAACAAAACAAAACAGTAGAGAGTTTTGTAAGCTACTGCTCGCGATAGGCCGGTAGGCTACAGTAATGCTTTAAATCACAACAGAGGAATGTCAATACTGTAATAATCATCAACTATAGCATTGGTGTTGCCTTAGTTTAAACAAATCGTATTGAAAATAATAAAAATATTAGATAAGTGGTTATAAAAGTGTATAATCATAGCCAACTTAAAGAGAATAAAAACACTCGTAAAAGGAATGTTAAGATAACGATGTTGCTATTCTTTCTCTTTGCTTTGTTCTTCTATTCTTTTTCTTTCTTAGGTTTCTCTTCATCCAAAAATTGTACAATTCACCATATTTACTTATCACCCAATCACAGCTTACTACACATTACGTCGTCATCAGTCCTCAGTGAATGAAATCAGTCCTCAGTTCTCAGTATGTCACATAGCGCGCATGCAGCGACGACAGCAGACAGGGATGTGTAAAACGGAGCAGACGAATGTTAGCGCAAGCGTTGACGTCACCTTTCCATTTCATTTGATGAAGAAACTGATTTTTCAAAAACAATAATGGGGGTGGGGGGTTTGTTGTATCGAGGGAGAGACGCAGACGATTCATTAAGTAGAGGTTAAATTCGCTATGTAGAGGTTCTGACAATGATAAATTCGTTATATTGAGGTGTCTTATTTTTATCCGGGATCATGAAAAATTCGTTAAGTCAAGGTCGTTGATATGGTTTGTTCGTTATGTAGAGGTAAAATATACATTGTGTCTTATGGAGAGTTCTAGGGGATTTAAAAAAAATCTTTATATCAAGGAACTTATTATATCGAGGTTCGTTATATCAAGGTTAGACTGTATTTTAAGAAGTTATTAATCGCCAATCGGTAAACCCTAAGTTATTGTTGAGTTCTACTTTTACTACTGGGGATAATTTAGTAAAATATAGAAATAGTGGAACACTATCTCATATCTTTGTCTTTATCCTATCTCTATCTTTAAATTTATTCTACAGACACACATAATAATTAAACTGAAAATGATTTTTTTTAAATTAAGCATAAATGATTCAATCAAAAAACATACCTAATTCAACAAAGTAATTTGTAAATTTTGTAGAAATGCTATTTGAGAAAAAAAAACAAGTTTTATATTGCCTTTGTCAAATAGTCCAACAATTATCTAGTCCAATCTGTAGGGATGGACGAGATTGGATTTTTAGTTCGAGACGAGACGAGACGAGATTTTTTATTTCTCATAAAATTTCGAGACGAGATCGAGACAGGATTTCCCTTCTCATACACAACGGGAAATGCACGTTCGGAATTTTTACCTGATTTTGTAACATTGTTAGATGACTGTTTAAATACAAAAATAATGATAACAGGCAAGAATATTTACAATCTTTTATTAAAAAACATCAGCATAACATTTTTTTATTAATCATGCCTAAATTATTAAAAATGCCTACGATTAGGAAACATAGTGATATCAGTTAGGATAGAGTTCAACTTATCCTAAAATAAAATAAATCATAAAATAAAATATTAATTTTGATAAAATAGTTACTTTTTTGCCTTTTTTTATAGTAATAAAACATTCCTAACACTGCTAACACTTAACAAAACTTCTCAAATGTTATTAAATAATTAAAGTAATATTTACATTTGAAGAACTAATTAAATAAGAACGCCTTCGCAAAGGAAACGCAACTACAACACGCTCCTGTATTGCGGGTATTGCATTGACTTCTGCAGGCGTTTTTAATTTTTTTTTTTTTTTTCTCGTCTCGATAAAAATCTCGGCCAAAAAGAAATCTCGTCTCGTGTAACGAGATTTCAAATTTCCCGAAAATTTCCCGAAATTTCGAGACTTGACCATCCCTACTAATCAGCTTATATGTTTTGTTGTGAAGACATCATTTTTTAAGCTTGCAACTTCGTCTAACACAAAAATAAAAACGCAAAACTGTGAAAACACAAGCATAATAATGGATCTTATTTACAAACATTTTCACTGCCCTATATTATCATGTTCATGCTATCTAAAAGTTTCTATATACAAGGGTCTTTGTTAAATAAGGGCCGTTTTTGCTTATAGTCTTAGCTCGCAGAGGTGTGTATGGTGTCATTCTGTTCACAAATGATGCCAGTAAGTGGCGAGAGCCTCGTTTGTGTGCACACAAACTACGTAGCTATAAACAAAAATAGCCTTTGTAAAAAACAACCCTTGTATGTTACGATTTCATGTTTGTGTTTTCACTGTTTTGGGTGATTTTATTTTGTATTTGACAAAGCTGCAAGATTTGAAAATGTTTGCACGACAAAAAATGACTATATGAAAGAGGTAATATTAACCAGTTTGTCTCTTAACAAAATAGTCAAGGGGCCAGAAATATGAATTTTGACAAGGTTTTGAATAGAATATTCAATATTTAACTCTTTTGAATGTACCTATTTGCACAATACGATTAAGAAACTCAGTAGAAAATCAATCAATTTACACACAAATCTCAATCATTCTATTATTTGATATGTATTGAACTGTTTTTATTCTAGTCAAAATTAGTTGTACAATATTATTTTGAGTGTAATAGACATTTCTTAGATTAGACTAGCATGACTCATTGCAATTTATTGGGTATTATTAGGTTTAGTAACAGAAACAATAAATTCTCAGTACAGTAGTCCCTGTATTGTAAAGAACTAGAGGTTTGCAGATAGTCCTAGTGTGTCTGAAAAAATCTGGTGAATTCGGTTTGGTTCAAAACTTCAAATATTAGTATGAGACCAGACTCCAGAGCCCAAATTGGATATAGAACTGTATCCGTTAAATATCCTAATTTTTCAGACAGACCATATATTTTAACTTTTTGGGCTAAAAATAAAATGTTTATTATCATCATTAGTTTTGTAGGACGTAATTCCAACTAACGGACGTAACTAACTAGGACGTGTTCCCAATTAATAATCTGATCAGGTTCTGAAGGTTGTGATCAGCAATCAGCGGGTAATCATCTATAACAAATAAAAAACAAATTGTAGCTCTAACATGTCTCGTTAATTTCCGACAGCGTCGTCGTCTTGAAAAATAATAGATTCAACAATTAAATACTGTAATAGCAATCAATAGACTGCTTAATGTGGACAGAATTTTGATGATATGGAAACAATTCAGTCATTTAAACATTTTCGCCACATTAGACACATGAAAAGAGTGCAGTTAAGCTAAAAAACAAAGCCATACACTAACATTGTTATAATCTAAGCTAAGGCTTACCTTACGATCCAATTGATTTATTGTGGAGACCTAGGTTTCTACGCCGGAGCGTTATCGTCAGTCCTAGCCTAAGCTAAACTTTTTGTTTTTCATTTATAGGGATAAAAAACAAAAAGTTTAGTACATTCATCCCGAGGGATGAAAAACAAAAAGTTTGGCTTAGCCTAGGACTGACGATAACGCTCCGGCGTAGAAACCTAGGTCTCCACAATAAGTCAATTGGATTGAAAGGTAAGCCTTAGATTATAACAATGCTTAATAACGATTCAGAGACTATTTCTCCAAATGCCATACACTAAATTTTAAACTTGTACTTATAACTTTTTTCTCCAGATATACCTTGTCCTAGCCTATAATATTCGTAGCTCGAAGATGAAGATGTATGCTGCTATATCGAGTTCTCGTTTATTCGTTTTTTGGATGTTTGCTTGCTTTTACTTTACGATTGAATGAGCTGAACTGAGTGAGCTTTTAAATTTCCTGTCTGATGACCAACAA